AGACTCAACTAGGTACACACGTACATTTGTACGCTTGGTACAGAGTTGAGCTTATATAAATCAGTAATCAGTATAACATTCATTCAAGACTGATACAAGAATTACATGAAAAATAAATTAAAAGGCTAATTATGCAAAGAAATTATATTTGTTGGAAATTTATTTCTAAAACATTATAATTTTTGATAGAAAGTAAATCACAGGTGTGTTTCCTTGCAGAGAACACAATACCATAATAAAAGGGTGGTCTATATTAAATCTTGTCGGAAATTCATAAGAAACTGGCACAATCCAAATTCCTATAAGAAACAAACAAAATTTGTTGAGATAGAAGGTTGAGATAGAATGTTTAATAATAATGGTTCAATTTGACGGTATTGTATTAAGGACACAATTTAATAGGCAACACACATAGATAAATATATAAATATTTCTTTAAAAAACAACAAAAAAAGCTATTATATGTTTCGAAATATTGATATTAATAAAAAAAAAGTTAATACCAAGCAAAATAATTGGTTTGCACATCACAAACTCAAGATTTCAAACATATTATTCCATAATCATTTGAATTAGCAACCTTTGACAAATTTAAGTTACCATAGCATTAGTATAAAGATAAAATAAATAATGATGACTAAAAGAAATAATGCTGACTTTATATTGTTGGCTAACAATATAAAATCAGCTAAAAAATAGAGTTAGTGCTAAAAGAATTCATGTTTAATTATCTGGTGATGTTTGTCAGAAAACCATAAAGAAATTCCTGCAGGGAAAGTCACATGACTATTTTTTATTAAAATATTCACACTACAAGTAATTAATATAAATATCATTTTGTAGAGGAATTTTTTAATTTTTTTCTTTATATCATTCTGTGTATTAATTTACTATTACTATTACAAACCAAACCTCGCTAGGAAATCGTATGAACAAAGTAAAAACATCATAAGTAACATTGGATGTCGTATAATCAAAGCTACTTATGTACACAAAGGCAAATTGAACATATATAAAAGTTATAACAAAAATAAATACTTATAAAAATAGTGACCAAACATTGCATAAATAATCTTAAATAAAATTAAACAGTTCAAGATTCAGAGTTCAAATCTGACAAGGAATCATGGTACTGTTCAAAAGTCATCGTTAAAACTTTTAAAAAAAACTTATATGTTTGTCAACAATAAAATATAAATTGTATACTGCAACATTAAAATAATACCTCTAGTATAAACTAAAACAACAATAAAATATTATAATATATATGCAGTTCAATGTTTAAAGGAGCACGAATAAATAATAATTGATACTGGTAAAATAATACTTTATAATCAGGACCATAATTGTTATACTGGAAAGGGTTTAATACTATAATTCAAACATCAATAGAATAAAATGAGGTTAAGAAATTTGAAAAATTGTAATTAAATTAACCTAATCGTGTTATGTGTTATCTTATCAATAAAAAAATGAGTATGAGCTAAAATTGTTAATAGGTCAATAAATGTTTTGATAAATATATTAATTATATCACAACAATCTTTAAGGTTTTAATCTATAAACTATCCTTGGTTATAAATAAGCTTATGTTTTGTTAAATGGTTACCTAATTTAATTTATAATTCATTCTTCCCTTTATATATTTCTTTTTTTCTTAATTTATAAGCTTAAATAAACATAGTAATTCTCTTGTTGAAATTTTGTGCACTCGGAATTGGAATAAATTTTACAAAACGTCAAAATTATAAATAAAATTGTGATTGTGAAACATTAATTAGTTTTCAAATAAAATTTCAGGAATTCCTCCTGTTAGAATTACTTTTTTAAAAATTATTAAGCGCAAGCTTTAAACTTAAACCTATACCATCTAAGGTTAAAATAATTTAACATATTTTTTATCCAGAGAATTTCAAATATTCCAGTAGGATTTTTTCTATACTAGAAGACAAGACTCAGTTAAGGCACAACGTTCTTGACGTTATCTAGGTCAATTATCATTAATTCAACTTTGTAGTCATTAATTAATGAATTGACTGGCTTAAATATCGTCAGATCACAATACCAGGAAAAACTTTTGAGACAAATTGTATAACATTTCAAACTAAAAGTCATAAAATGGTTACGTTAAAGCTAGAAGTTATAATTTTTTTAGAACTATGCTAATTTGATGTTTAATTATCAAACAAATTAATAACTAAAAAAATTATTGATTATGTTAAAAAAATTTCTAATAATACTTCTTTAAAGTAATTCATGTTTCTTTTAAAAATAATACTGATACTATGAATGTTGAGAAAGAAATTCTGTAAGACAATTAATTTAAACAGTAACTGTTACTTACTGAATCAACTGCTAAAATGTATTTCCGGTCTAAATAACAATAAAATAAATGCTTTAGAATACAAACTGTCACTTTATCTCAATGAAATGTGACATTTTTTAATAATGAATATGAATGATGATGAATAAATGGCCCAACTGTACTAAAGTGTAAAAATCAGCCTTAATAATAGTACAACAAATTCTATAGAATACATGTCAGTCACCTTTTTATACTGGAACATAATGACTTTTGCTTTAACAACGAATTTTTGAAATTTGAATTTTTGACCTGGCAGAAAGATGAGTGTCTATTACAGAATATTGTTTAAGGACAACTTAATAACCTTCATCTATTAGAATTCTAGACGAATTTTCCCAATTTATAAAGTATTTGAGATAATACAAAAAAGACAAGTGATATCAATATTAAAACATCAATCAGTATTATCAACTGTTTAAAAAAAATTATATCATCACAATGTTCTACTATGTCTCCTCATCACTACTGTCTTTACTGCAAAAATGAAGCGTTGCAGCAAACACTGTCCAGCCTGCAGAATGGCAGAGGATCAGCCCGAAGGGATGACAGACGTTAAATTCTAAACAGATCTCCATAGATCGTTTCACCCTTGTCACAGCTGGAACAGTTGTAGAACATCGGATAAAAGCCACGTGGGCAATTGGAAAATACTGTGCAGTTACAAACTGAGTCATTTCAAAAGATATGAAATCAAAGAGAAAATTTCTGTCCAAAAGAAGATTTGTGATGTAAAAGATAGAAAATTAAAATAATGTGCTAGAGTGGTTTTAATAGTTAAATATAAGGCTCGCTCTAGAGATCCAGTTTCCAGCCAAACTAATCAATTATAGAATGTTCAGTTTAATAAAACATCTTGAATAATATTACAGTAGTTTTTGACAGATTAATGAACATATATTTAAGATTTAAGCCTTTTTTTTTTAATTTTAAGAATGGGTAACTAAACTTCTATTCCATAACCAAGGGTGAATAATTAATTTAATTAAAACATACAATTAGTGAAATACAATATGTTGAACCAACTTGCAAACCAACACCAACTATAAAATGAAATACACTAAAGCAGTAGGAAAGGCAGACGAGGCGGTAAGGTCGAGACATCCCAACCTCCAGATTTAACCACCGCGACCCGGTCCTCTAATGTTAAAAATGCATTTAAAAACCTGATTAAAAGAAAGTGGCAGGGCCGGATGGGCAGAGAAGCTCACATGTACAAAGAGCACTGTTGATAGGTGGCCCTCAGAGGACCTGACTCACAGAAGAGGGGTCACCCACACCTGATTAAGGATAGGCCATACAAGGTTAACACACAGACACTTGCTTATGGGCCAAACCCTGCTTTTGTCTCCAACATGTAGAGAAAGGCTGTTTGAAGGCTCCTTGGATCTATATAGTAGGAATGTCACCCAATTTGAGAATTGTGTTTTGGGTCCCCTGTTCAAATTTTTGGAGGAAACAGGGTTATTTTATTGTACATAGTACTGATATATGTAGTTTTATGTGTCCACTAGTGTGTGAAGGAATATTAAGTACTCCACCACCCTAATTGCTCCAGGTTATCGACAGCCCAACCTCAGTGGCCGGACAGATGAGGTCTGACCCCGGACTGCCAACACATGGGATGGGCCTCAGGGCCTGCTGGTAACTAATTGTCAATTATAAAAGTAGGTATTGCCAGTGGACTGCGAGAAGTGATAGGCTCAACTAAAGCAGTGAGTTCAATAATTGTACTGTCACACAAGAAGAGGATAAACCTAAAATTTCTAAATGCTTGCATTACCTATACCAAAAATATTATGATAATGCGGTAATAATTGTTATCATTTAATGACAGTTATATAATTATAATAATTTAAAATTCAATTTTAATCATTTATTCCAGATTTATATCAAAAATTACTTTTTTGAATAGGTGAATTTAAAAGAATTATACATTATTCATAAAATAATAGTTTCTGTAGTGAAGATGATGGATTTTGAATTTCTCTGTAATGTTTTCATTGCTTTCACACTTTTTTTTATTGTAGTGAGCATCATAAACTTTTATTGTTTTAATCGCACTCGAAGAACTTAATAGATAACAATTTCCAACAAATCTGTTATTGCACATAGAAAATATTGCAGTTTTTCAAAATTAAATATTTTTTGTTTTACCTCTCATCTGTACTTTCTTATTCATTGAACACTTAAGAAGAAAGAAATCTATTCACTTAAATTCACTCCATATCTTTCAAAACATAAAAATTAAACCTTTCTTTAAAGAAAAACAAAACTTCAACTTAAAATATATATATACCTTTTTTTAAGTATAATATATTGTCTAATTTAGTTCCAAATTAGTTAAGAAAGCTATTTAAAAAATTATTGTTCTGGGTTAAGAAATTTGTTTTCTTTACAAAATATTCAAATAAATATGTAAATAATTTTACAATAACAAAAAACTATCTAACAAAAACGTTATGGCTCAATGAACAACCCATGACTAGAAAATCTCTGATAACTTTTTTTTTTTCGATAGCAAAATCCCTTTTGTTATGTAAAAAAGCAAGCATGCAAACAATGGCATTCATAATTTAATACAAGGCATTAAAATTAATTTTGTGATAACTAATTAGTAAGCAGGCCTTGTACTCACCAGTCGCAGCAGCTGCTTCTGTACCTTCTTCATTGACATCAATAAAGGCTTTTTGAATAACCTTTGAAACACGCAAGTCTTCATCGGACATATTTGTTAAGTTTGCTTTGGTTGAAAACAAATCTTTCATCCCCATCTAGAAATTACATTCAACAATTATTTATAATAAATGTAATGCACATAAAATTTTGTATGCTTAAAGTATTGAGTAGGGTTAATTTTTTGTTTTATGATTTACCTAAAGTTATTTATTTATTTGTATTATATAACGTACGTTAAGTTATATTAAGCTTTATATTTGGCATGGCTGTGTTTATTATTATATACTGATTATTTTTGCAAAACCTTTTTAAAATAACAAAAAAAAGTTATTTGTTTAAATATTTAAATTGTTAATAGACTTAAATAAAAAAGTTTTCATTACCTCTTCCAGAGTTTTTGTTAGTTCCAAGGTCTTCTCTATTTTGAACCTTGGAAGATGGAGGTCAAGTTTGATATTTGATAGTTTTGAAAATATGTCTGTAAGTGTGGTCGCTTTAAGTCTTTCTTCGACATCTTTCAGACCGTCAATCTCATTGGGAAGGATTATCATCATGCGGAATTTATCGCCCTGAAATAATTACAATTAAATTAAATTTGACTCAAGTTAAAGTAATAAAATAAACTTACTTCATAAGGCAATTCGACTACAGACGCCTTCAACTCTTCAATATTAGCATAGTTGAAATGCCCGGATTGATACATCATTTTAACGGTAACCTTTTTTTCTTTGGTTACATAAAAGTCAGCATCTTTTGTGAATTTCTCGCTAAATGCATCTTTCCATTTGGCTTTGAAGTGAACGGCATTCACAAGAACCAATTTAGTCAATGGAGATATGCTGTCTATAAAAACAAAAAATTATTTGAACACCAAATAAATATTTAATAAACAATATACATGAGATTGTTTATTTATTACATATTTAAATATGTTGGAAAATATTTTAATTGTTCACCTGGAGTAATTAAGTTGGTTATTTTTTTGTTCGTTTTCTCCTCGACCCATTGGTTAATTGTGGCAGCACTCTTAGTTGAATCAGTTCCAAATGGTACATTTTCGACTTCTGAATTGAAATATTTAACAACATTGTCTTGATACGCTTGTTTTACTTGAAATTTATCGTCCAAATAAAGTTTTGATGCAACTTTCAAAACTGGATCCTGCAAGGATTACAAATAATATTATCATTTAAGAATATTTTCAGTAAAATTAGAAAAAAAATGAATTGAAAACTAATTTTTTAGTTAAAAGCAAAACTCAATTTTAATAATGAGATCTGTTAGATTTAACAGACAATTTCATACATTTCCCAACAATAGTTTATGTAAGGTGTGCTTAACTATTTTATTGTACATACAAATTATGAAGACAGTATAAAAAGAACATAAACAAACTCCCTTGGCATGTACTTAAACATTTAAATTTTTCTATTTAAATTTTTTTCCCACTAAATAGTTTTAATGAGCCAATGTGGACTGCGGTAGATGGACATGACAGCCTCATAGACCACCAACAAAATGAATGGAAACGACCCAACTCTTGCAAATAATAATAGATATAAAAAATAAAATGCCCCCAAATGAGGAAAACATAAGAGGCTTCCATATTGGGAGGTCAAATTGCACGCAAGATGACACATCAAATGCAATGCCAAGCTTTGAATGCCAGAATCAGAAGTACTTTTAGGACTTTTTGAACATACATGTTAAAACCAGTCATGATACATTTTTATAAGTATTTAAACATTTCTCTATTGCAGGAAATTCTACTTGGTATTGAATGCTTAAAAATTGTGGACTTAAAGTTCTTTTTTGTGTGGGTTCCTGGACAATGTGAGATATCAGGAAATGAAAGGGCAGATATTCTAGCACAGCTGGCAATTTCAGATGGAAAAAGTAGTAAAAACGACAAATTCAGATGTGATAGCTTCTTTCAAACAAAAATCCTAGCATTTGTTAAACAACGAATGATCTCAAATGTCAAACTTAGAGGAATTAAAGATAGCGTGAACTCTTGATCTCATCCATCAGGGGATCCAAAGATGATGAAGTTATCACTGCAAGGCTTAGTGTTGTAGGCTCACCCACTCATTCGTCATCATTTTTCATTTTTATGTATCGATGATCCTTTTACAGTATACATGGTGAGTTTACATGTAACATTGTCAGATAATATGAGTTTTTCTGGCACACGTGGAAAAGAATTGAGTGTAAAACATTTATTTACAAATCGCAAACAATATGAAAAATTGCTGTGACATCTCTGACAAGAGTAAAAATAGTCTGGGTGTCTCTATGAAGGTAGATATGCTGTTGAATTTTCTGAGAGCTACAAAATTTATATACAGAATATAAAATGAAATAGGAAAGGTGGGAACTGAAACCTTATTCCTGAAGTTATGAGGTATTCTCAATTAAATTTTCTGTTTGGCAGATAATAACCCAGTGTTTATGAACCTTTATAAAAATAGAAAAGCATTTATTGCAAACTATACATGTGATGATAGAAATTTGATAATATAGATATTTGATGATATACAAAATTTATACATACTAGTACTAACAAGATTGAGGCTTTTTTATTCTCTTTCCTCAAACTGAATAATTTCATAAACAAAACTGTCATCCTTAAGTTAAAATGACCATAGAATGTCGGTTTTAGGGGAAAAAGACTTCGTAAAAATATAAATATTTATCTACCATGTTGTAACATTTTAATTCCGGAATTTTTTTGTTAATATTTAATCAAAATACAAAAATATTCAATCCAGAGTTCATTCAATGAGCACACGTTCAAAAAAAAATTTCCAGAATTGAATACATTCTTAAATTAAAATATTTCCTTTTCAAACGGGCAAAAATCTACCGTAAATGCTGTTACTTTTTTCTTTTGTAATTTTTCCGAAAGACCAGTTACAAACGAAGGCCTTAGATCAAATAAGTTTTGCAATTAATAAAAACGAAAACTTGGGCGTGTCGATTGTCTTTAAGTCGTCAACATGACATACTTCCGGTCTTTTATGCTGCCTATTGATTTCGTCTAGAAAAAGCCCCATTTTCCAGGCACGACAATCGATCATGAGGTCAACAGCCAACGAATAATCGGGTCTATCTGGGTTGCCCCTGTTTCTCCAAATTGTATATTATCTTTAAGAATATGTTAATTGTCGTTCTAATCTCCTATTTGCTATCTGGTTGAAAATGTTTTTTTCGTGTTTCTTCGTGACCTGTGGCCGTCAGCGTAACGAGCCATTTTTTACTCTCTTAGGGCGAGGTATTTTGTTGAAATGACCTGTCGCCCAAACTAATTACCAATTTGGTAACAGACTGTACTGGTACTAGCTTCGCATTGCTTAAAAAAAAAATAATGGCTACATCTCCGATATATTCCAGCACCAACATATTTGGGGCGATCTGCATGTTAGATTCCATGAGGCAAGGCTTGGCCGCCACTTTTTGTCTTATACAGGAGAAGTTTATTAGCAGACCACAGGCTAGAGGCTCGACAGAGCAGAGGGAAAAGTATGCGAATAGATGTTTTGGCCATGTTCACATTATCGTTAACATGTGAAGTAAAATTGAGTTTACTGTCCAACATCACCCAAAAATACCATTTCACACCTCGATACAGTTAACCATCAATTTTGATCTAAGCTTGCTGAAAACTATTACCTCCGTTGTATTATGGTTAATTTGAATTTTCCAACGCTTGAGGTGCTTTCTATGCATTCCGTTGTGTAACCAGGTCGATAATGCATCTATTTTCCAAGAGCAAGAGTAGAAAGCGATATCGTCAGGGTAAAGAACCATTTTTACGTTCTTAGAGCGAGGTATTTTGTTGAAATATATAAGGAACAGGATGGGACCAAGGTTAGAGCCTTGAGAAACAACAGCAACAATGTCTCACGGTTAGGAAAGGGAGGATCGAAAGAAAACTCGGAATTGTCTGGATAAGAGATAGGAATAGACTATTTTTATTATGTAGGGAGGAAAGCTATATTCTATCATCCTGCTGACTACACCATTAAGCCAAACAGTGCCAAAGACCTTTTGGATAATAAATGTTTCAAGTAAGTCAGCATTAATATACAATCTAGTTAAACACATTTTTTTTGTTCAACGTTTCCTGTACGTCTAAACAAACGTCTAAATTTCTATGATTTACCCCCTTTACAATTTAAACGTAAATTTCTTACGTAAATTCCTTAATATTTTTATTCATAGATTTTTTTTTAAATTTTAATCTAGCACAAATGTTATCGAAGAATATCGCTGTCACGCAACAGTTACTTTCTGTTCTGCTTGTTCTAACGCGCTTTAATAAAATTTTTATACCGATTCATTTGAATGCAAGGACGAATTTATAAAAGCTTTAGTTTTAAACTTTAAAAACTAGGTATTTTAATTATGAATTAATTAAGGAAAAATCATTGAATTAATTGCCTGGCGAAAGGGCAGAGGTTGAATTTATAGTGCGTATGAAAACCCAAACTCGAGTTAGTATTAATATCGCATGGACTTTGAAACAAAATTCATACTAATAGATTCAAAAAAATCCTGAAATCACCTTATTTCCTTTTATATTTTTATCACAAAGAAATTTGAACAAACGAAGATCTCAATTACATTAAATGAAAGTATTATATGTGTGATATAAATTTTTGTTTGTGTTCGTAATTGTTCTTCAATAAAGTAAATTCAATATAAAATCTCTGATAAGAAGCCATGAAAATCAACATGATCATACTGACAATTCCACTGTTTCCAGTACGTCGAATTCGAAAAATAATAGGTTTCGAAGGTGTTGCAGGTGATTTTATGACATTTTTTATTATAAATAATATTTAGGTCAGTTGTGCCGTTCGTCAATAACGTGTGTCGACGATAAGACTAAAGACCGAGCTAAATAGCCTTGACAAACACAATGATTGCCCTATTAACTTTATCCTGAACTATTTTTTGAGTTAAATTCAATAATTATACGTCTCCAGGGTATTGTAGATGTTTCTTGGACCATGTTCGTTCATTATTGTTGTAAATGTTAATGAGGTCAGAGGGTTAGGTCGACGTACTCCGATTTTAACAAATAAGTTTTTGTTTTAATAATGCACACCAAAAATGGATTGTAGGGCAAACGAATTTCATCATGCTGCAATGAAAAATCAGATCATGAGATATTAATAAAACGTCATGATTTTTCTTTCGGCATTGTGACTTTCGACGTTTCAGTTTCGGTACAGGCTCAGAAAATATCATGTACTTATATTATTAAGTACATATTATTAAGTCTGGATGGTTAAAGAAACGTATACATTCCTTCTATTAAGGTAAAATAAAAAGTCAGACAATGAGACGTAGAGTTTCGTGATTTTTCTTTCATCGTTGCAACTTTCAACCTGCAGAATTAGTCTATATGATAAAACAATGATAAATGTCTTAAATTGTTTAAAGTCGAATCTGAATGCATTAATACAGAATCCCGTGTCAAGTTTTTTTTTTTTTATTATTATTTTCAACTTTCGACATTTTAATTTCGGCAGTCGCTGATAAAACGATTGAATGAAAACCTGCAGGCCAAGTCTAAATGTTAAAAGAAAATGTAAAACGTCATCTATTATGCTGATACATTCACATCATGGGACATTCATGATTTTTCGTCGTTGCTACTTTTGACTTTCCAGTTTCGGTACAGCCGCTGGAAAAAAAAGTAAATGACAATCTGCAGTTCCTGCAGAATGGTAAAACGTATGTTTTTTATTATGCTAAAATGAAAAATCAGATCATGAGACATTATTACACAATTTCTTATTTATGATTTTTCAATCATAATTTAAAAATTTTGATTGTTCAGTTTCGGCACAGACTAACCCTAGACATGAAAACCTGCAGATTAACCCTAAATGGTTAAAAAAATCCTTGTATTAGATTAAAAGAACAAGTCAGATCACGAGAAATAGAGTTTTATCATTTTTTCTCGTTGCAACTTCCGATTTTTCATTTTGGATCAAACTGCTGGAATAGAGAACCCTGTAGGCCCAAGTCAGATCGGTAAAAAACTATTTGCAAATTTCTACTATTATGCTGAAATTAAAGACATGTATTAAGAAATTATTACAAAATTCCATCACAATTTTTGTCTATCATCATATGCAATTTTCAACTTTCTAGGTACGTCCAAGCCCTTTGAAAACCTGCAGACCTAAGTTTGAACGGTAAAACGATTATTAATATCTTCTATGAATGAAGTCATATCATGAAACATTTTTATACAATTGTTTTTATACAATGCCAATGATTTTCCAATCACAATTTGCGAGTTTTGACTTTTCACCTGTACATGCTGATTAAGTCTGAATGGTTAAACAAACTAATAAATTCGTTCTATCAGTCTGTAATAAAAAGTCATATCATCAATAATAGAGTTTCATGATTTTCCTTTGATTTTTACAACTGCCAACTTTTTGTTTTCGGTGCAGCCGCTGAATAAAACAACTATGTATATGAAACCTGCAGACCCAAGTCTGTATGTATAAAAAAAATTTATAAACATATTAAATTGAGCTAAAATGAAAAGTCGCATGATGATACATCATCATGTTACTCCATGTCAACGATGTTTGATGCGCGAATAATGATAGATTGAAGTTTCAATTGTTAAAAAGTACAAATCGTACTAGACAAATCAAGCTAGGGGGGCTGAGACATCTCTTAAAATTTGGACTGTGTTCAGTGATAAAACAACAATTGAACTTAAAATTCAAAAAGTTAAAAAAATGGACTTCGCCAAGCACAAAGCATCTTTTGTTGGTGAATACTCGGTTACCTGTTATTTGGTGACAGTCAATGGTACGACCTCTTGGTGTTACTGCAAAGGATCCATTTTTACCATGTGACAACCCGGTCTAAAAGCATCTAAACTTTCTGCATGAAAGCAATAAAAAGCAAATGTTTACACGGTAAAGCTCGTTATCGTCGGTCAATTAATAAGAAACGTCTTTGCTTAGCTTCCACGTTTTCCCAGGTTGATGTAAGCTAGAGCGAATAGTTCATCGTTTACATCGAGCACCCCGGCGAGCTCCTGACATGTTTGACTAAAATTCTAGCTGAAATTCATACAATCAACACCCACAATTATAGGTTTTGAAGCTATGAAAAAGAAAATATGTTATAATTTACCGTGAACTGTTCAAAACTTTTTCTTTATGAACTGAGGCATTATCCTCTTGGTCATACGTGATACATAAACCTAATCCTTCTGATTAAATAACACTCTGATTAAAGGTATTAAAACAGTAACAAATGAAAAACCGCACTAACTTTTTCTTTACTTGGTATTTTCAATATAGCAGCCAAAACAATGACTTTATTACAACCTGCTGGCCAATGGTAAACTACTGTAAATGTCTCAAATTATAATGAAATTAAAATTCATATCTAAATATATTATTAAACAATCCCATGTCAACTTTTTGTCTTGATTTTTCATAACTATTGAATTATCGGCCGACTTTTCATTTTCCGCATAGATTAGAAAATACGACTATGTATATGAAAATTGGCAGACTAAAGCCTGCATGTTAAAAGAAAATTTATAAATGTCTTCTATAAATTATGCTGCAGTTATAAGTCCTACTAACAACAAGAACATTGTTATGTTGATTTCATGTCAACGATGTTCGAACCACTATTTGAAAAGTTCGTCTTTTCAATTTGAGTACAGTTGTTTGAAAGTAGAAATATATTAGTTGAAAGTAAAATTGGAACATGCAAGTCGGAATTAAGAGAAAATTTATAAATGTTTTTTATAGAGCTGAAATGGTGAGTCACATCATCACATACATTGCATGTCAACGATAGTTGTGTATTATAATTTCATGTCATTGATTTTTCATCAGTATTTGCAACAACCGACGTTTCACTTTCGGTACAGCCGCTGAAAACACGACCATGAACATGTCTGGATGATAAAAATTATAAATGTCTTTAATTATGTTATAATTAAAAGTCATATAGTAAGACAGGACTCAATCTCATGATAACTTTTTTCTGTCATTTTCTACAACTTTCGACCTTTTATTTTCGGCACCGATGTAGAAAAACGACTGTATGATGATAAGCTGCAGGCCCAAGTCTGAATGATAAAAATTATAAATGTCTTTAAATATGTTATAATTAAAAGACATATAGTAAGACAGGACTCAATCTCATGATAACTTTTTTCTGTCATTTTCTACAACTTTCGACCTTTTAATTTCGACAGAGATGTAGAAAAAACAACTGTATGTAAAGCTGCAGGCCAGTCTGAATGATAAAAAATTAAAAATGTCTTAAATATGTTAAAAAATTAGAAGTCATATCTTGAGACATTATTTCTCAATCTCATGATAACTTTTTTCTATCATTTTCTACAACTTTCGACCTTTTAATTTCGATAGTGATGTAGAAAAAATGAATGTATGAAAAGCTGCAGGTCCAAGTCTGAATGATAAAAAACAAGTCTTAAATATGTTCAAAAATTAAAAGTCATATCTTAAGATATTATTAATCAATCACATGATAACTTTTATCTATCAGCTTTCGAGCTTTTATTTTCAGCACAGATGTTGAAAAAACGACTTTATGAAAAGCTGCAGGCCCAAGTGTGAATGATAAAAAATTAAAAATGTCTTAATTATGTTCAAAAATTAAAAGTCATCTTAAGACATTATTGCTCAATCATATGATAACTTTTTATCTATCGTTATTTGCAACTTTCGACCTTTTATTTTAGAAAAAAAGCTGCAGGACCAAATCTGAATGTTAAAAAATTATAAATCATGTCCTTGATTTTTCTTATTATTAGTAACTGACGACTTTTCATTTTTGCCATAGCCGCTGAAAATCAGGCTCAAGTCTGGAGAGTAAAGTACAAAAACTTCTTCTTTTATACTGAAATGAAAAGTCATTATACTTTCTTGCATTATTTCACAGGAACGATTTTTTATTATTATTTACAACTTTCGGTTTGATAGTTTGGTTAGAGCAGTTTGAAAGTACAACGGTATGTTGTTTTTCAACTGCAGATGTTAAAAGCTTCAATTAAGCTCAAATAAAACTTCATACCTTGAGACTTAATTGCACAATTCTTTGTCAACAATTTCCTATCATTCATTATTTTCCCTTTATACAGCTTCCCGCTCAACGATAAAAGAAAATGTTGCAATATTTCACACAAAAAATCTTAAATATCTTTACGCTGACCTGAAGCGAGTCGAGTAGGGCTTTGTGACCTTCGAGGGTCGTCTTCAGAGAGTCTGGGAAGTGCATCACGTCCTTCATCTCTTTGGCTGTGTTTCCGGCCGCACCGGCGTAGGTCATGGCCAAAGCGATTTGCAAGCTGATCGGCGAACAAACCAAGTTCGAACTGTCATCTTTTACACTCTGAAAACAAATTATATATAAAATTACATATTATACATATATTTGTAAAATCTATTGATATAAAATTAATGTAACATACCTTGTAGAAATCCACGGCGAACTTATTGCTCCCTTCGTAAAGAGCTTTATCAGCCATACCGAAAGCGGCGAGTAATACCACACCGAGAACTGGAACGAAGTGTCAATGGATTCAGTCAAGTTTTTTATCGGGGAAATGTCAAGCAGTTAGTCATCAGTAGTTATGTACGCCTCGCGTGAAGGCGTTGCCTCGACTGGTATTTTTGTGTGATGACTGCGTGTCCGAACTCGACTCTAACGACTTACACAGCCACGGGGAGTCAAGCTCTTCTATTTGTCCACCAAAAAGCCCCTTCCATTCGTCCATGAAAATCCGGCAAACTTCAAACTATTAATTTTGCTTCGAACAACGGAAAAAATACCTCGAAACATCCCTGGGATTAATAATTCAGCAATCTATTTACGAATTATCCACCTTGGCTGTCCATTCTAATTTCCTAAATTATTCCGATCAAAAATTTGACCATAAAAAATTTTAACTTTGTTTCCTAAATAAATCCGTTTAAGTAGGAATGTAAATGCACTATGATTAAAAATAATTCCATGATTTCAAGTTCTACTGGAGGAAAATAAGGAGTTATATTTCAAAAACACTACTACAAAAACTGCTGACCCCGTAACAATATTTTTAAACAAATTATTTGTTTTTGAAAAGGATTTTATTTTTCTAACTGTATCCTTATCTTTTAAAATTGATACTATAAATTGCAGTGATTAAAACCAGAAATAACTTTTTAATTATGTGCAATCCCTGCACAATGCAATATTGTTTTCTGGAAATGTAAATTAGAATGGTATTTTCTTATGTGCAATTTCCGATAAATATTATATTTAATTATTAAAATTTCATACCAACAAATTTAACTGCATATGACCGGATTTTTTATTTTATTTTTTGAGAATTATAAATTCTTCTCCCTTATCCTTTGATTTTTCTTTTCTCTTTGTATATAACCACGGTTGTGTTGAAACATTCACTCACTAAAAATCAGCCTTGCCATTTATTTATTAATTCAAGAACTGAAAAGGATCCCTGTGTGAAGGCCTAAATTCATAGGCAAAAATAAAGAAATCTCAATACTGATCTTCGGGGAGTTTTTTATGAACACCAATACTTTTTATGAGAATTTCTTAATTTTTAGGAAAGAAAATCGATTGAGCGTACTGATTGTTACTTAAAAGGCAACTTGATATTAAACCGTTATTAAAACAGAAGCGACCGATAGAGAGTTTGTGAGTGCGAGAGAGAGAGATACAGAGGCTCAATAAGAGAGAAAGAGAAACACGTAAGTATACATGAGAACACGATAGAGATAGAAAAAAGAGTTAGCGCGAAGCAGCAAAAAAGAGTTGAAAGAGAGGAAAAGAGGGAGAGAAAGACCAGACAAAGAAAGAGAGAAACAGAAAGCACGTAAGTTTACATGAGTGCATGATAGAGATAGGGGGAAAAAGAGACAACATAAAAGAGAGCGAGAAAGAGAGATATATTAATATATTCAATTATTTTTCAAATTACACAAAGTGCAAAAAAACGTTCAAAATACAAATTTAAATTGGCATTTAGGTTTATTTAAGCCTTTTAGCGTATTTAAATATGTGATGGGCTTAGAAAATTTGGTTTGTCTAGTTTTATGTCAGCTTTAAACCTTAAGTGTTTGAATATTATATATATTCATATTTTAGCAGATGGGATTTGAGATTAAAATAGTAAATATCCTATGACAGTTGAATGTAAATATCTCTTGATATTAGTGTATTTGTAATTTGAAAAATCGATGTAATTTAAATATCTCTCTCTTTCTCTCTCCCNTCTCTCTCTCTCTCTCTCTCTCTCTCTCTCTCTCTCTCTCTCTCTCTTTCTCGTTCGTAACTTTTATCATACTATCAATAGACACTAACCTTTTTAATTGGTAAAATCTCTCTCTCTCTCTCTCTCTCTCTTTCTCGTTCGTAACTTTTATCATACTATCAATAGACACTAACCTTTTTAATTGGTAAAATATCTCTCTCTTTCTCTCTCTCTCTCTCGCTCGCTCTCTCTCTCTCGCTCTCTCTCTCTCTCTCTCTCTCTCTCTCTCTCTCACACACACACACACACACACACACACACACACACAAACCCGCGCTGTTTGATTTTTACCTAGTTTATGTAGCCAGTGTTCATGGAAATTCAAAAAAACGCCAGTAATTAAGTAATAATTCGTAACCCACATTATATATTAATATTTACAATAATATAAATTTAACTTTTATTGAAGCCCTTATATTTAATGAACGTCCTGAATTCATTTAACCTTTTCATAGGAGAAATTGGTAAAGCAAAACAGTGTTTTGGAAGTAGTGCAAAAACGGCAGTTTTAAAATTTTTGGATTTTTGTTTATTAACAAAGAAAAATGAAAAATATTATTCAGAGATAAAACACAATATAGAATTAATCGTGTTCGTGACCCCATCGGAAAAACCGGTGCTCAATCGTGGTTTGCGATAATACAGGCGACCAGGTCAGCAGGTCGAAATTTAATTGATTTATATAACTTTAATTAATAACAAGAATTTGTACAAAAGAAGAAAAATAAGTTAAGAAGTGAACATAAATGAATTCGGATTATAGGCAATGTATCATCTCTGATGTAGTCAATTAAATTCTGACACACGTATTTTTTGGGAAAAAATATTTATAAACGAAAAATTTATATAAAAACTAATTTTAACGCATTAGTTAATTTAAACGTCATATCAGTTTAGAACTTTATGAACTTAGAACAGTTAAGAGTTGCGTAAATTCATACAAAAATAATCAATTTAAAAAATCTAGAAGACATTGTCAAAAATAAATATATAATGTATATTTTGAAAAATAAATAAACTGGTTTTTTAGAAGGTGTATAAATATTTTCATTATTCATAGTTAAAACTTAAGTTTATTCTACGATCTCGCCAAGACTTCCATCTTCGTCATAAAAATATAAATATTTGTCCACATCCGAAAAAAAAAAACATGTGTTAAATTTCACATAGTCGAGTTTTCTGTCAAATGTCTTTATGAAGTTTTTAAGCAATTTCAAGCTACTTTAAAAATAAAAAATATGTATTTAAACTTATAAAAAAAAAATACTCACGTCTAATCATAATGGTGGTGTGTCGATCAAATGGTCGAGACTAATGTTGATAAACCAGCCCTCGCTTAATATTTATACCGATGAACTATACGATAGGCTTCCCAGTAAAACACTAGTACCAACAAAACATTTGGTTTATCACGTAAGATACGAGTACAATTTTGCATCCGCACCAATATTTTATTGTATCTAAAAATAATTATTTATGGGGGTTTACGTCTTTCTGAAAAGAAATGTAAGTTTTTTTCTGGAAGGATTGCAAAAATTTTGACTTGAGTTTTATTTTTTCTTAGCTTTTGTATTTCACTTTATTTAATAACCATAACTTGATTGTTATGTTCTGATTGATTTTTTTTTTTAATAAATACATTGATTACAAACAAAATTAACTCACCACCCTTAAATTTTAATATGAATGAATGAATAATAGTATTTATTTACATGGAATACAACAAACTCAAAATATGTTACAAAATACTTTACGGCATGGACAACAGTCCGTCAGCCGGCTTAAATTTTAATATATTTAGGTTTATTCATTTTTGCATACCAAAAACAGGTTTGTTTGTAAAAATAAAACATTTAAAAAGAAAATATTCTTTTATTACCTAATTCTAAAAAACAATTATTGAGTAAAGAACAAAAAATAATAATAAAAATGAAAACGAAAAAAAAATTGTCCTCTTTAATACCGAGTATTAGGGGGCGTCGGTGGCCGCAACATTTTAGGCGTTGACACAGCGCACATCACGGTGAAGGTCCCGGGTTCGAATCCAGCGGCCCTGCATTCGAACCCGACATACTTACAAATGGGCTTTGAAAAAAAATGCCGAGTATTTTTGGTGAAAATAATAAGGAATTCATCAAGAACAGCGGTTTCAAACTCTTCTAGGGTGTTAGGACCTGAGTTTCGCTGTTGTTAGGCGAATATGTTCGATATACAATAAAAAATATGTTCAATTGGGATCAAATCTGGACTTCGAGCTGGTCATACCAAGCTCAATTCCAACCTAATTCAGGTAGTCATCCACAAATCACAATACGTGCTCCTTGGGGTCTGGCGTTATCCTGCATTTGGAGGGTCTCTCACCGATGTGGGGGCAAATGGCACTACATGGTCTTCGATCAGGTCTTGTCCTCTGTGAAGTTAGAGATCTTCCTCGCACAAATGATCGGTGCGGGCGTCCAAATGCCACCGCAGAGCATCAATAACCCACCGTGGAATACCCCCTGAAGCAAACCACACAGCATGGGGCGTACTTTTCCATTGAGCGTCTCCATATGAAATGACGCCCATCTGAAGATTTGTGGCCAATTCTCACCCAATTCTCTCCAATCTTCCAATTTCCAATTCACATGAACCCGTGCGAATTGGAACCTGGCCATTTTCTGAAGTGTGGCAAGAAGAGGTCGAGCCGGGAGCCGGGCCCTGAGGTTATTTATTCAGCCTTATTCTTACAGTCCTGGAAATTGAAACATTTGGACTTGTCTTAGCAGATTTCTTCATTACCCGTAATGCCGCGGTTTTGTAGAGCCTGATGGATGAATTTATCATGTCTATGGTATGTACACCTGTCAACCCTGTCCTGGCCTTTAGTGATGGTTAGGGATGGTTAGGGTGTTTAGTGTGAAGCCCTGTTTTTCTGAAGCGCCGAAGAACCCTTCCTATTGTAGATTTACATTCAGTTTCCTGGCGACTTCGCGCTGTGGTGTATCCTTCCTCTAATAATGTTATGACCCTGACACTCTCATACTCACTCAAATGCCTGACTGGAGCCATTGAAAAAGGATTAAGAATGAAATCAACTATTAATTTACTACTATTAACTGAAAACGATCTTTAGTCGTAGCAGAATGGAAGGGCATAATCCTAATTTTTGTGCAAATTTGATTAATCAGTACAAAAGTGAACAACGCATTATTTACTGTTTATTTTTAATACGATAGCATCTAATTACCTGACGCTAATGTAGAAAGATATTGGATTTAATTTTAAACTAAATAAATTGAATGGTACGTTAAATTTGTCTATCAGTGTAAATTTCCACAAACCCTGTCAAATCGGGTAATTCAAGAATAAGAAAGGAGTACTAAGTTTACCGTAATAATAATTCTTAAAAAATTGCCCAACTTGTAATATCACACAAATATGAAAAACAAAAATCAGAAAACAACCAGTCATTAACAGAGTGTGAATCATCAATCGTCAATTTAGTAACATAATAATTCTAGTAGTTTACTACAATTTATACATATTAAATTTAAATATATCCATATTCAGCAGATTACAATTTAAATATAGATTTATCTTTTGTGACTCAATGGCCGAATTTGAACACTCTTTCTGTTTCGTTAATTTTAGTAAGTCTTAGATAAAAATTCGACGGCTATGTAATAATCATGCAATGAGTCAATAAATTATAATAAATGCAATATTCATCTAACAGCTAAAGTCTTCGACTTTTGACGCCCGTTTCAAATCGTCTTTGATTTGAGAAGAAGGCAACAAAAATTCGACAAGAAAAGATTAATCTTTCGAATTTATACTTTTGTAGCGCCAAAATAAATTAAGAACAGCACTTTGTCAAACCGTGGCCGTCATAAAAAAATGACTTCAATTTCGTCAGAATCCGAGTTGTAAAAATATACAATTTTCTGAAAAAATCGGATCATGAAACATGGACTGAATTTTACAGTTTCCTTTCGAAAATCACGTAGTATTGGTTTCAGGCTGGACATTTTTAGGGCATAATCTATCAAAATTTTGTACAAGCTATCTATTCAAAATGCATGTAGAATTATACAGCTCACTATATAGAGTTTCTCAGTGTTTGTTACACCGTTTTTTATGTAATTGTTCACTCATTCACTTTTTATGTTCTGTAAAAATAAATGGAGATAGATAAATAAAGAGAGAGAGAGAGAGAGAGAGATAAATAAAGAGAGAGAGAGAGAGAGAGATATGAATAAAGAGAGAGAGAGAGAGAGTGAGAGAGAGAGAGAGATGCAGGCAATACACTTTATAAAAATATCTTTATGTATGATAATTTCACTCTCTCAAAAGTAAATTACCGAGAGAAATAGATAGCAAACTAGCTGGATAGAGAAACTATGGATCATTAATCTGGTGGAACAATGCTCAACAAAAAGTAGCTACCCAAACATTAGGCAGCATTCAAAGACTAGCCGTGTATCACAGGGGCAATGAGAGCAACCCCTACAAATGATTAGAAACTCTGCTAAGCCTCCACTGGAAATATCTATACAAGGAGAGGCTAGTAAAAGCTCATTTAGGCTCCAGAAAAAATCAAATTGGATAGGAACTAAACAATTTGGGCATACGCCAAAATTACCAAAATCAGACACCCATTCTTAGAAATGGGGACTGACTATATGATCCCGAAAAGGTTCTTTACAACATCCTATAAAGTCTCAACAGACTATAAAGGAGAGGAAGAACACAGGAGAGAATCAGATACAATGAATTGGTATACAGATGGCCCCAAAACAAACGAAGGAACCGGTACGGGTTGTTTTCTGTACAAGCCCAAAACATGGGCGATCAAACTCATTAGGGAAGTACATTTCAGTCTTTCAAGTAAAAATACATGCCATCAATGCTTGTGCCCCGGAAAATCTTAAAAGGCACACTGGCAAAAAAAATCCTCATAAGATCTGATAGCCAAGCAGCCATTAAAGCATTAGCATATCAAAGAATCACATCAAAATTAGACAGTGAATGCATCCAAAATATCCAAAACCTGGGGAAACACAACAACCTGATGATATTTTGGATGCCAGGGCACAGAGGAACTTTGGGTAACGAAAAAGCAGACAGACTGGCCAGAGGAGGATCTGCAAGACCATATATAGGCTCCGTACCTATACTTGGGATAACAAAAACAAATATAGAATCCTCCATTGCACAATAGATCCAAACAAAACAAAAGGAGAAACTCTAGTAATGCCAGGCACACCAAGATTGGCAAAATCACAGCTGCAATTGGAGAGGTCAAAACTCAGAGGAGTAGTAGGACTACTAACCGGTCACTGGATCTGAAAAAAACATCTACACAATATGGGCATATACAATGATGAACCCATCTGCAGATTATGTAATAAGGAAGAGGAAACAGAGACCCATATCATCTTCAAATGCGAAGCAACAGCTCAATTTAACCTAACATATGGAAAAATCTTAGGGAAACAAATTTGGTAGCAGCAATAAAAGTATCAGGTAACAGTCAATGACCTGTACTTTTAATGAGAAGGGTTGAGTCTATTGCACTGAACTAAGGAACTAGGAAGTATGATAAACCAGAAGGCTGCAGTGCCTAGGGAGCATAAACCCCACTCCTAGTATCCTTTTTACCATACCATACCATAGCTAGATAGATATAGAGAATGCTATATTGCTTACAAATTATTTTTATTCCTCATGAACCTTAAATGTTATTTTTTAATGTATTTTAAAACTGTATGAATGATTTATGTAGAATTTCTGCCGGTGCATTTCAGCCTGTAAGGAGGAATTGTAATTCTTGTAAAAAAAATTCCGCAGTCATAAGCAGATAAATTTGTTGGTATGAAATTTTAAGTATTCTTCTGGTTCCCTGATCAGGCTTTCGTGGTAAGTATCGCAACCTTACTTAATCGCAGTTCATTCTTGACCCGTGTTCATAAAAAAATACATAAATACATTATTTTATTGCCTTAAAACCTGCAGGTCCCTGATATTCTTTGGACTTTTACAATTTTCATTGGTTTATGTAAAGCCAGCATTACACAACTATATCTTTGTTGAAAATCAAATTTTGCAGGTGAACTATGAGCCAGGCCAATCATTCAAAATATTAATAAAGAACTTAAAAGAATAAAGCATATCCAGATAAAAGTTTAAAATTAACATTTCTAAACTAGGTGCATTATTTTCAGTAAGCAAAGGCCCTTGGTATAGAAAATCTTTAGATTGATCTAAAATGGTCACTTACCAAGGAATAACATGAAATGTGTAGCTTAATTAAATTATTAAAAGTTTCAACAAGAACTATGTTATGTTTAGGGACAATCAAACTAGAGGTCATTTTGCAGACAACTATTTTTTTCATTTGTTTTCCAATCTTTTATTACAACATATAATTTGGTAATAGATATTTGTACATACAACATATTTGTACTTCCTTGCATATTTGCGTTGAGGGGAGCCCCTAATCAATATTATTCCCCCCTTCACTACCTACTCCTCAGAAGGGATGGGTCTGTTGGACAAGGCTTGGGCAAGACTATTGGGGTGATAGGAGACATTATGTAAGAACTTGGTAAATTTTTGGACAAAGGATATTTTAAGGTTGTTGAGGAGGGTAGTATGGTAGACTAAATGGATTGAAGACATTGGATATCAGAAGATTTAGTGGTTCCCATAGTTCCATACTCTACATCCAAAATTGGTTGTAGTAGCATTTTGTACATTGTACGTTTGTTTTTCATCGATAGCTTGGATTGCCATCCTATAAGTTTGTACAGCAGACTGTAACTTCTATTTAGGTCTTGTCATTTCAGTGTTGTATTCCATGCTAAGTATGAGTCTAGGTGGAACCCAAGGGAATGAACACAGTCATATTTGGAGTAGAAGGTTGTTAGAGATTTGCTTCAGAGTGTAAATTTGACACGCTTGCTTTCACCGGATCAGGGTTAGAAAATAGCACAGCTGTGATCAGCAAAGGATACAAGAAGGGTGTAGTGGGAACATCTGCAGTATAAAGGAAATAGAGGAACCAGAGAACAGTATTCAGAGTACAGACTTACTTTTCTCAATTTCACTAATTATAGTTTTAATTATTTTTAAAACATTTGGGATGGCAATAAATACACAATTTATACATATATACCATGTATTAAAAGAAAGTGTGAAAATTTGAATATATACAATATTGTAAACAATTGAATTGAACTAATCTAGAAGTTGAAGCGCATCGAGTTTCTCATGAGGATAGAATCCTGCCTGAACCTGCCTTCCACCAAAAAACCTTCCGTTGAGATCAACAACTGCTTTGATTGCAGATTCGATTCTCTTGAACTCCACAAAAATCCTAACGGCTTGTTCCGCTACGACATCTGGCCTTTCATAAATTATAACACGTATGACATCTCCGTATTTCTGATTACACTCGTCCTTGACTTCGGGCTCGAGGTCATCGTCGACTTCACCTGGGCCGACCATATTCCTCAAAAGTACAACTTTAGAAGGCGTCTTCATTATTTCAGTTATCGAAGATATCTGCGGAGTCGATTGTGCAGGAGGTGGAGATGGTGGTTTGGGAGGTGGAGATAAACTCGGCACTACCGGGGGCGGAGGCATCATGTCTTTTTCATGTACGATTCTTCCTCCACGTTTAGATGTTTTTTCCACCTGCAAGGCCATCGCTATTCCTTGTTCTTTTTTACCCAATCCTTGGCCTTCTTTGAACCCGTATTTGGCCATGATTTTGGCAGCAACTGATGCACCGCTTGTTTTTGGTATGACATGTTCTACAAGAGAAGGTGGGGGCGCTATCGCAGCACCTAGATTACGAGGTTTCTCTTCTTCTTCTTCCGGTTTGTCTTCAACCGGCTCAAACCGGCTTTCTCGACTCTTCATCTTATCCTCTCTTTTCTTCATCCTCTCCTCGTCCTGCTTCTCCTTCTCCCTTTCCCTCATCTCTCTGAGATCTTTCACCACTTTCTCGTAATCGTTGGGCCAGAGAGGGTCGTACTCCTCACCAGTGAAGTCCCAATCAAGCTCTTCGCTGTAATTTGTACGGAGGTAGTTTTCTTTCGTTTCCTCTTCGTCCTCGTCCTTCTTGGAATTCAGATCGAAGACCGGGGCCAAAACGCTGGTCGTTTTCTTCAGGTTGTCTCTTTTAGTCGAATTGGTCGCTTTCTTCAATTGGAGGTGAGACTGGAAGAGTTTTATCCCGGATGACCATCCGGCCACTTCGTCCGACTTCTGCCTCAGGGTATCTAAGTCGTCGTAGAGAGACATTTTCGAAGAAAAAAAATTAAATACAGTCGTTTAAATTTTCAAACAAACGACAAAGTCGTTAATAAAGAGAGGTTACATTATAATTGAATCGACAGCATGACATTATGTGAACATCAAGCATCGATCATCAGTCGATCTCACAGGTCACTGTCAGGGTAGATCCTAGTAATGGGAAGGACGTCACCATCACTAGAACCAGTACAATTATGGAGTACCCTGTATATAGGTACCCTATATTTAGGTCTTCACATTTTTTTATAAAAAACTAAAACACATTCAAACCTTGTTGATAGAACTTAAAAACTTGCTGAAAGAAAGCCATGAGAATATTACCAGATTAAGTTATTGAAGAGAACGTATCGACCACTTGAAGTTCAATATGATGTATGATCAGTATTATGGTCAAGGGGTAGAATAAAAACCCAATATTGTAAGTAGTTATCTGTACCACAAATTAGTAATTGTTTGTTTTTATAAAATAATTGTTAATTGTTTTCAATTTGTTTGAAAATATAGGTACTGATGATGACTTTCAAGCCTGGATGAAAGCTTGGCAAAGTTGAAATTTTGTTTTTATTCCCTTGGCCATAATACTGATCATACATCAAATTAGAACTTAAAAACCATCTGTTAATTAAACCTTACAACATCTATAATATTTTTATTTATTTATTTGAAAGGTACAAATAATGCTTTAACCCCCCCTACATGTACATATCTTAAAAATAAATTTAGTTTTATAAACATAGCAAAACAATAATAAAATATACAAAAGAATAATGACAATAATATATTCTTTAAAATATATAATCGAATGATGACATCACATTAAGAAGAAAAGCAGAAAGAGAAAAAAAGATAAAAGGAAACAAGGAAAAGAAAAAGAAGATGAATAAAAGGAGATGATTCATGTTGTTTTTAAAAACTCCGATGCCATGGACCTGAAACAAGTTAGGGAGAAAGCAGAACGTACTACGCAGGGAAGCAAATTCCATAGTATTGCAATTCTGAACAATAAGGCTAAAGTATTATAGTAGTGTTGAAGGCTTGGGAAATGATTGGTGCGTTTGGATAAGGAATATGGGGAAAAGTTTATATATATTTTGATAACATTTGTTCATCATTTTCTTCAAAAAAAATTAATAACAAGTGTTTAATCACAATGGATGTGTTCTTATGCAATCAAAAGATGGCATATGAAAGTACAGACTTTAAAAAAGCCTGGTCTACCGTCTAAGTGAAAAGCGTCAGAAGATTCATGAACAGGATAACAAACATGGTGGTAAAAATGACACGAAAAGTTCATTTTAATAAATCTTTAAAACCATTCTAGAAATGAGAGATTTTTGGAAAAATGCAGTGCCAACAGTTAGAATGAAGAGTTTTAATATGTTACAGTAATGGATCCAAAATAAGACAAGGCTAGGGGCATCAGTGGCCACAATGGTTTAGGCGTAAGGTAAAGGCCCCGGGTTCAAATCCAGCGGCCCTGCATACTTACAAATGGGCTATTTTTCAAAAACACCGGCACCCTGAGGGTTGATATGACCTCTGCTGTTGCGAACCCTCGTAAAAAAAAAAAAATAATAAATAAGACAAGGAGTAAAAGCAGAAAAAATCCAATTTTTTTTTCTTAACCAAACCTATGGGACACTTCACCCTGAAAGTTAAACATTTTACCTCCATGCTCAAATAATTATTCACTCAGGAAGGGACTGAAAGGGACAAAGATGGATTACTGCTTGACATGTATAATCTAAGATAGCCAGGCAGTATTAAGGAATTTTTTGTATTCCTTGAGCTCAAAGCTGGAAGGAGGGTGCTTGAAAGATTATGTGGATGCAAGGAAAGAAGATAGAAGGATTGTAAAATTACTACAGCATTTGAAGGAAATAATAAGGCTTTGTTGCTAGAAGGGTGAATGGGACATTAAATCCACTTTGGAAATATTATAAATTTATCTCCCCGACACTGAAACTTAGTCTAGTTAAGATTCTTATTTTACCATTTTTTACTTCTTGCAGTTTTATCTACTCCTTTTATTTAGACACATTTCTACTAAAAAAAATTAGAACACTTTTTAATAATTACACATTATTTGTATTAAGTTTACTAAGAATAGAGCATATCTCAAAACATGACAAGTTCATTCTAGGTATTAATTTATTTGATTCCATTAAACTCCGATCTCTTATTAATTTTTTAAAATTGAAAATAAGCTCTACCCATCATACTTATTCATTATATTCAGCTTTAATTCTTCCCGTAGTTTAAATATATTTAAAAAGTACAGACACCACAGAGCCAAATTTACGAGTTATCATTTAGAGTTGCTGGGGCACATCAGTGGATTTCCCTTCTGCGGCATATTAGCTCGTCCCACCCCTTCAAGCTTTCAGTTGTGAAGCTTACAACGTTTTTTGCAAATAATCCTTGATTTGATCAAACTAACTCAACATTAATTTAATTGTTGGTTTAATGGTTAATCATGATCTTTCACTTTATAAACTAGAAAGTTTGAGAATCTGGCTAATTATTTGAAAAATAAAATACAAATTGTATCCTTTAATGCTGTTTTGTTTACACTGCTTCTCTTCAAATTTTTATAAATGATGTCTCAGATTGCTTTAAATATAAATTATTTGCTGATGATTTAAAGATTTATAAACTAACTACTGGATAAAGCAGTACCTAATCTCACAAGAAATCTCCTCATTTCAAGGGAGCTGTTTAAAAATTAAACCCAAAACATAGAGTTCCTTAAGAATTCCAAATCTCCTGGTCCTATTGTATGCTTTTTCCAGGTCGAAGAAGACAGCTAAAGCATATTATTATTATTATTATCATTATTTTTAATTATTATTATTATTATTTGGACAATGTGTCAATGGTGGTTTGTAAAATCCTTCCTATGTTTTGGAAATTTTTTTCCAGACAAGTAAAAGCAAAGTTTATCGACATACTATATGTTCATCTACATTATCAGCCAGACCATTTACCGCAATAGCAAATAAAGTGACACTCAGAACTGAACCCTGAGGAATCCCATTTTCTTGAATTAATGTACTGGATAAGGCGGTATGTAATCTCATCTGGAATTTCCTCATTGTGAGGAAGCTTTTTAAAAATTAAACCCCAATCATAGAGATCCTTAAGAATTCCAAATCTCCTGGTCCTATTGTATGCTTTTTCCAGGTCAAAGAAGACAGCTAAATCTTATTATTATTAATTATTATTATGATCTGATTGTTATTTTCTTTTTCTTCTTTCTTTTATACTTTTCTTTTATACCTACTTCTCTCCTTCATTCATATTCAACTATGTTAATGTCATAAAATTTTTGTTTATTATTATTTCTTACGTTATATTTTTTAACCTTTCTGCTATTTAATTAATTTATATTTTTCTATTTACAGTAAAGGGGCCAATCCCTATAGTTAAAATGTTTTTGATAAATATATTTCTATTTCTATATATAATAGTTTGAATATTGATGTGTACAGCGGGGTAAACGTAACCGACCAATCTAGATAGCGGGCCTGGCTTGCGCTTGTCAGTTGCATCTACTGTGTAGCACACTAGCACTGTTACAGTGTAGAGACTGTCAAACAAAAAGCTTGAAATGACAGGTCGCCAGGGATCTCGTGTTGTGAAATCTTAAACCGCTGACATAAGTGTTAACAAATTTGCCGTTGAACAAATTCCCTGCTGGTCAACGTTGTCATGCCCAGATGCCGATTTAAAAAGGCTCGCATCTTCGGAATATCGAATAGGAAGAGCTAACCTTTTTTTCCTCTCACTTCCGTCGTATTCTTCGCCCTCCCTGTTTGGAATTCGAGGAAAGAAAATGAACCGGAGGAGAAACCCGAGCAATTTCACCTACATCAGCCCTTGCGTCAAGTATATGATCTTCATGCTTAATTTCCTCTTCTGGGTGAGTCAGAGTTCCTTTATACAAGACAACTAATTACAAGACAATTTACATGGGCTGGTCCCACAAGAGAATTTTTTTTAACAGTTAATTATTTTTTTTTAGCTGTTTGGAGGGTTGCTAATTGGCATTGGGACATATGCTTTTGTCGATAAATGGCGAGGTACAGGGGGCCTGTATAAAGTCAATACAATTTATGATATATTACTTGACATATCTCTAGTCCTTATTATATTCGGGGGAGTTGTTTTTGTCGTAAGCTTCGCCGGATGCGTCGGAGCCCTAAGAGAAAACACGTGTCTCCTTAAATTTGTAAGTTCATTTATAAATAGTTAAATATATCTCTTGAATTTTTCTTCTACTGCTACTAATCTCATCTCCTATCTGTTCTATCAGAGAGTTAAAGCTTCAAATTCTCTTCTTTCTCAATTTCAGTTGATGTACCACAAGGCTCTATTCTTGGACCTTTACTCTTTTCCATGTTTACAAATGATCTTCCATTAGTTCTTAATTTCTTCCAATTTCATCTATGCTGATGACACTCAGCTTTACATTCAGTGTTTTGTAAACAACATCGCTGAAGCTATCTTCTGCTCAGCCATGATTTCATTCCCCAATCTATGATCAAGAAATAATGGCATTCTTTTAAACCCTAACAAGTCCCAGATCTTATTAATTTCCAATAAACCCATTAATAAATATTGCCTATCCCTCCTTGTATCAACGGCTCCCTTATTAATTTTTAACCAAAAGTTAAAAGTCTCAGCGTTATTTTTATCTCCAAATTTACGTGACATGACTATGTAAGCTCTATTATTAAAAAGATCTACTCAAGCCTCCATTCTCTTCGACTTAGCTTTTTTACTCAACAGAAAACTAGTTCTACTTATTTAGCGCTATTTTTTCACTTCCTTATACTTTTGTGTTTTTTTAGCGACCAGAAAAACACCTTTTCATTATTTTTATTTTTTTTTACCGACGTTTTAACCTTTATTCAGGTCATCTTCAGGGCCTAGGTGAATTATAAAACATATGTTGATTGAAAAAATACAATACATTTGTAAATAATATAAATTTTAAACCAAATAATATCATTTTTTTACATTAACAGAGACACATACAGCATTAATTACAGAACAGATATATGCAAACTCAGCTATGCCCACATCATAAAGCCAATAAACCATTAAACTTTTCCTTAAAAAAAACTATATTATCACATATTGATAATATTATTGTTGTTATTTTAGCCTGTAGATTGTTATTAAAATTTATTTTTTTATGTTGATCCACTCTATTCCAAAGACAGACAACCAAAAACACACTTTCATAAAAACTCTTAAGTGTTTAATTTTCAATGGGCATAGCAGCTGAAGAAGGGGAGTGGGCAGCACCCCTTTTGTTTTGTTTTAATAAAGACTACTTTTTATGGAAGTGTGTTTTTGGTTGCCTACGTCTATGGAGTAGCGTGGATCAATGTAAAAAATAATGATTAAACTGTATTTTTAAATTTCCCTTTCCTTCAATATCATCCAATCCAGAAAATCCCCATTCTCGACTTCCTTTGATTCAAATAAAACCGCCTATGATCAAAGAAAATTTCACAAGATTTATTGTGTTCCCCACCCTGTCACAGTCATATAAAAAAAGGAATACAAATTCACGTTTCACAACAATTTCACACGAAACAAATAAGACACCACAAGAATAGCACCCCACTTTATGTGAATATGAAATACTTGGTTCATTATTTACATCTTTACTATTTTTTCCAATCAACACATGCTTTGCAATACACCCAAGCCCGGAATGACCCGAATAAAGATCAAAACGTCAGCAAAACAATGAAAAAGGTGTTTTTCTAAAGTACTTCATTCCTGACCACTCCTCACCACTTCAACTAATTATTTCCTTAGACTCTCAATCTGCTCATCACCTTCAAATCGCTTATCATTTCTGCATTAGACAGTGTTATGATTTTAAACCAAGAAATCATATTTCTTCCTATATTAACTTCTTTAGTAACCTTAACATACTAAGCAATTATAAACCTAGAGTTTTAATATACATATTTATAATTAAATAAAATAAATTTCTTCAATATCTATAAGTATTAGAAATCGTGAGATGCGGTCTGGTGTGATGTAGGTTTCAGAAAAACGTTTTCTTTATCGTGCCAACGTTTCGATCTTTATTGAGATCATCTTTAGGGCTCAAAGTGTTTGTCTTCTGTGTACTTGTGCCATTGTGGGCACTCTCAACACAACACGCAAGAATGGCACAATTACACAGAAGACAAACACATTGAGCCCTGAAGATGATCTCAATAAAGATCAAAACGTCGGCACGATAAAGAAAATATTTTTCTGAAACCTACATCACACCAGACTGCATCTCACGATTTCTAAATAAATATCGATTAACGGCCATTAATCACCACACAAATATCTATAAACTTTTTCCCTACATTCCTTATCTAAATGCACCAATAATATCCCAAGCTTTCAACACTCCTCTAAAGCTTTAGCCTTATCCTTCAGAATTCAGAGGCAAGACTATGGAATTTGCTTCCCCAGTTATGCTTCCTTGCTGGCTTATTTCAGGTCCAAGGCATCTGAGTTTTTAAAAACGACATGAATCACCTCCTTTTCTTCCCTCTTCCTTTTCTTTTTCCCTTTTACTTTTACCTTTTTCTCTTTCTACTTTTTTTTCATAATATGGTTTCATCATTCAGTTATAAATAATTAATATTTTAAAAATATTTGTATAATAATAATAATAAATAAATAAATAATTTCACTAATTTCGTGGTCCGCTTGACCAATTAATACATTACAATTAATTAAGGTTTTTAGTTGAGATGAAAAAAAGTTAATGGCACGAGAGGGATTCGAACCCACGACCTTCGGCCCATGAAATTAGTGAATTTAATTAATTAAATGAAGTACACTTCACTAAAGCTCTCCGTCGCCATTTCAGTTGTCGTCGAGAATCCAAACCGATTACACGACATTTGAAAAATGGCAAAAGGAGGGAAAACTCATAAGGTGGGTTTGAGATGGGGAATTGATGTCCGAGTGGATCGAGGTCACGATAGCTCAGGTGGTAGAGCAGCGGCGTATCTAAGCGAAGGTCATGGGTTCGAATCCCTCTCGTGCCATTAACTTTTTTCATCTCAACTAAAAACCTTAATTAATTGTAATAAATAAATAATATTATTGTTCTGTATATTTTATTATTATTATTTTACTATGATTATAGAACTAAATTTACTTCTAAAATATGTACATGTAAGGGGACTTAAAGCCTTATTTGTGCCTTTATAATAAATTAAATAAAAATTTGTAGGATAATCCCAATAATTCGCTTGTCTGTTCCAGTATTCATTATGTCTGTTGATATTCTTCCTCCTGGAAATGGCGATCGCTATAATCGGCTTCGTGTTCCCTCACACCATGCAGACTATAATTCAAGATTCTTTTACAGTTCAAATAATACACAAATACAGGGATAATGACGATTTAAGAAACTTCATAGACTTTGCGCAAAAGGAGGTAGGTAAAGAAATGCAAGGATGCAAATTAAATAAGTCTTAATAAAACTTGTTTACAGTTCCATTGCTGCGGCCTGAGTTCAGGAGGGTACATGGATTGGTCGAGCAATGAGTATTTTAATTGTTCTTCCCCCAGTCGAGAACAGTGTGGAGTCCCTTATTCTTGCTGCATCAACGCAACAAACATTGCTGTAAATTATTTTATATTTTTCATTAAAACACAGTCTTTAAAAACTTGATTTTTTCTTATTTCAGGGTGGTTTAATTAACATAATGTGCGGATATGGAGCCCAAAATCTTTCAGTTAGTATATCTCATTTATACACCCAAAGATCACACTTGTATTTTGTTGTTTATTTCAAACTATATGTACATATTTTTATTGTTATATTAATTACAACATAGTTATTTTAATTTAATCCAAATTAAACGAGTTTTAATAAAAACAATATTTAATTATGGTTTGAAAAAAAAAATCACCAGAAAATCATTTAGTAATCGAATAAATTGTTAAATTTTGACTTTTAAAGTTAAATTTTCCGTCTTTTTTTTTTTAAATCATAATCAATTTTTATTTGCCTCATGAATTTCTAATTTTATGTAATTTGGTTTACATTAAAATAAGTACGTTTTAATTAATACAATTTTAAGAATAATATAGTTTGAAATAAACAACAAAATATGAATCTCAAGTTTAGTTATCTTGTACATAATAAAAAATAGTTTTTATTTATGTATATTTTAATTTTAGGCTGCTGAAGCGAGTAAAAAAGTGTGGACAAGTGGCTGTATCGAAGTCGTAAAAGCATATGCGGAGAGGAATCTGTACACAATCGCAGGTTTTGCATTGGGCGTAGCACTCAGTCAGGTAAATGTAAATTGTATAATAAAAATAATATTTTTTTAAATAATCTTTGGTTTCCAGCTGTTTGTGATATATCTCGGGAAGACCCTCGAAGGACAGATAGAGCTACAAAAGTCGCGATGGACGTCGTGAAACATAGTTGCCTACCGCTAAATCTTGACTGATTTTTCTTTTTTGTTTCCATACCTTTCTTCAGAAGTCTACGTATGAACAGAGTTGAAAAAAAAAAATGAAGATGCGGTAGGCATTCATAAATACAAAAACTAATGCTTTTTTATTTTCAGAAAAATGGTAGGCTAATGAATTCTCTTTGTCATTCCCTTGTTTCCAGTGAACAGACGATTTTTTTTCCTCCGTCTTGTCTTTTCAGGCAACTATTTGTTATTGAATATTTATTATTAATAAGAAGTTTGAAGAATAAGACTTAGCTTCAAAAAAAGAAAAACCCGTGTTTTTCTCATATTGCAAAAATCTAGTTTTAAAGTAATTTTTAACAAAACGACTGCTAAATTTTTGATACCAGAAAATATAGTGTAATAATTAAATATAATGTTTAGTGTAAATGCCAATACAAAAACGACAAACGTAACAGCTTTTATTTTACTACTTAACAGGCGTGGGAGACCAAGTAGCTTTTGATTCAAATAATTTTCATTTTCATCTTAATAAATTAAAACCATACATTTTAATATACTAAACAAAATCTTAAAGCGTAACAATTTGGTTATAAATTTTTAAAAAAATGTTTACTTTATTTTTACACATATTTTTGTACGTAACAGTAGATGATTTTGATTCAAAAAAACTCAAAATTCAAGGGATTAATTGCCAGAATAAAAACCTGGTGATCTGAGCTTCCAATTACCCACTTAGACTTATTTCCATTAAAAAAATAAATATTTTATTATTATTAGCTTTAGTTATCTAGTTCATTTCTATAATTAACAGTAAATGTACAAACTTGACATCTCTCAATTTACAACTTTGCAAATCATTTAATTTTAATATTCAAAGTATGATATAAAATCTATTATTTTAAAGTCGAGTCAACAGAACAGAAGGATGGAAAAACTTGGATTTACATTATTTAATCTCTCATTTATGTTAAGATTTTTTGAATTTTTAAAGGTTCAAAGAGTCTGCCGTCCTTTTGCAGGATGAACTTGAATTTAAAGGGGAATTTTTAGCAATACAGTCCAAAGAAAAATGCTGAATATAATTATTATTGATTAGGATTCCAATTTCCAATATATGTCTATAAGTTTCTTATTTGTAATATTTATGAATATATTATATATTATGTGCTTTAAGTTCTATCTAGTAAGGAGAAAATAACATTAAAGGCAAAACAAAAATTCTTTACAGCAGAAACAAAATTGTGCCAAGAGTTTTAAGGGAACATTTTAAATATTTGTACAAAAAGTGTATTTTTGGCTAAACTACATTAATGAAACGTCGAGAGTGTTTTATACGAGTATTAAAATTTTCTTCTACTTGCTCTTAACCAGTATTAGCCAACATTTGGTCTTTGAAGGTTAAAATAATTGATCAATAAATGGTAAAATAGATGAACCCATTTAAGAGAGTAGATTCGATGTTTAGTTATTATTATGTGTTATTTGTTTTTGTGTTTTGTTTTCATTTCAAAAAAGGCGTAAATGATTCTTCCGTCCAATCTATAATTTTTAGAAAGAAGAATAATGCAACTTGCCTTTAAAAGATGTTACTTGTTGAGATCAAATGTGCATGGATTATCGTTTTGTGTGTTTTTGGCGGAGTCAAGTTATTTCTAGATTGTATACCAGTAATTGATAATTATATATAATATACCCTTATTTAGCAGTGAAGAGAAATTGTAAATATAATATTGCGTTCATACATATTTGATTTATAAAGTTTTCAGTCTTGTATGTAATATACTATATTATTATGTTATGTTTATATACAATGTGTTATTAATTATTGTATGGAATTATATAATAAACTGTAATAGCCAGATGAATTTGTTTTAATTTTGTGTTAAACGCTTTCAATTAATATAGTAAAATCGGGTCAGTTTCTCAAAATGCAATTATTTAATTGAAACGCTTTGATTTCCGGTCGGGATTTCGCAATTCAATCTCTGTTAGATAGATTAAATGAGTCAAATAAGAAGGCTCCCAAGGCCCAGTGTGATCATCAAAGATACAAATCAGTCGAATTAAAAGTACTCCTAACACCAGTCTCATTCTTTCATCCACACGGTCATGATGGCTCTCCCTGTCTAACTATGAACCCGTTACCACTTTTATTGGCTCTAATATCCATTCTGGACTTTTCTGAAGCCAAGTTTCTCAAAAAGGGAGACTTGGTGAAGAAACTCATGAAGAAAAAGTACGTTAGGGAGGGAAGCCTAAGGCTCGTTGGAGGTCGAGGGAAATATGAAGGTAAAATTTTCCTTCTTTGAATTCTTACAAGTTTACAAAAACAAAAAAAAAATTGGTTCACACTTCTTATTTATATTATTTCTAATTAAAATTAATATTTTTATTATCAAAAGTATTGGTACTACTTTTATTTAAACCTTTTTTTTTTCTGAAATTAAAATATAAGCTGTAAGCTTATATTGCTGACAAGATCTTAATATGATAATTATTTAATTTTTTGACATGCTTCTAGAGCTCTATTTATACAGATGTGTCATCTGCTTCAATCTAAATTGAATGTGGGGCACTTGTCAGGGTTAAAAGTTGAGAGGTTCAACTAATTAATTGGTTCTTTAGTTTTGTTTGAATCACATTTCAATGAAGAAAAAGAATGGTTGACATCGTTAAAGAAGAAATTTTCAAATAAAACCATTACTCCTTTAAAATATAATCTTAGCTTTTACTTTAACTTAATTTTTAAGGTTTAAAACATTAAATTTATACATAAACAAATTTCTAATGAAACAGTCGCTTTGTTAAAAAAAAATTATGGCCTGCGTACTATGAAGAGTATTGATCTATTGTTCATCTCCATTGTTGTCAAGAGCTCATTAAGTTATGCCAAAGCTTTTTCAATTACTTCTGTGTGTATCCTTCAAGCCTGGACTTTTCCTCTAAGTAGGAATCTCAGCCTGTATAATCCTTCGCAATATCTGCACACGCTTGTTTCTGCAGCTCTGAGTTCATATGACTGTGGAGTATGCAGTGTCCAGACAGTTGTTCGACTATTCCAGCCCTAACACATCTTAATTCTAGTAGTTCTACCATTAACTTTTTAGTAGGTTGACTTAATGAATTTTTTTACATGTCCTAGAATGCAATCCTGTTTGACAGAGGGCTTATTATTAACCAATGTTTGATGGATCTACATTTGGGAAGTTAGGTATGCCGCAAAAGGGTTCAAGGCTGATAGGTGTTCTCACTGATTTTTGATGGCCTTTTCATTGCTCCTCTGCCCGGTTGCCATGGACAGAAGCCTTAAACCTTTGAAACCATGGTAAGGTCTAGGATGAGATGGACCCGTCACTTATCGTCCGTAATCATCCAGACTTGCCTATTTTCACTGGTTTTGTGAACAAACTGAAAAAAAGATAACATAATAATCAGTGATGATAAAGTTGCAAACAAAACTTAACTTATTGACAAATCATTCGACTTTATCTTCCTAATTTGCTAAGTAAAAACTTCGCTAAGGATTTACAAATTGTTTTTACATCACTTATAATCATTTGGATGGAGGAATTCACGCTTTATTAATTCTGACAGTTATAATTTGCCCCCTTAATAATTTTGTTATATTAATTAATTAACTGGTGAAGTTATATAATTAATGTATTCTGCACTTGTAATTTATTAAGATTTGAGGCTTTTAACAACTGAAGATTGTGAATTTGACAGACAAAACAAGCAATAAGTAGAGCAGGATGATCAGAAAAAAAATAATTTGAATAATCATAATTGTTATTGTATTGGTTATTTATTTTATATAATCGCTTGGAATCCTATCTGACTTTAATTTTAAAGGAAATGTTGAGATATTTCACAAAGGTAGATGGGGCAATATCTGCGATGACGAGTGGGATTTGAGAGAAGCCAGTATTGTCTGTTCAAAACTCGGATATGAGTTGTCCAGACCTACATACGCTTCTTATTTTGGCGAACCAAGAGGTAAGACAGCTGAATCAGTATTTTAAATGTATTTATACACATCTTACTTTTTAGGAAACTACTTAATGGATAATTTATACTGCGACGGATCGGAGAAGAATCTTTCCTCTTGCCGCTTCGACGGGTGGGGTAATCATGACTGTGAAAAGGATGAAGCTGCTGGTGTAGTTTGTATCAACAACGAAAAGACAAAAAGCATTATAATGTCAGACGCGACAAATACAGTAAAAATTGAGAAAGACAAAGTCAAAACGAAATACGGAGATCTGCAATTGAGACTGGCTGATGGGAGGACCAAAAATGAAGGAAGAGTCGAAATGTTGTTAGATAGCAAAGGTACATTTAATTTATTAATTTATCATCCAATCTTTTTTAACAGCTTGTTATTAATTGTTCTTTTACATAAGGAAATATTCATGAGTAGTGTATGTAACCAAAAATGGAATTTTTGAACACTAATTGCTTAGTAAGTTTTGTGGTCAATCAGCCATAAGTTTTTTAAAATCTGAGCTGTTCTAGATTAAAAAATATAAACATGATCCTAAAGCAATCTCACCAATTATTTTACTTTTTTTCACTTTATTATATTTCATGTTAGGTGAGCAAGGATGGTATGCTATTTGCGGAGACGGCTGGCGTCTAATTGAAGCCAACGTTGTGTGCAAACAGCTCGGCTTAGGGTTTGCTCAGACTGCGACACAGAACCATTTTCTTGGAAGTAAAAGGCTGAAATTGAAAAACAACGGCCGATATTTGACTTTTTAACTTTTTTTAGATGGAATTCTAAATATGACAATGAGTGGTGTGGAATGTGTCGGAAATGAAGTTTCCCTTTCTGAATGTACAATACCAAATAGTTTTTACTGTCCAGGAAATTTCTTCGCTGGAGTTATATGTACAGCAGGTCGAGATATTTTTTCTTTATTTCTGTACATATAGATATAAAAAAAAAGTTAAGTTTTTTAAAGTTAAGTCATTTCCGATCATCCTAATCTGCCTCCCTCCCTGTTTTGGTGTCATATCAGTGCCAAAATACATCTTAGATCAAAACGGCGAGGATAGAACATTGATTTCAAATTTCAAATCTACAAGTTCATCCTGCAAAAGGAATCACATATATTTTAAAAAAATTATTATATATTTTAAAAGCTGTATTGATTATTTTATTATTGATTTCATTGTTATTCTTTGCCATTCTATCCAAAATTCAACAAGTAACCTTTCATAATTGATGGCTTAGGTCTGACACCTAAAAGTAAAATAAGGAATTACAATCATTATAAAATTTGTTTTTGAAAATTTAAATGTTGTATATAACAGCAAAACTGTTTAATTATGTTATCTCAGTTATAGCCAAATAATCGACAAATTTGTACTTAATTATCTTTATTTTTATATTGAAGAAATGGCAGACTTGTCAATCGACAAAGACGAAATTGAAAAGAGCGCATATTTAGAAGACAGGCTCATGTATTTGTTACAATGCGCCATGGAAGAGAACTGTGTCGGGAGTTCAGCGTATATTAGACAAAAAGATTCTGGATATTGGCACCTAGAAACGAGAAGGCTTTTGCGGTTCACTGCAAAGGTGACAAACATCGGTAATGAGGCTTTCAGACCTTTCTTGCCAAAGAACCTCTGGCAGTTCCATCAGTGCCACATGTAAGTGAAGAAACTTTACCAAAACAACGCCACCTAAGTCCAACTTGGCTTTGTTTTAAAGGCATTTCCATAGTATGGAGGTTTTTGCGACTTTTGACATTATTGACCAAAATGGGTTCAAGATCGCCGAGGGGCACAAAGCTTCTTTCTGTCTAGAAGATAACGAATGTGCCAATGGCGCAAGGCCTGAATTTGCTTGTGCAAACTATGGCGACCAGGGGATATCGCCAAACTGCTCAGATATATACAAGCACAATATAGACTGCCAATGGGTTGACATCTCTGATATGGAAACTGGGCAATATTATTTCAAGGTGCTGTCATATTTCAAATCTAATAAACATTTTTTAACTTCAATTTTTTTTCAGGTGAAAATTAACCCCGAGTTTAAAATTCCAGAGATGCGATTCGATAACAATGAAGTCACATGCAATTTACTTTATACACCAAGTTACGTGAGGATTTTTAATTGTGCTCATACAATGTGAAAAGAAAAAGTTGTAAATGAATAAAATTATTAAGCACAGAATAAAATGTCTTAAGTAATCCTAAATTAAGCATTAAAAAACAGTGTGTTTTCTTACAAAAGAAGCAACAACGTTATATAATATTAAAAAAAAACTAAAAGAACACAAATTTTGTTTACAAATCATTTATTGTTATTGTATATACATGAATAGATTTAAATAATAAACAAAATATTTTCAATATGTAAAAAAATATATACATCGGCACACAAAAAATTGGTATATCACATAGTTTTTTTCTTTTTTTTCTGTTTTGTTGGCAAATGTGTTGGGTTTTTAAAAAGGGTGCTGTAAAAAAAGTAACCATTAATAAAAAAAATAAAAAATTTAATAGATAAAGCAAGTTCTTGACTTACTGGCACATCAGACAAATCGGTGAAAATTTGCAAAACACTGTAACAAAATTGAAAATTGTAATTTGAACAAAATAAATCTTGAAAATAAAACAACAATTATAAAAATAAAGTAAAATAAAAATTTAAAAAAGTCTTTAACACATCGTCTGCAGAGCCCGTAGGCTATCATAAAAATATAAGTATTCATTATTTTTATTTGAAATGGTGAGATAAAGAATGCAAAACGAAACTGATGTTTTATCTTTTATATTACAAATGGAAACAAACCCAATAAGTGTATGATTCTCAGAAATAAAAATTATGCAGATAAAATAATAAAACATTCACAATCAACAATTAAAAGATAAAAGCTATAATGGTAGGTTGTAATATCCATTTTTCACTTTTACGTGTTTATTAAACCTGGTTTTAATTTATTAAAACAAGACTCATAGAGGGGACCGCAGTAGCTGAGTGGTCAGCATGTTAGGTTCTCAGCTTGTAGACTCCGTGGTCATGATTCAATGCTGCCCTTGACCTTTTTATCAAGCTTCCTTCCCCAAGATGTGCGTTTTTTGTTGCATTGCATTTTTCGTTACTTTCTCTCTGGCTAATATTGGCAGATAATTTTTTAAATTATTTTCAATGATTTTTTTTTTAAACATAATAAATATTTAGGAAGAAATAATTCTAATAAAAAAGCTAAAATGGTTATTTATAATATATATTTTCACTATTCCGATAATATGTTCATCAGACCTAGTTTTTAATGAGTTGTATTTTCATAATCTTCCAGTCACTCTTAAAGAAATAACTAATTTAAAAAATACTGCGGAGCCAATTAGTCAGTGTGATAGACTCTTGGCTTGTAGATCCTGCCCACGGTCATGGGTTCAAATCCTATTGTCGCCTCTGGCCTTTTTTTCACACTACCCTTCCCCCAGTAAATGAATACATATAATATTACATACGACTGCTCTGTGCTCTGCCTAATACGCAAGGATATTATTTTAAACAAGAGAGAGAGGAGAGAGAAGAACATAACAGGAAATGTTAAACTTTTAAAAAAATAATATTTTGGTCTGAATTTTTTTTTCATTTTATTTAATTTAGTTTTTTTAATGGGGGCTAATGACTACAGCCACAATACACTGTGAAGGCATGGCCTATCCTCAAACTAGTGAGCATGATCCCTTTCTTGCATTTTAGACCATCAGAGGCCATTCTCAATCGTCCTCGTGTCTGAAGATCTATATCTTATAGTTTTGGCTTCCAAACTACCGAAGAATGCAGTAAGTAGAAAAATTGTTGCCTTCCAAAATCAAAATTTCCACTCGCATTTTGAAATTCAGACTGGCAAAACTCCGAAACCATGAGAGTAATTATTATAAAATTTTCAGAGCTTGTGAGGGTTGGTTTCTAGATGGTCCCCTATTAATTTCATCCCAATTGGATCAATGGTATTGCCTGTGCATGCGTAAAAATAAAATCCTGTACACAACTCCATCTCCCAAAGCATTTGTTTTAGGAAAATTTCAGGAATTAAGCGGATTGCTTTCTAGATGATCCCTTATGAATTTTATACAAATTGGATTAACATATGTGCGCTGAATAAAATATGAGGAGCTATACTGCCCACCCACTTGGGAGATGTTTTTTCAGTTATATATTTTAAGATCTTTATGATTAGATATACTACACCTTCAGACTAACAACCTCTGCTAAAATTCTGATCTTTTTTTAAATTAAACGGGAGTGGTCACTCACATGTGTGAAAGGCTTGTTTTTTGACAGCGGTCAACAAAAATTAATCACACCCATGACTACTGCTTAGAAAATGTATTAAAGAAAGTGTACATAAAAACGCCATATACCTGAAAGGCAAACTGAGCAGACAAAGCCCACATCAACGAGCATTCGATGGCAGAAACATGCTGCTCGGTAATCAACGTGCACTGGTGGTGGCAAAACTAGCTTTTTCCTAATCGGAGGTTCTGGCAGAAAAACCCACTTGAAAACAAAAAATAATATTTCAAATTTGAACCAGAATTCAATAACGTGTAACTTACCAGTAAATACTGCAATAGGCCTTGAGGTTGAGGTATCTTAAGATAGATTCCACCAGTGATATCACAGCCTTGTTGAAGAATCGCTAAATCATGTTCAATGCTCAACACATCTAGAATGACGTTCTGCAGAAGACGTTAAAATTAATTATTTGAGCATTTTTATTGATTTAATCAATTGCTTAAAAAAAAAATTACTTCTTTCTGTGCTGTAAAGAAAACATTCATGTAGTTCATGTATTGGGATGTACTTTCACCACTTCCTGTTATAACTAGGATTCTCGAATTCAATTTATCCCCTATTGGCAATTCTCGTACTTTTCTATGAAACAAATGATGATTAAGCATATAATCAATTAATTACACACAATTTTTTCAAAATGAAAAATTTGTGTCAGAGGCGAGATTCGAACCCATAACCTTCAGCTCAATACGCTATTGCTCCAACCACTTGAGCTACGTGACTTCAATCGTCCATGCCACAAACTTCTCATTTCGATTTTTATTCAAGTGGTTGGAGCAACAGATCATGGGCTCGAATCCCGCCTGTGACACCAACTTTTAATTTTGATTTAAAAAAAAAAAATCTAAAATTCCTTAAGTTATGTATAACATATCCTGAGCATATTCCATAAATGTTTGTTTTGCTTACTTTACTCTAGCAAAATGTGTACAAACATTAGAACATGATGATTGCTAATTTTAGGTATCATTAACAACACACATAATGTTTGTCTCTCAAAGTTTCTGTTCCAAAGTTAAACCAGATTCTTTCTTGTAAACTAAAGGTATAAAACTCAATTCAGGCCAGAAAGTCATCCCATATAATAATTTGTTCATTAGAATACCTCAAACTTCACTGAATGTAGCTTTCACAATCAAATCAGAACCATAGTTACACATATGACATAATGATTGACATTAAAGATTAACACAGCATCTTGAGCACCGAGAAGCAACACTCAATTTTAAAGAAGCTTTAGCGCATGACAATACCATAGAGGTATTCCTCCTACAAGCTGAAGTCATTCATTCTTTCATTTGCGAAAGCTTTATATCCAACTAGCTTTACGAATTATAAACTTTTAAGATAGACTTAAGGAACTTAAAAATGAAGAATGAGAAAATTTCAACAGCAATGCTCTCAATTGAACACACATGGGGCACTCAACTGAGATGCTGATGCCTTAAACAAATCTTCCATGGTGGACGACTTTACAACTGACCTTTTCAAATGTGGTTAATTAGAGGTGAAAAACACGAAAAGGTAACACTGGGAACCAAATCCACAACAGCCAGATCTGTGATAAATTGAGAGGCTGAAACCTTAGTCCAATTGCAGTCCTCCAGTAAGCTGGAACCATTAGTTCGTACAAGAGAACTTGATACTCACTACCTTTTCAGGTGTGGTTTATGAGGTCAGAAACACAAAAAAGTAAAGCTGGAATCCAAATCCACAAGTCAGATCTGTGTTAAATTGAGAGGCTGACATATTAGTCTTCCAATATGCTGTTATCATTAATCTAAAAGGCTTTAAGTACATGTATAGACATATCTGATGTACTAGCAAGTTTGTTTGTAAATTTACGTTTCCTTTTATGCATTCTTGTTTTAATAACGTACCTTTGTGCGTAACAAAGTGCCATTGAACACGCACCGGCAAGAAGTGAGTCTCCAAGAGATGGTTCAAGCCTGGCAATGATTTCTTTCACTTTCAGCCTTATTCTACGCTCAACATGCGCAAACATTTCATACTGCCCGTCGTTCTGTCCTGTCGGCTCTACTTTACTGTCTTTATCTGAATAGATGTACTCGCTACAATGCAAAAATTAATCAACTAAACATAACAGGCTGTAATAAAATGTCATACCTCATTTGTGCATGACAGGCGATAATCGCCAGTTGGTTGCTCTGACGGAACATAAGATGACAGTTAGCGAAGGCGACTATAGCTTCGAGAAGCTGATGGAACCCACGTGGAGTGGCGCTTATCACCCTCTGAACCGGATTAAAATCCAAAATCATAATAAGGAGACTCTTCTCCTCCTTCAGGCCTATAACATTCCAAATATGAACTGCTGTGTTGAACTAATATAATACAAAGTGATGTACAGCCACTTACGTTCCATTTTTCTTTGTTGACTAGTGCTTTGCCCTTAGATTGTATTTAATGTTTGTATTTTATAATATAAAAATAAAAACACCGGATAACTATCCATAGAAGGAAATGTAAACAACTTAAAATTACCTCCAACCCAACTTTTGGTTATCACCATAACAAGTATCCCTCTTAGGCAATATTTTCCCTTTTACCGGACTACATTCGTTAAAGTTGCCAAATTAAAAATTATTGTCTTAGAAAATATTTTAAAATGTATTTTTCCAGAATCAATCTATTAAGCTTGTTTGGTATTTGACACAAATATTTGAGTTTTATGTAAAGTGTATTTGATGGTTTTATTAAGGTTCAATTTTTGTGTATTCAATCTTGAAATAAATAGCAGTTTATTTATTTAATTGGAAGAAATAGTTACAGTATTTTAAAGAAACAATGTACAGTCTCAATTGGAAAAAAAGGTAAATTCATGGAAAAAATGATATGTTGACTGCAGACTGCAGAGTGCAGAACTGCAGATGTTCGAGGGAGGCACGTGGGTCTGCAAAGCACCAGTGACTGTACCTTGACAGCAACGGACTGACAACAATCAACAGTGCTAAATCATTCTATTTATTTTAGTTTTTTAAATCAAGATTCGAAATGGGAAAGATGAAGGGTAGAAGTCTTTCCGACGCGAAATTGGCCGGAAAGAATGGGCGCAAAGCTAAAAACCCTTTTGAAGTGCATGTCAACAGGCAGAAATTCAACGTTCTCGGTAGGAAAATGAAAACCGACTTTGGCCTGCCAGGGGTGTCCAGGGCAAAAGCGTTAAAAAAGGTAAAATTACAAAAAAAATTAAATAGTTTTAATTAAAAACACATAAGCATTTTTTTAAAGTGTTTTCAGGCAAGAGTTCTCACCTCCATATTTGGATGAAAAACCTGATAGATTTTAAGGATTTTTCTTAACCGTTTAGTGAAATATGTAAACTTAGGCAGAAATGGCATTAAATCCACATTTATACCTGACTTTACACTAAACTATTAACATTAAAAACTCTTGAGAGATTTTTTATTGAAAAGATGAGCCTGTTAAGTCTGGTTGGTTCCGACCATTTTGATCTATCAGACATGCTTCAGCTTTTCGCCATATTCAGTAGTGTATTTGTGCAGTACATCTTTTATTTTAATGTGGTGCATTTTTATGCACATTTGCACTGTATTTCTAGTTAGTTAGGGTTCTGCAACAACCCACCACTGAAGATGGCCAAAAGCGTAAAATCTACAGTACAAGAAAAAGTGATGATAGGTAGACCGAAATGATAAGAAATAAAAAAAGCTACTCCATTATCTGCCTATTCACATCTCAAGGAAAAATCTACAATTATGGAAAAACATACTTCTAAATTTCTTACACAGTCTGACGATAAGCACTGGTAAGATCTTGGCAGTCAGTTGGTTAAGATTTACCTGATTACTGATTTACATAAGCACAAATATGCAGGTAGAGAGTTGAGCTGATTAATTCTTCCAGCCCACCAGCCATTCCAGCTTTTGTAAGTTACAGTAAATTACCTTCGTCCAGCCGCTTAAGTTGGGCTCCCGGGGTGGCCAACAGCTAGATCATTTCAGCCTTCAACGCATTTACATACCATTCACTCTGTAAGGATAATACTCCTTTATCACTCTTTACACCTATTATATAACTAACCTCATTGAGCGTTGGTGTGGTAATCGATATTCTGCCATTCACCCTCTTACACTACACATTCATGTTAATTAAAACATTTACTCTCAACACAATAGGACACAAAAATATCAATACTATATACAATAGACCAACCCTGTTTTATCTATAAATCAGAACAGTTTCTCTTATATTCTCACTGTCATGCTCAAGTACAATTCTCATTCGGGTGCATTCCTACAAGCTCTCTATATGGAGCCATGGAATTGCACCTTTCAATTAGGCGAGACACATCGAGCAACTTTTCTCTACATGCGGGAGGCTTTAGCCAAAAAGTAATTGTCCACGTCAACCTGGCCTTAATCTGATGAGGATGACCCCTCTTCTATGAGTTATATTCTCTAAGGGGCACCTATCTACAGTGGTCTTGATACATGAGTTTTCTGCCAATCCGGCCTACTGACAAATAAGATTTATCTATTTTTGAATTCATTGTATGTATCTTTAAGTACAGTTGAACCAGCAGGTGATGATGTTACTAAAACACGTTTTGACTTTGCACCATCTTCAGTGAGGAACATCTTAATTTAAAATAGCATAAAACCGAAACCAATTTGAGTAACATCAAAACCCCACGAGCATAGATATAATAAGTGACCTAGTGCTGGTTCAAAATGTTCACCGACACAAGGCCAACTTTAATGGTCAGTTGAAATCAACACCCACCATCAACTTTAATGGCAGTGATAACAAAAATATCACATCAGAATGTTTGGTTGATTTATACATTTTATGTATTGCCTGGGTTTATGTGGTGTGCTGCATCAACATTACAAGCTAGATTGGCTTATTTAAAATGAATAAATGAGAAATTATATATGTTAACACAATTATAGACTAATATACATTAATAATCAGTTTTTTTCTTTTTTGTAGAGAAAAGAAACACTTTTACAAGAGTATAAAATTAAAAATAAATCAAACCGGTTTCTTGATAGAAGAATTGGTGAAAAGAATTCAGCCATGACAAAAGATGACAAAATAATGGCTCGTTTCACAGCTGAAAGGATGAAAACTTTTAACAAGGTAATGTCAATATTCAGAGATGTTTGTGCATTAATTTGTTGTTTAACGTTACTGTTGTTCTTTAAAGAAAACGATTTATAATCTCATAGATGATGAGGTTTTAACACATAGGGGTAGAACTTTAGCAGAAATTGAAAATGATGATCCAAGGAGTGATGATGACAATGAATACGGTCCAAAAGGCCTTGATGGTATTTATCAGGTTTTTTAAACTATTTTTTTTTTTTTTAATTCTATGATTTATAATAAATCAAAGTGATTTGCAGCACAATTTGTGGAGGAAGCGCATTTTGGTGGTGGCTTATTGAAGAAAGTGGAAGGTGGTAGGGCGACGGTTATTGAACAGTTGATAGCGGAATCGAAAACGCGAAAAGCTGAAAAGGCGCAAGAAAAGGAAAAAAATATTGAGGCGACTGACAAGCTCGACAAAGAGTGGAGAGACCTTATGCCATTTTTGGCTTCAAAATCAAAAGCTGCCGAAAGTGCAGAAGAACAGCCGGCGAAGAAATTCAAAAAAGACGATTTCGACGTTTTGCTCAATGAGCTCAGATTTGAAGCTCGAGGAACTGTAAGTTTGCGATTAATTTATAAACGGCCACGCATTGTATTGTAAATTATTATGTTTTAGCCTCAAGATCGGTTAAAAACTGAAGAGGAAATTGCTAAACAAGAAGCCAAAAAATTAGCAGAGTTAGAAGAAGAACGTATAAGAAGGATGAAAGGTGATGATATGAAGGAAATCCTTCCTACTAGCAGACACAGAAGTGCTGATGATTTAGATGATGGGTAAAGTCACTATTTTAACCTTTCAACTTTTAAAAGTAATGCAATTATTTAATTTTAATTTAATTGTTTCAGATTGGATATAGAAGAGGAAGAAACTTATGTTTTGACTTATGATAAAGATGGAAAACCAGTTGGCTTAAACAATGATGGTATAATTTGCAACATTAATATTTCTGATTCATATTAAGTTAATCTAATATTCTTTAATTATAGATAACATGTTTAAGAAGAGAACATTAGACTCATTTGCAAATGGAGATGGTGAGTGTGATTATGATGAAGACGATGACGAGGAAGAAGAAAGCGAAGATGATGAAGAAAATGGGCCGGAAGACTTATCCGATCTTAAAGTAGGTCTATATGATGAAGAAAACAAAGAAGATAAAGAAAACGAGAGCAATGAAGAAGAAGAAGAAGAAACAAAGGAAAGTAAAAATATAGAAGAGGAAAACTTAGAAACTGATACAAAAAAGAGTGCGAAAAAAAATGAAACAGACAACACAACAAACAGAGAAGAGAAATGTTTGGAAAGCGAGGCAACCAAAATGGACGATGAACAGAAAAAGAAAAAAGTCACATTCAGCAACGAACTTAAAGTTAAAAGCTATATAAAAGATTCTGAACTGTTGAAAAGACCTGATAAAATGAAATCAAAAAAGGACGAGGAAGTTATGGAAAAAGCAAGACAGGAACTCCCTTATACTTTCAGTGGTTGGTACTAATATTACTTATATTTCATCAATTATTATAATTACACTTGAAGGAAAAAGTAAAATTTTACTACTAAATTTTAAGTTAAAAAATTTATTTACTTACTTTATCATTTTGAAACATATGCCCATATGTTCTACCTCTAGTTCCTGATGAGTATGACGGGTTTTTAACATTGATGAAGCCTAAAACGCCAACAGAACAGACAGTAGTGATTGAAAGGATGATAAAGTGCAATCATCCAAGCCTCCTTAAAGAAAATCTACAAAAAATGGAACTACTTTTCAAATATTTAATCTGTTATTTTGACGAAGAACACTCGGTAAGTTCTCCCTCACACTTTTATATTTAAAAATTTAACTCTTGTACTTTATCAGGAAGTTTGGACATTACTTGACTATCTTAGTGAACATCTGTACACGCTGGTTCATTTTGCTCCAGCAAATACGGCCAAGACTGTCATAGACGCATTGACAAAGAAACACTCTTCTTATAAACAAAAAAAAGGAAAATACCCAAACTTAAGTACTGTAAGTTTTTTTTTTTTAGTTTAAAACACTAATTTAAGAAATTGTTATTAATAATTTACATAATTTCAGCTTGTTCTTTTTAAATTGATAACTAGACTTTATCCAACGTCTGATAAATGGCATTTAGTTGCAACTCCTTGCATAATTTTCATATCAGAATTACTTAGAGAATGTCATGTGACAAACAAACGTTCCGTATCTTCTGGTATGTTCTTAGTTTCTCTTCTATCTCAGGTAAGAAAATGTGTGGCTGTAATATATAAATTTATATATCAAATATTGTTTAATTGTTTTAGTTTGTGCGATTGTCTAAAAGGCTGTTGCCTGAGGGGATGAATTTTCTGTCTGGGATCATCCACATGTGTTGTCCACCAAGTTCATCGACGTTCGTCACGATGCCGTTCAAAAAGGAGAATAAAATCCTCTTTTTACAACAGCCAGTGACAGAATTGTAAGTTGGTGTGATTTTAATGCTAAGAATTTTTTTTTTTTTTTTATTTGGGCTTTTAATTTAGGGACGTGGAATACAAAATGTATTCAAGTGATTTGACAAATGCCACTAAAACTGATGACAGCTTTCGTGTAAGGTGTTTGTTCACTTGTCTTAGACTTGTGCAAACTTTCGCAGATTTATATAAAGATTTAATTGGAGTTTCACTCTTTCTTCAACCAATTTTAAACAATGTTAAAAAAATTGAGGTATATTTTTTATTCTCTCTCAATAAAAAATAAAATAATAATATACAATTTCATCCAGGTTGATAAATACCCTTTAAAAATTCAAGAGATGATCAGTTCAGTAATAGAACGTTTGCAGCATTTTAAGGAAATTGGTTTCTCTCCGATTACTTTTGAAGAGAAAAAACCAAAAGCTCTTAGGCTCTATGAGCCTGACTTCCAGCCTGTGTAAGTACCCAAACTTAATTTGGTTTAAAAGTCAAAAACAGAAATTAAATCAAAAAAATTTTCCACAGGTTTGACGGGAAGAAGAAACCGGGAAAATCATCGGAGCACACAAAGCTGTTGAGCAAATATAAAAAGGAGATGAAGGGCGCCCTGAGGGAGATCAGAAAGGACAGATCGTTCCTCGCTTCTATCAAATTCAAAGAACAGGCAGAAAGGTATTTTCTTCAGGAATTTTTCAATATTTTCAATTCAAAACTGACCAAATTTCTTTTTCCAGTGATGCCGAGAGGATCAGGAGGGTGAAACAGATATACAGCTGGGGTGCAGAGCAACAAGGAGAGTTGAACAAGCTAGAGAGGAAGAAGAAAAGTAAAAAATGAAAAAAATTTTCTTTCTAAAAAAAAATGTATGTGTATAAAGTTGATATTTTTTTTATCAAATATGTTGTAAAAATTGTGAATAGTAATCATACATTATTATATTAATTTTACTCAGTGGTATTCTTTTATGTACACATATACTTTCTTCTTCATATCTACTCATCCTGTTCTGCCTATTACCTCTGACTTTTTTGCCAGATAATTTCACCCTTTCAGGATGGTCAGCGCTATCAATCATGCTTTTGCTTCACCAAGTACCTCACCGTAAGAGTGATATCGCACTCTACTCTCTTTACATTTAGATTCAAGTTCATAGAGGAGTGCATTGCAAGTTATTATTTTTAGTGCTAGTGAGAGCGAAAAATCTAGAAAAAAGAATGCTGTTGTTTGTTTTAAGCAACACACTGCTTCTTTTAACTTCAGTCTAAAAGTGAAGAAACTAGGCAGCAATATCACGCTCACAGTACCTAGGCAGAGATAGGGTTGAGTATGTGCACGTTCTTAGTATCTCACTGAGGGAAGCAAAAGTGTGATATCACGCCCACCCCGATTTAAAGGTTTTCTATCTTTACCAATTGATCTGTGTGTTGTTTGGTCGATCATATCCTATATCAGTTTTAATATGAGAAAGGCTATGTCAGAAGTTTTTTTCTATCATATGACTTTATTGTGACGTTTGATGTGGTTGATTATGTTTGTCAGTTTGCTTTCTTTTGATTTTATATAGAATATTATTTCTTCAAATTTGTTTTTTTTTTTAAATATTTCTTCAATTAATAGTATTACTACGAAAAATCCAAACACCTCACATCAAAAAGTGCACTGAGCCCTCACATCCTCTAGGAGAAGAAATCTGAAAAGTGTATTCGCTTGGAAACTGGTGGATGATCCAAGCACATGATGAATAAGCCCTTGTCTATTGTGCTCGTCTGTTTTGTCCAAAATATTGCGTTTACTTGTAAGAAGCAAACGGATAGTTTCAATTTTTACCGAACTTTTGAACAAGTTCTCAAGAGGCATGGACTGTAAAAATTCTCGAGCAGGAGAGAATAATATATATTATGGTGCCAACGGGAAAATTTCTATGTAACGCACATTTTTTTTTTTTTTCGAGACTAAATAATTATATAAAAAATATGTATAATATATTGAGTACTATAGTTTTTGTAAATGATCATGTAAATTTCAATGCAATTAAAATTCTATTGTATTCTATATCAATGGTATAAATTTAACAAATATTGTGGTAGTGGACGAGGAACACACTCCATTTTGATTAAAGACATACACATGAATACGTTGTTCTGCATTTTACCCATTGGAAACAAGCCATAGGTCAGCCATTGAATAAAAAAAAAATCCGTTTGCTGGGATCGAGTCACAGGTCAAACTAGATGTACATATTTGGGAAATTAAGTCTTCATTTCCTAGGTTGGGAACATTCGTACAAAGTTTGTGAATATGAACAAAAATTGGATGTATTCAGTTCTAGTGTGAGAGAAGCCTTCTTATTGATTGTATACATCTACCAAGAATCTGCCTTCAGCCTTTCCTTGATAAGGGGAAATGCATAAGCACATACTCAACATTTACAGTTTAATATTCCATCCAATAATTAAATAAATAAAAAATAAAATCAACAAAGAACACTTGGAAATATGTCTTTTATTGATTAAGTTATTGAAAGTGTACTTCGCTTCAATTTTTAATAAATAAAACACCCAGAATTTATTTTATTAATCATATTTAATACAAATAGTGGTCAGATTGATTTATTACAGTCTGCTACTGTTACAATGAATATTGTTTTGAATTAATAATTAACGTTAGTCAATCGGCTCATAATACTTCCACCATCTTCTCCATTTATCAGCCTCCCTCGGGTTGATTGTTTGGTTCTCAGCCTTCTTTGTTTCCCACCAGTCGTTCTTCGTGTCTTCCAGATAGTCGAGCTGGTCCTGCTTCGCCGGCTGGTTCCTCTGGTTCCACTCCTTCCAAATGGAGTGGTTTTTTTTATTTTTGTAAACATGATCATAGACGACAAGCAGTAAAGAGCCGACACTCACAAGAAACGCTTTCTTGGCGAAGAGTATGAGAGTGAAAAGGGCGAAAAGCGTCAGTTTCAATGTTGGGAGGAAGTGGCCCAGTTTGGAAATCACCATTATCAACAAGGGCACGAGATATTTGTGCTTCCGCTTTCTTTTTTTCTTTTTGGCTTTTACAAATATGTCAGGTTGAGAGTAATAATTGGAAAATCTGTCCAAGGAATGCTGATTATCATATCCAGGAATAATACTTTCTGGAAAATAAAAGGGTAGAATTATAAGTAAGTTTATATTGACAATTGTTTTTAATTTTTCAACAATAGTAGCTCGGTTGGTATCAATTATCCCGGTCTGCATATTCTTGTCAGTTGTCAATAATATTTTAGCTATTACCATCGTCCCAGGTTCTGTCACACCAGACCCAAGATAATTATACGTTCCAGAAGCTCGGTATAGAAGTTTGTCCAAGGTGATAATGATGATAAAAAAAAGAAATAATTCAGACACCCCACTAATTTTTGGGAATAATGAACCTTTGACTATATACTTTGCACTGGTAATGAGTTATGTGAAAAGGCTTGAATATAAACAGGAAATTAATACAAAATAAGATATACAAATGAGTTTAAACAAGTTGAAAATAAACACAATACACTTATTTAAAAAAATTTAAGCCTGGTCTCCTCCAATGTGTTAAAATTTTAAGTCTCAGCATTTTCTTATTCCTTGTTTGTTTTTTTGTTACAGTTAGTCTGTGGTAATGTGCATTATTTTATCAAATGCATCCATAAATAAATAAAATATGAAAGATTAAAGAATTAAAAAGGAAACATACAAACTGACCAGTCAAAATGGCAAAAACACATCTGACAGGCAAAACACACATAAACATTGGCAGACCAAGATGATTAAATTATAAGCTTAATACCTCACAGACCTCAACACAATTTAAAAAGGTAATATATCTCAATAAAAAGCAACACTAGAAAAAATTAACAATAAAATTAGTTTTACTTAAACAGCCACATTGACATATAAATGAAAGAAATAATTGTTTTATTATAACTAAAAAGCTTGTACATAAAAATTTTTTTTAGTATCTTACCAGAAAATTTATTTAATATTTGTGGATGCTGGCGTTCAAAATCATAGTTGACGAAGTGGTTTTCGCCGAGATTCACCAAATCTTTCATGTCATCACTATAACCGATCAAATTCGATATATCACTCCGGACCGAGCCGACTTTAGGAAAGAGGTTCAGAATTAATAGGAATAGCATCCTCAGCAGGAAACAAATGAAAATCACAAAAAGTAAAACATTCCGCATCTGCCCCTCCACAGTGCATTAGCTAAGAGTTACATCAGATAAGAAGTGAGGACGTCTTTCATGACAAACTGCTTGATAGCTTTTTTTTTCTTCACCCTCTAATTACGCTTAAGTTAATGTATGTAGTTTTAAGATCAAATAAGGATTGTACTTTTGATGGCCTGTTGAACATTAACTTTGATTTATTCAAGATAAACATGTTTTAGTCAGTTTTATTACAAGGTAAAATTAAAATACCAATTTATTTTTAACATTTAATACAGTTTTCATATTTAGATTTTTTTTTTTTTTTTGTTAAAATACGGTGTAATATAAAATGGCAGTCTAATAAAAAAGAAAAGACAGAAAATAAATCTTAAAATGTCAATTTATTAAATAAATATTTATTCCAATAATATATACATGTATATGATAAAATTAACGCTATATAAAAATGATTTGTATAAAAATTATCTGGCATAAGGATGCATCTGACTCGCAGCTTTGATATTAGTTTTAATTCCACTTGCAACTTTTCCCATAGGGCCCACTATAAAACAGAAATAAAATATTAAAAATAAATAAAAAGTAATATAAAATAAATTTGTTTTAATACTTTGAGATGGTATTTGAGTGGCAGGAAGAGGAGCTCCGCCTACTGCTCTTCCAGGAGGTCCAATCATGTTTGGAGGTACAGGTCCTTGCCCGATACCTTTAAGGCCTTTGCCCATGGCAATGGCAGCGACCAGCGTATGCGTATCAGCGAGCGACGATGTGATCGTTGGTCCTGCCCTGGAAGTACTGTCTGTCTCCCATTCCTCTCTCGCTTTCGACACTAACTCCCAAACGTGTCCGATCACTTTGCTGTAAGCGCCCATCTGCTTCTGTACTGTCTCAAAAGACAAGCTAGTCGCCTTGTGCTCGAGCTGGAGCATCTTTTGTTCGACCTCCGGCTCTGACTTCGTCCTGAGGTAATCGGGGACGAGGTCATGGGAAAACGTGGGCACACGGTGTTCGGTTATCCGGAGAAGCTGTTCGTCTCTCTCGGGGCTCAAAAGAATTGGTAGCACTGTCAAGTTTCTCAACGAAGGGCATTTATCATGTCCTAACATTTTTGATAAAGATACCAACTGGAAAATAAATAAATGTGATGTTGATATGCTACAGCATTATTAGCTAAAATAACTTTCTTCTTTTCACTCCTTCCTTCACCCTTGTTTTGGATTGGATTTTGTTCCTTTAGTGACAAAGGTGCAAATAAAAATAGGTAAGGCCTCAATTAGGAAAATAAATATTCGTTGTTTTGAATATTTATCTAACAATGATCAGCAAGTTTAAAAACAAGCAATAGTACAAAAATCTTGAATCGCTTTTGCCCCAGATGATTTTCAGTTTCCTGCAAGTGAAGTCACAATGTGGAACTCATCCATCCGTTGCAATTACACCTACAGTTTGATTGAAATTTCAGAAGTGTTTAATCAGGATCAGCCTGATTAGAGCTGATGAACTACAGATGGATGAATAAGTTTTTTGTTCAGTTTTCAGAAAAAGAAATCATGAAATATATTGTTAACAAAAATTGAGTTAATTAGTAAATTTTTTAAAATAGTAATTAAATTTTTTCGCTGATTACTCTACAATTCTACCGCTTGTACTGTAGGTTGTTGAACAATATACTACAGCACAGAATTTTCATTAACAGAATGTCTTCGACATCATGATATGAATCCTATTTAGTGTTAATTACATTTGTGTAGTTGGTTAATCATTATTTGGAGATCGTGACCACATCCCATGATCTCCAAATAATCGTTAATTACATTTGTATATCCAGTGGACTTCCCAATCCCGAACATTGTTGGGAAGTCCGCTGGATATACAAATGTAATTAACACAGAAAAAGGCTCATGTGATGATGTCAAAAACATTCTATTAATAAAGAAAATTCCATACTGCATTATATTAATTAATACAGTTTGCTTAATCTAGTAGAGTCAAAACTATGAATGTCTATGGGGTGGGAGCTGCTACTCGCCAAGAAAATTAGAGTTCCATTTACTAAATTCGTCCATTGTCTTGACTAGGCCATTAAACTCAACTAAATTGAATGTGTTCAGATTGGTCAAGTACTATATTATTCAACCATTCAACTAAACTATTGGCAGGGTCTGAACCAGGCTTACAGTATTTTAATCTAATGGAGAGTGATTCAGCTAAATGTGTCTGAACAAAATTTAATTAGTAATTTAATAAGTGATTTAGTCTAGTCAATCCATTTTGTTCTATTTTTCAAGCAAGTAGTACTCCCTACTGTGCTTCACTGCTCAGTGGTTCATGGACAAGTGGGAACCTGTTGTTTTAGTCCATTTCATTAGTTGCTGAAAAAATGTTGAGTTTACCTGGAGCAAAGAAACAACTTCAAAACGTGTTTCCAAATATGTAGAACATGCTTGTGAAATATTAAGTCCCAACATTTTAAAAAGAAACAAATGAAACATTTTTGTATCCACAGCTTTTTTCTTCATCAAAAAAAAAATTCTTCCAACTCTACTAAAATAGCCATTACCATAAGCTTTATTAGTTTATTCACTTTATTGCATAGCAGCCTGTTTCATTTTACCAAACACCACTCACTTGTGCACCGTACACGATTATTGAGCGAACAATTTGGGCGAAGCAAGCATTTAAGTCACTAAATTATTAGCCACTTGACAAAATACTTGTGTAGTCTGAACCAGCCTTAACAGGGCTTGCAATTAAGAAAGGATTATAAGGGTGAAAGTTGAAATTTGGTTTTTTAAAAAAAATATGCCCACCCCCAACAGGGTAGGTAGGGTTAAGTTCCCGAAGTTTCAGTTTTTTCAGTATTGAGTATGCTGATAAGTCAGAATTCCTCCAATGAAGCATGAAAACGGAAGATTAGAACTTCTTCACAATTACTGATCACACCTGTGCTGTTGGAACATTGTTAGACTGTCAATAAAGTTTTTCAAAAACCTTGTTTTTCGGGTCTTTGCCTCACTGATCGGGTCAAGTTCCCGCAGGAGTGTGTCTTTTCTGAAAGGAGTCTTTTTTTTTACCCTGAACCTTTACAACGGCAATACTATCCATCTCGAGTCCTTGAGAGTTGCTAAGTCTCATTCATTGTTACTTTCCTTTTTAAAAAACAAAATCTGTGCTGTTGCTGAGAGAAAATGTCAGATTCTGAAGAGGTAGAAGCTATCAATGTATTGTCTTTCTTTTTCATTTTGTTGGCTTTAGGTTTAGCAATTGGGAACAGCTGCTTATATTTTTTGCCCTTATTCATTTTTTTTTTTTTGCAAATTCTTTTTCCAATTGCTCTTTGTTGGTATAGAAGTAAGGAGGATGCTCTTCAGACCTATTCCTGAAAATTTCCTTTTGATTTTAATTCTCGGCAGAGGTATGATTTCTTCAGGAGAAGATCAAAACAAAACTGAAGATGAACCATGAGAAGGGCCTGGAGTAGTCGATCATAACTGCTCATAAAAAGTGATCCTGAAGGAGTGGGTCAGAGTCCCACAGCAATCTTTCTTGGGAGTATGATATTCACGCTGATGCTTGCTGCTGGTCCCTGACATTCATGCTGTCGAATGTTGATGATTCACTCCTTTCATTCACAGTAAAACATGTTCATTAATTCCTATCACAGAAAGTCCATTCCCAGTACCTCCAAAAACCATCAGTTTTCATTCATCTAGTTCCATTTCCTCATCCGTTTCTTCCATGTCTTGATAATTTACATGGCAAGCAAATTTTCATGCTTGAAGATAATCAAAAAGAAACGTTTATCGACTTTAGAAATCCATAGATTATGTTGAAAGCTGATGGATTGTTGCTTATTAGGACAGATTCTAAGTTTATTGGTTTTGAAATTTTGGGACTTTGCTCAGATTTTTTAGCAGTTTGTCTCTTTCATTTTCATATTCTGGACATTCAAAAATTATGTGGGAAGGATTTGAAGGGCAATCGCAAGTGGGACAGTTCGGAGACGATGCCAAACCGATTCTCTTCTTGTAGCTACCCCATAAGCCATGATTTGTCTTCAGTCTAAAAATAGTAGAATAGAACTCCTTTGACATTCCTTCTGGGCTATCGCCTTCCAAAAACCATGGTTTTTCTTGAGCTCAGGGAACAGTGACCTGTAATAATTGCCAACATTTGATGCGTTGTATTTTTCTTGGCACAGATTTCTACAAAACTTTTCCAAAATGTTTTTCCCGTCATCTTTAGGAATTTTAATGTCAAGGGTTGGACCTGATGTTGCAGCCTCCTTTGCAAGTGCGTCCGCCGTTTCATTTTGCCATAAGCCTGCATGCCCTTTCACCCAACACAATGCCACCCTTTTTCCCATGATTTTTGTATCAGGCATTTTCCTACAGATTTGGGCAAAAATATAGTTTCAGCATTTATATTCTGGGGTAATGTTATTTATCCTTTCTACAATGCTTCGACAGTCTGTGAGAATACAAAATTTAGAATCACCCAATTTTCTAAATTTTGTATCCTCACAGACTGTCGAAGCATTGTAGAAAGGATAAATAACATTACCCCAGAATATAAATGCAGAAACTATATTTTTGCCCAGATCTGTAGGAAAATGCTTGAGACATTTCAGCATTACATTCATTTTAATTACAAAAAGAATGATCCAATACAGTAAAGGATTATCATGGAACATAAGGCAAGTACAACAAACACTTAGAAAAGTTGAACAATAGTCGGTATATGTTCACTCAACCCAACATTAACAGTGTAATTTTTAAAAAAGGATCTTTACCTGTCCAGACAGAAGAGCGAAATTGTCCAAAAACGTTGGCCAATTGAGATTTTCACTTTCGTTCTCCAACTTGAATATCATAGCACCTATTGAATTTTTCAAATCGTTTACTTTCATGGATATCGACTCTAGAGCCGTTTCCATTTGTTTTTCTTCCCTCTGCATCTTCAAACTTCAAAGTGTCAGCCTACAAATCTCTAGAACGCGGGCCTCTACCAAGCCACAACCCAAGTAACCTGCCGTAAAGAAAGGAATTCGTCTGGAGGTTAAATTTAATTGTAGTAACAATTTACAAACTGTGACGAATACGAGTACAAAAATCACCAATTATAAAGAAAAAGATTAAATAAATTTGATCGAAAGTCGAATATATTTGTACAGACAGTCTGCAATTAAGCTTTTATAAAGTAATTAAAAAATATTTTTCATTGTAGGTTTAAATTTAGAAATTTCCTTTTTTAATTGAAACAGAATAGCGACGAAATAAAATTACATCTTCGTTATTATATTTGAAGCTAAAAATCTTGCATTTTTTTGAGTAGCATTTATTTTAAAAATCGTTTTGCCATTGAAGTGGTTAAGATTATAAGAATATCTACAAATATTTTCCTGGAGTAGAATTATAAATTTATGTGTTTATTATCGTTTAAAATTGTATAAACTTAAACAAATCTTATTACTCTATCTTTTCTTTAGAGAAACAACCCTAAAAGTTTGTGACTGTTCGTTAAAATTGCCCGCAGTCATTGCAGATTTGTGAAGTTTAAGAAAAAAATGTATTTTTCATAAAAATTGTAAAAAAAATTAGTAAATACACTATGGCTAAGAATTTTATCTTTGATAATATTCTAAATTCACCATCAAGTTAGACGTCAGTTGACACTTTCAAGGTCGGTAGGTGATAACCATTGCAGAAGTTTGAAGGTACAACAACGAAAGTTTTATGTCGGGACAGTTTTATGATGCAATTTTATCAAATTGACTTGATCCGCTAGTTAACGTGCGCGTACCGGCGGTGAGAGGGAAAATTAACAAAAAATGAATTCGGAAGAGAGCAGGCTCAGGACTTTCTTGAACTGGCCGGAAAATGCTCCGGTCGACAGCAAGAGGATAGCTAGAGCTGGCTTTTATTACATGGGGCAGGGTTTGGAAGTACAGTGTTTCCGCTGTGGGAGCAGGATCTCCGATTGGAATTACGGCGATAAAGTTATGGCCAAGCATAAAGCTCTCGACCCCCGATGCCCTTTCGTCCAGAACCCTACCAACTCTGGAAACATCCCTTTGGTCATCGCAAGGCTCTCTCTTACCTCGCCGACAGAGCAGACCGAGGTGAAGAAGAAGCAGGAAGACAGGGTCTTCTTCTACGACGAGAAAGCTCGACTTGAGTCCTTCGCGACCTGGCCTTTCCTCCATGTACCTCCTGCCAGGTTGGCCAAGTCTGGCTTCTTCTACCTTCAAGATAACGCCAAGGTATTATTTTTTTTTAGCTCTTTGGTACAACATATTAGCAACTAGTAGATGTGTAGTATCAATTTATAATAACATTATCGAACTGATTTGCAACTAAAAAAGTTTTGCATGAGCATTTGGATTGTTGTGATCCAAATTGACCACTTCCAAAAACAGTTTGAACAAATGATTCAAGAGCAATATTTATTGTGCAACTAGTTGGAAAGTTGTTTGATGACTAAAACATATACCTGATGGTTGAGGAATTCTAGCAGTTCACCCATTGTACCTACATCCACTTGACCTTACTACCTAATGGTCATGGCTAAGATCGTTCAAAGTTCTATCAAAGCTCCCTGATACTACCATATATATGTTCAATTTTTTAGTTGCTCATGTCTCATATAGAGTCAGCGTTGCTTGGTACCCTTTTTTCCCTGTGGAAATATATCGCACACCCTTCAGAAAAGTGACACAAGTCAAAAAATTCTAAAAACCGGATTATTTAGTGTTTTTTTTTAAGTATTCGGGTTATTTGTGATGCTACAGGAAAAATGGCACAACAGTAGGTGGACTCTTTATCTGCTTTGCAGCTCCATGTGTCACCTTTGAATTGGTGGGAACGCACTGTCTCTATTCACAAAAAGTGGCATATCTTAGTTCTGTGTCGAGATTTATAACACTGGTGTGAGTATTCAATAAGAAAAGAGATTTGCACAAGCATTTGAATTGTTCTCTTGAATTGTTGTTGAACAACACAGATTGCCTACTCCCAAAAACAATTCAAGAGTAACTTTATTGTGCAACAGTCAGAACTTGTCAACTTGTAGGAAAGTCTTGATTGAGATGATTAAAACTTATTTACTATCTTACAATTAATTGAGGTTTTCAGCTGAGATAAAAAAGTCAATGGTACGAGCGGGATTTGAACCCACGATCTTCAGCTTGATATGCCGCTGCTCTACCACTTGAGCTATCGTGACCTCGATCCACTCAGACACCAACTTCCCATCTCAACCACACCTTTTGAATTTTCCCTCCTTTTTGCCATTTTTCAAATGTCGTGTAATCTATTTGATTCTCGGCGACAAATGAAATGGCCATGGAGAGCTTTAGTGAAGGTATACTTCATTTTAAACTTATTAAATTCACTAGTTTCATGGTCCGCTTGACCAATTAATATCTTACAATTATTTAAGGTTTTCAGTTGAGATAAAAAAAGTCAATGGCACGAGTGGGATTCGAACCCATGATCTTCGGCTTGATACGCCGCTGCTCTACCACTTGAGCTATAGTGACCTCGATCCACTTGGACCCATCTTCCTGCTTGTGCCATTGACTTTTATCTCAACTGAAAACCTTAATTAATTGTAAGATATTAATCGGTCAAGCAGACCACAAAACTAGTGAACTTATTTACTATGTTTATCAAATAGGACATGCTCAATGGCAGAGCCTGATGGTTAGGGAATTCTAGCAGTTCACCAAAATCTTGTTTTCTTTTCATTTTGGATTTTTTCATTTCTGTTAAAGCTCTTTGATAATTCCATATATATGTTCAATTTTTTAGCTATTCATGTCCTAAGTAGAGTGAGCGTTGCATGGTAGCCTTTTTTCCCTGAGGACATATGTGGAAACGTCGCACACCCACAAGAAAAGAACACAAGTCCAATTTTAAAAACTGTGTTATTTAGTTTTTTTAAGTATTCGGGTGTGTGATGTTTCAAGCAAATGACACAACTGTAGGTGGAGGTTTCACAGACAAGAAAAATCCTCACAATAACAGACAGCCAAGCAACTCTAAAAGCATTAGCTTGTAAAAAGATCACATTCAAAATAATCAGAGAATGCATCTAAAATCTCCCAAACTTGAGAAAATATAACTTTGCAATGCTATGTTGTGTACCAGGGCACAAAGAAGTTTTGGGTAATGAACAAGCAGGCAAACTAGCCAGAGGAGGATCTGGAAGACCTGAACCTATACTTCGGATAAGTTTGAACATAGACTCCATTTCAGAATGGGTCCACAAAACACAAAACGAAAAGTGGACGAACTCCACAGGTGCCAGAAACAGTAAACTCATGATTAAAGAACCCTCACCAAAACTGGCTAAGACATTACCGGAGCTAAAAAAAACAAAAAAACACTCAGTTATAGGACTAGATACCAGTCACACTGGCATCTGAGAAAACACCTACACAACATGGGTGTATTCAGTGATCTCATTTGTATACAATGAGGAGGAAGAAACTGCCACTTATCATATTATCTTTGAATGTGACATAATGTAAGGTACAAAGAAGACGGGAAAAAGAATTGCAACAGTGACAGTCAGTGATGTACTATTTCTGAAGAGAAACATTCAAGTCAATTAGAATTAAGGAACGAGGAAAGGCTTAGTGCTGTAGAGCTTGGGCAATACAAAACCCCCACTTCCTAGCATTCTGTTATTATCATTAATCAAAAAGATGGGTTTTGGATCTATATAACCGCAGATTATTAATATGTGTATGCCATCAGTCTGCTAGGGTGACCCTTTGAACTGATTTATCAGGATGTGTATGGCCTCAACACCTCCCACATTTTCTCCTTCCTCTTGAGATATTGTAAGACAATCACAAATTGAGGATAAAGTAAGCTCAGACCTGTCTTTATAAGGGGGCTTTATAAGTACATACACAAATACTTAAGGATGTCAGTGTTCACATTCATTTTAAGCTTGATAGAGGTCTACCAACATCCCTAGTTCCTTTGTCAGGGGCTATGGTTATAAATTACTATAATTTTGTCACAAAGTGTAATATTAATACTAGAATTTAATTTTAGGTTCGCTGTGCGTACTGCGGTGGTGTGATTGAGGATTGGAGAGAAGGCGATGAACCAGATTTAGTGCATATAGAACGTTTCCCAAACTGCTCTTACGTTAAAGAAATCATAGATAAGGGTGTTTTGGTGAAATCTGGTTCATTGACATTTCAAGATACTTGCGATGGAGACAGTAAGATTTTTTTCAAAATAAAATTGTGTTTTACATATTTGAATTTTTGTTTTTTGTTATAAAGATGAAACATTCAGGGCGTTAGGAATACAGAGTCACAGGATACCCAAGACACCTCGATACTCGACATACGAATCTAGGATAAGAACGTTTTGCCAGTGGCCTGAAAGTTGTGCTCAAACGCCCTCTGACCTCGCGCAAGCCGGTTTCTACTTCAAAGGCCCAGGGGACGAGGTACGATGTTTTCATTGTGATGGAGGGCTGCACCATTGGCAGAAAGTTGATGTGCCTTGGGTTGAGCATGCCAGGTGGTTCGGTGAATGTGGCTTTTTGGCACTTGTCAAGGGACCTGAGTACATCGAGGATGTCAGGAAATCATTCCCTGCAAGGCTTACAAAAGTAATTTGTTAATTAAATTGTATTTTTGATATTTAATCAAACAATGCTTTTTTCAGGAAGAGGAAAACGTTCTGTCGAAAATACCGAAAAGTTCGGTTAGGAATACAGTTACAGAAGAACAGCTGAGGGAGTTCATGAGTTCTCAAGTTGCAATAGTAAAAGAATAATTTAAGTTTCTCTTTCTACTAGTTTATATATATATTTTTTTAATTTTTAGATGGCACTCCAAGTGGGTATTGAAGCATCACGCGTTAAATCAGCAATAAGGCACAAATTAGAGACAACTGGGCTTCCATTTGAAAATGCAGATAATCTCATAGTCGCAGCCCTTGAAGTACAAAATGAAGAAAATCAGTCGATGGATGAAGAGTATTGGTATGAATTTTGTCGTTATTTAAAATTTTGTTTTTATTGCATGTATAATTTTTTAACAGGTCGATACCGACAAATTCCCCTGTTCCAAGGGTTCGAGCTATCATGCCAAGGCTGGAAATATACAACTCGACTGCATCTGATGAATCTGAAGACGAGGAAGAACAAATGTACAACACCTCGTTGTCTTCTTTTGTATATACTCTATTTAATTTCTATTCGTTTTTCAGCTGCAATGAAGAGAGGAGAAAAAATAATTCCCAAGTTATTCAAGAAGTAAAAATCGAAGAGGACATCAAGCCAAAAGAAAACCAAGGTAATTCATATTGGCTTTTAAAAAAAATTGAAATATTGTTTTAAACGATTTTGTCAATTTTCAGAGATATCTTTAGAAGAGGAAAACAGAAAATTGAGAGAGGCGAGGCTTTGTAAGATATGCATGGACATTGAAGTCGGCGTTGTTTTCCTTCCTTGCGGTCATCTTGTTACCTGTGCCAATTGTGCCCATTCCCTCAAAGACTGCCCACTCTGCCGACAACTGATCAAGGCCACCGTCAGAACATTTCTCTGTTAAATCCATTTTTAAATGCCTTATTTAAAACACAAAAACACAATATCAATTTTATGTTAAATCTGTGATCGTTTAATGTAGTTTTTTTTATGACAGTTTTCCGTAATCGACTAACTGTCAGGGCATAATTAAGCTTGGGCGACTTAATGCTTTAATCTTTACCTCTATTGAGAATTATCCTTAGATTCTAACTATCAAACCTTACCAATTGACAAACACAAGGTTTTATTGTCTAAATTAATAAATTTAATTGATTGTTAACTTTTTCTGTTTTTATTTCTTTGCCCCTTAGTTCCAAAATTGCACTATGGCCTTAAAGGTAATGACACATGGAGCAGTTTTGACCAAAGCATTATCAAGATAATAGCCAAGTCGGTGAGTTTTAGCATTGTGCTGTCATGTTGCGTGCGTCCCGCTCACTACCACCTGTTGGTTTTGAAATTAAGTCAGTAGTGGTCAATATGACCCTACTAGTCGGTTTTGAAAATACCTGATGTATTCAGCCAGCCATGAAGCATGGTGTTTCTTTGTGCAGTTCATACCACTACTTGGTTTGTTTATTTTTTTATTTATTTTTTATTTTATTTTATGGAGTTCCAAAACAAAAAATAATTACAAAAAATGTATAAGTAAATTTTAAAAAATTGTACTGCGTTGAGGGACATGAGCATGCGAGAATACATAATGAAAATCACAAGTGTATTTATTTATCTAATAATAATATATTTTGAGAAACACTGGGAATTTAATAGAAAGAGCATAGGATTATTTTAAAAAAATGGTAAATTTATTTCTTGCAGATTGTTTTCTTGTAATTGCTCTCTGGGAACTGTAAGTAGAAACTTCTTGCAATCGGGAGTTATTCTCAACTGATGCGATAAATGCTTCATTGAACCGCTTCTGTCTCATAAACCTGGGAAAACCAACATGATAAACGCTTCAGTCAAAACAGTTGTGTATGTCACTACCCTAAGTTGTGATTGTAAAGGTATAAAAGTTGAAAAACTTATTTTGGCAAACGATTTTTCCAACCCAACACAGAATGTCAGGAAATAAGGTATATTTATTATTGTTTTATGTTTCTACTGGTGTAATGAAATAACCAAGTTTAAAAAAGCACATTTCACGCTGGAAAGATTGCATTTGGCGAAGCAGATCAGTTAAGAATGAAATAAAAAGGCAATTTAAAAAAAGTTGTTTTTTTCTGTTTTTCCAGATTTGTTCAATGTCCTTATTCAAAAAAGCTGCTATTTATTAATAACACTATGAAAACAATTAATAACTAATGCCTGGGCTAGTTGCTATCAATTTGTTAGGCTTAATTATAATAAAATAAAAGTTTAAAATGTTAAAAGTGAGTGGTCATGTAATCACACTAACTATTCAATCTAATCCTGGCAATGTAACAAAAAATAAATTAATTAACATGAAATAAAATTGAAATTAATTTATAAAATAATGGAAAATCTAAATTGACAATCAGGCTCTTTGGTTCAATTCTAATAATTATTACAAAAGATATTTATTTAATTAATATATATGTTAAAAATAATTTACAACTTTGTATGTTCATATGTAATTTACAGTTATATAATTATTATAATCAAATAGTTACTTTATGACTAACATCACATTGGGGAATGTTGTAAGGATAGAATTTTACTATAGGAAAAACAAAAAATAAAATCCTCATCACAATGCTCTTCCCCAGCTTTCGGTTTTCTCTTATAATCCTTTTCTTCACAATTCGGTATGAACATAGGTCTTTGTCGCCCTCAAATCGTGTTCATGGAAGGCTCGACAATTTTGTGGGAATCGTAACTGCAAATAATCAAATAAATAAATAGTAGAATATAAGTTATAAAGAAAATTTTATACCTCGCAGTTATAACCGGAAAATGCGGCATCGTATAATTCGTTAAAAGGGGTTCCAGTCTGTCCTGACAAGAACCAAGCGGATATCACGCTAAAAACAAAAACAAAAAATTATCGAATAGCAACATCGTGTGAATTGCAATTAATTAAGGTTTTTAGTTGAGATGAAAAAAAGTTAATGGAACGAGCGGGATTCGAACCCACAATCTTCGGCTAGATACGCCGCCGCTCTACCACTCGAGCTATCGTGACCTCGATCCACTCGGACATTAACTTCCTATCTCAACCCCACCTTATGAGTTTTGTAATTATTTAATTGGTCAAGCGGACCACGAAATTAGTGAATTTAAAGAATCGTGTGAATGTTTCCTTACCTGGTTATTTTCGTGATAACAGGTTTCACCATAAAATTTGTATGGTGCTCTTGCCTATTAAGCTCACACAGGAGGTACTTGTCACACATGTGATGTTGAGATGAGTACTTGTGCGCCCTCCATGTCCTGAGGAAGCTCTCGAAGAGCTCACTATTAAATAAATTCACGAGCCTCTCTTGTAACATTTTGTCATTTGGATCATGCTGTCTGGCCAACGCTATCAATTCCTAATTTAAAACATTTGTATTAGATGAATGTGCATAGATTTTTTTTTTAATCTGTAATTACTCTAAGTTTTGAAAACAAGGGGCGGACAATAAGATCCGACTTTATCGGAAGTGATAATTCCTTTTGGGCAATGTTGTTTATAACATTGCTGATTGAATCTTCGATATGTCTTCCTGGGTGGAACATCTCGTGCTCTTTGTAGCCGTTTTGCCTCAACAAATTGTTCACCATTATAGCTAGCTGCATTGTATAACTGAAAACACAACAGTGAAAAATTATGAAACAAATTTTATGAGACAATTCTAGCATTTTGTTAAAATATATATTTTTTATGTATTTTTATTTTTTTCAAACATTTGTATAAATTAACTTTAAGAAATATTCAGGTAAGAACATTGGAACATAACGAAAAAATAAATAACTGTGCACTATTGTATGCGATTCAATGTTAACTCATGAAAATTATAGTTAGTATTAAAAGTAATATAATATACGGTTACACAAATAAAACCTCAAGGATCTGAATTGCAGAAGAGGGATTATCCTCATTGGATTAAGAATAGGCCATGCTAGGTTGACACGTGGACAATTAGTTTTGGGTCAAAGCCCATGTGTCCAGCATGTAGAGAAAGGTTGCTCTATATGTCCCATTTAATTGAACGGCCATCCTTGGCTCCATATATAGAGCATGTAGGATTGCCACCCAACATGAGCATTGAGCTTGAGCACATCAAGTATCTGGGTTTCAAGAAACAGCTGTTTTCTTGTATATAGTACTTGATTTGATATATATATATCTCTTTCTTCTGTGATAAACATTCAGAGTAAACCAAAAAATGTATAAATTGTATAGAAGAATCATAACGTAATTGTCAGGTAATAGTGTAAAATAAAGTAATTTTAATAAAATTTCATCATAACTACACATGAAAAAAATTTAATGTAAAATTATATTAATTTTTTGTTTACTTAGTTTTATTTTAGTTTTTTTGCCTTTCTATTATGGGAAAACTCAATTTTAATAAGGCTGACATTTTCCTTGTATATGGGATTTTCCCTTGGCCACACTGTTGTTAAATAGGCCCATAGTTTTATGCATTAATTTGACAATAACCGTATTGATTGGCGGTTGTCATATTTCAAAATTCTATGCTTGGAATGCTGAAGATGGGCTTCATAGCCCAAAACGGCCATCTTGAAATAAATTAAATGTACGTGTTTTTTTTGTTTGTTTTTTTCAACCTGAATAAAATTTTAGCATATACATGAAAAAAAATTATATATGTCGCCTATGTACATACTAAATAAATAAACTTTACTATTTATAATTTTATTTTTTTAATCTATTATTGTTACATTATACTATATAATTAATGAAGGTTTGTTTTTGTTGGTGTAACCATCCCCAGATTTGTTATATTTGCAAATAAATCGCTAGAATGGATAGTGTCAATAACAGGACATTTTCTAATATGGGAGTTAGTTCAATATCCTTGGTTTTTTATGTTTAGACTTCTAACGACCTTTCACCTAGCAGCATGAGCTACCTGATGTCTCTCCTTTGTTGTATGATTTGTTCAAAATATTGTTTATAAATAAAAATATGTAAGGTGAACGAAATGTTCGGCAAATATTTCGGGTGACTTATTTAGTCAAGAGAGCAAGGAAAGTGAGAGTAAACAATCCTAACGGTGCTCATTCTACAAAATGGTTGTTAGACTCCGCCGAGGCGAGGGGGTCGATGATCTTGGACGCTCTCCTTCCTAAACTACACCTGTCCGCCTGCCTGTTACGCCGGTTATTTCCCTTGATACGAGTTCTTGTCCGAAACATCCTCAGGCCTACAATTACAATTAAAGGGGATTTAAAGAAAATTGTAGAAACGAGGAGTCAGGGCGGAAATGGAGGGCCTTAGCTAATTGCCGACCAGCGGCGAAGAAAATATATCAACACGCAGTTGGTGGAATTTCATTGTTTTATTGGATTTTAAAAAAAATAATGGAATGGTTTTTTGCTAGAATTTGATCGAATTTGGCCGAAATCGCAACACGTACAAAATTCAATCAGCCGTAATCTGATCAAATGGATTAAGATCTCTTGTATACATCCACCCGCATCTTGTATATCAATACAAAAACAAACAGTATTAGGACTTACACTTTTTCTGCTTCTTCGTTTGGAAGGGCTTTGAGAAATTTGGTAAATTTGGAGACGAGCATCTTAAGCACTTCCTTCCTCGACGTCGGATTTTCGACGATTTCCAAGTAATTGTCCAGCATCTCCAACGGGTTGCTTATCGATCCAACGTACTCTATGACACTCTTAAAATAAAAAAATTAAAAAAAACTTTAATATTGAATTCATTATATTGCATTTAAAACAACAAGAAAATTGCCTGGTTGAAACATAATTTGGATGACTGATCAGCCCAAATCAGGCCTTGATTCCCCTCGCAATATCAAAATTAGAACATAATTTCTGACAATTTTATAAAAAATAATACTGTGTCAATACTTCAGTAAGAAGCTGATAAGGGTTTAGTGTTCAGGACTGAAGATAAGAAGTATAAAGCTTTGGAAAGAAATATCTGGATACCGGCAATCAGAGAATCCCCTTTTAAAATTTTTTTAATATGAATCTCCGAAAACTTAGAATTTTAACAAGTTCCTGTTTCAGGACACCGCACAGATTCAATAAGCGTGCAAAATATCGTCGTCAATTAGCAAGGGTACAGATTCTGCAAAGAAGTAAAAACCTCGACTATGGTCATCTGGTGAAAACGTTCGGAAAGAAATTTAACCAGGTAGTTTTTTTATATAGCAATTACAATAGTAAAAAAGGGGATTAGAGCAAAACAAGCTGATAAATGTGTGAAGGACTCACCCAGTAGTGAGCATCCTATAGAACAGATTTGGCTTTAAAAAAAAAAACTACTATTTATGGAGACTATGGATCTGGGAAGTGGAACTGGCTTGACGGACCAAGGCATTGGATGTGCGGAAAATGATTGATGGAATTTTTTGTAATAGGCTTCTGGAACAGTGGTAATAATAAGGTCTCGGATAGAGAGTTATGTACAAAAGGGCAAATAATTTTTCCGAGGACTGTGGATGCGTTGGAGTTGGAAGACTTGGCTGAACCCCAGAATTCGATACCACAACTGCAAGGGTTTGATGGTGTACATCAAGCTTTTGTAGTTAAGTGGAAGTGGGATTGTCGAGTAGTGGAGAGTAGTTTGCAATGCTTAGTTCGTTCCGTTTCGGTCTTGTGTGCGGATTCCAAATATCGTACATGTTCGAAAGGAGGTAGTGAAATTCCGTTAGGTGAACAGATGTAGAGTAATCAATCAATCTGAGTGTGAAGTTAATCCGTTCGCTCTTCGACTAAATATCACAGCAAATGGTTTTGATAGTTTCTAAATTCGGCGAGGGAAAGAATTGCTGTATCGTCCGCAAAAGTTAAGAGAATTGTACTGGGAGGAAAAGAATAAGGAGGAAATAGTAATAAAATTCATGGATGGAATTCTTGAAGGGCGTAGTGGCACAATCCTAAATAACTGGTAAAATATGCTAAAGTTTTCCTTTTTAAAGTAATTAATAAACGTTGACTAGAGTCTAAAATTATTTGATTCAACATCAAAGGCGTATATTGTATTATGAAAAAATAAATTAAATTTTTGAATTTGTGTTAGTAGTAATATCATCTACCTCCTCTTCTGGTAAGTATTAGTGTTAAACCATTATGGCTAAGTTAATGCTGTTTGCATTTTAATGTTAATGTAAGGAGGAACTCATAGTTAAGAGGGGCAGTTGGTGGTCCAGTGCAATTCACCGTCGCATAGCTAACAGCCAAAAATCCTTTCGATTCTTCCAATCACATACAAAACTAGCTACACATGTAATCATCCAACAGACTTCACCGTTGATTGATTAAAGCAAAAGAGTTGTTGGATTACCTTGACAGCCGGGTGATGTTGGACGCTCTTGACATAATCAGTCTCTTTGATCAAGTCCCAAACGAGGCCGAGGGCCCCGACGATTCTATCGGTCGCAGACTCGAAATCCTTATGGCCCGATGCGTCTTCGATCATAGGGTCGTCGCTGTGCTTATGGCCCTGATTCTGATTCAGTAGCATCGGAAGGAAAGAGGCGAGAAGGTGCAACGGAGGTGCTTCTCCTTTGCCGTCTCCTGCCATGGCGCTCGCGAAAGCATTCAAAGCTCCGTTACCCCCGAGACCTGCAAAATTCGATTTATAGAAGTGAAATATGGTGATATAAGGGAAATTCTCAGGAGAGAAGGTGGTAAGATAGGAAAAACACATTACTACATTACATGTAGTTTGTCCAGTTTGGTACTTTACAAGCCTTAATATATTATTATTTATCGGCAGACGGTTCACCGTGACGCATTCTCAATGTTTGTATATTCTTTTGTTCTTTATTATTCTTTTAATTTTAATAAAGCACTATTATTAAAAAATATATTATTATTTGGACATCGTGAGATGGGGTCTGGTGTGACGTAGGTTTTATAAAAACATTTTCTTTGTCGTATCAACGTTTCGATCTTTATTGAGATCATCTTCAGTGTTTTGTGTTGTCTGCATTTTAACAAAAAAGTTCTCTGATTGATAGCCGATGCAAGTTTCTTCTCATTGTTGGCGATGTCCTTCAGAATATCATAATATATTAAGGAGCTAAGTCAAATAAAGGACAAAATCAAATAAAATCTGACAAATCGCAATGACAAAACACATATAATTTTATAAATATATATTTTGATCAACAGATCGACCTCGCTTAGAAATTTTCAATAGTTTGGCATATCCCCCTTGGCTTTACACGCCTCAAATTAAACAAACTTAGAAAAAGGTCCCAAACGAGGAAATAGAACACAAAGCAATTTGACAGACAAAACAAAGCAAGCGACGGTAAGCAAACAAGACGGTCTGAGATGCTGCAGACTCTTGTCCTCCCAGGCCTCAACAGGCTTAACATAATAACATAATATAAAATATAAAGGTTTTTAACTTTATTTGTAACTAAAGTAAATTCCTGTCATTCGAAGATTATAAAACGATAATATACAAGTGCAAACACAAGTTCGATATTAAAAGTATTGAGATAAAGAAAAACCCTTTGATGCTCGACGGATACGCAATAGGTTTAATCCAATAATCTTATTTTTTTCGAGAGTCGTTAAAGTACTCGTCATTTCTTAAAATATTATTCGATCATTAATCTATTAACGCTTTGAAAACCGACAATATTATCTGTTCGAGTGAGTTTAAAGTTAGACTAGTGAAACCTATAGTTTCACTGTTTAGATTTTCAGCATTTGGCCATCAGCAATTTGACAGTGCCTTATTTTGTCAATTGGTTTGATTCAATTTTCGGAATCATGGCGAAGGGGTGTTACGGCTTAATAGAACCGTCTTCACGTTTTAAGTGCGGAAAGGGCCTGATCGATCAAGTTCAACACAATATTTCACGGGAAAAATTATTCAAGAGCAATTAAAATGTCTTTGAAACTTGAACCGTTTAGCTCGTCGGTATTATTAATTAATTTTAACAATTGAACTATTTGTTTTAGTTAGATAACTTATCTTTTTATTTAAACTCACGCGCACGTACCCCAAAAAATTTAAACTTTATTTATTTTTACTTAAAAAAAAATTAAACTGTCCAAACGATTTAATGTGTAATGTAATTAATAATCGACAGCAAAGTACCGAGAAACAAGGATACGAAATGGATTGGCAAACCTCGAAAATGTAGGCATAGTGACTCACAGTAAACCAAAAAGAAAGCAAATAAAAATTATAAAGCGATGGTGTAACAAATACACTTAAATAACAAATGTTTTAAAGAGATCAATAAACTTAAAAAATAACAATATAAAATTAATAAAAAATATTTTAATTGTTAAATACCAGTTTCTAAAAAAAACAACTTGTGGACGTACAACAGATTACCAATAAAATTCACTCAGAAAGTGAAATTTGTATTGGCAATATATCATTATTATATATGTATAAGTTATGATGTAATTCATAATGATAATTTAGGAACTGCAAAATTAGAAAAGTTTTAAATAGTTTTTTTGGTTTATTGTTAAAATTGAAGTGCAAATTATTAACAAAAACCCAAGAATTTTTCTTTAAAATTAATATCGCATTTAAAATTAAATTTTGTGCTCACTTATAAACTATAGATATAATATTTAAAAAACTAAATGCAATTGAAATATACAATGTAGGACTTTATATAGACAAAAAACCATACGGAAGAAGTTTTTTTTTTTTAATAGTAGGTTGTTTAATACCTTCAGCGATTTTGCCCAAGACGTCTCCGTTCTTGAGTGACTCCTGAAGGAAGTTGGACGCCAATTCGGCGAAGTCCGTCTCTTCTGCCCTTACAGCCGATAGCAAGAAGGATGCGATGATGGTGCTCAGTCGTATCCTCATCCTGTGCGACGGGAGAATCCTTAAAAGGGGAAAATGTTATATGTGTCTGTCTTCTTCGACCTTTTTGGCCCTCAGACGTCGGTATGCCAACGAGAACTGATTCGGTCTTCGGATTTTACCTGTGGGACTGTTCACCTCTTGGGCTCCCCCGCTACGACGGTACCGGCTCCCTTCCAAACCACGTCATTATAAATTTATCTCAGGGCGTGCCTTCCACGTGAAAAACTAAGAATTTGGCGATTTCCTGATAAAACTTTAAATTAAAAAAATACAAAAATAAAACAACCAGGCAATAATTAAAATTGCTAAAAAATACCAAAATTTATACTTTTTTGTTGTAATATGTTCATTTCCAGTCAATCAATACATAAAAATAAACCGGTTTTATGTTTTATAGTTGGTTAAATAGTTAATACATTCAAACTACTATCATTAATTTAGAAATTTCTTATCTGATATATCGAAAACTGTAACTCTAAGTTAAGCTTTTAGGGGCTGCGTTATCTAGAATCCGTACCACACATTTTTTCTATTTAAGAAATGGCTAAATAATTTTCAAATCATTTTTAAAACTTAGCAAATAATGGATAAAATGGTTTGAAAAGTATATTTCATTTCAATAGAAGTGAACAGAAAATTCTGGATTTTTCATCTTAGGAGGGCCTTAGGCTTTAAAAGAGTATAAGAGATCGATAAGATTTGGTTAAATATATATCCAAACTACATAACGGGTTTACAAAAATTGCAAACATAACACTGAATAGTTGGGGAAAAAATTATGAAGAGATGTGAACAGAAAATTCGGGACGTTTTGTCTGGGAAAAGCCTTCGGTTTTCAAACAGTATATTTAAATATATCCGCCCAAGATTTTGCTAAATAAACATCCAAACTAACTTAAATTGTTATAAAATGTGCTAATATAACAATAAAATGGTGAGGGAAAAATATTATGTCAAGAGATGTGGGCAGAAAATTCAGGACTTTTTGTCTGAGAAAATCCTTCGGTTTTTAAACAGTATATTTAAATATATTCACCAAGATTTTGCTAAATAAATATCCAAACTGACTTAAATTGTTACAAAATGTGCTAATATAACGATAAATTGGTTGGAAAAAAATATTATGTCAAGAGAAGTGAGCAGAAAATTCGGGACTTTTTGTCTGAGAAAGCTTTTGGTTTTAAACAGCATATTTAAGTATATTCACCAAGATTTTGCTAAATAAACATCAAAATTAACTTAAATTTTATAAAATGTGTTAATATAACGATAAAATGGCTGGAAAATAAAATATTATGTCAGGAGAAGTGAACAGAAAATTCGGGATATTTTGTCTGAGAAAAGCCTTCGGTTTTTAAACAGTATATTTAAATATATTCACCAAGATTTTGCTAAATAAATATCCAAACTGACTTAAATTGTTATAAAGTGTGCTAATATAACAATAAAATGGTTGGGAAAAAATATTATGTCAAGAGATGTGGGCAGAAAATTCAGGACTTTTTGTCTGAGAAAGCTTTTGGTTTTAAACAGCATATTTAAGTATATTCACCAAGATTTTGCTAAATAAACATCAAAACTAACTTAAATTGTTATAAAATGTGTTAATATAACGATAAAATGGCCGGAAAATAAAATATTATGTCAGGAGAAGTGAACAGAAAATTCGGGATTTTTTGTCTGAGAAAAGCCTTTGGTTTTTAAACAGTATATTTAAATATATTCACCAAGATTTTGCTAAATAAATATCAAAACTGACTTAAATTGTTATAAAGTGTGCTAATATAACGATAAAATGGTTGGGAAAAAATATTATGTCAAGAGATGTGGGCAGAAAATTCAGGACTTTTTGTCTGAGAAAATCCTTCGGTTTTTAAACAGTATATTTAAATATTCACTAAGATTTGGCCAAATAAACATCCATACTAACTTAAATTTTTACGAAATGTGCTAATATAACAATAAAATGATTGGAAAATAAGATATTTTGTCAAAGAAGCGAGCAGAAAAATCGGGGCTTTTCAACTGGCGACGTTTTCAATCATTATTCATTAATACATAAAACAAATTAAAAAAGCTTGAAAAAATATTATTATAAAGTGAGCAGAAAATTCGGGACTTTTTATGATAGGAGGGCCTTTGGTTTATTTAAATAGATTCTTAGATGCTTAAATGTTTACAAACATTGCAATTATAACGATAAAAAGTTTCGAAACAAGTCGAGGTTTTAAACAATATATTTATCCAGATTCACCAAGATTTTGCTAAATAAATATCAAAACTGTCTTAAATGTTTACAAACATTGCAACTGTAACACTCAAATCTATTTTTAATCCTAGAATTGCTGTGAAAATTCAAGGCTTTTCAACTGAGGAAGACCTGGGTTTTTATGTAGACTAACTGAGATTTGGCTAAATAAATATCCAAATATTCTTAAATATCTACAAACGCTACAGATATAACGGCAAACCAATATATAAAAATTAGTAATTGTATATTACGAGAAGAGAAGTGATACAAAAATTCGGAATTGTTCATCTGAGGATGACATTAGGTTTAAACTTAATATCATTAAATTATTGCAAATAATATATGATATAAAATATTGCAATTATAACGATAAAATATGTCTAAAAAAAAACTTTTGTCAGAAGTGAACTGGAAATTCGGAACTTTTCACCTAAACATCACTAGGCTCTCAGGTTTTTAAACAATAGATTTAAACAGATTCGGATTTGGCTATATTGAAACATTCTTAAATTCCTAAAAACTGGAAAATATAATATAACGATAAAATAAAATAAAAAATTTGTTCTTGAAGTGAATTGAAAATTCGGGAATTTTCATCTAGGAGGTTTTTAAACAATATATTTTAATATTTCTTAAAACTTGTACAAAAATCTGACAAGAAGGTGTTGATAACCAAAGGGCTGGACAGTATTAATTAGTTTTATTTGTAGAAAAACATCACGTACATCTGATTGGTCTGTAATTTACGGCGAAGTTGATGACTTCGCGTCGGAGACTTCGATGCCCGGACAATGGAATGTTTGACTTTTCATTTTCCATTTTAATATTTTACTTCAATTCTACACAAGATTTTTCAATACATCGCCGCTGCTATTTGACAATTGCGGTGTACAGCTAGCGGTGTACTGTCTTGATCATTGACCGGAAAAAGTTAGGACGTTAAACTTTTTTAATATTTACATGTCCCTGCTCTTTTCTCCTTGCAGAAGCTTCAAAGGATATTACGCGAGTCCTGGAATAATCTATTCATCCATATTACAAGTAAAAGTTCTAAGTTGTAAAATTCTAAGCCTATGACAAAATAAGATTGATATATTTGTCTTTAAAGCTATTTCCAGGAGACAATTTTGAATATATTCTTCAATACTTTCGTTCTAAGGCTGTAAAAATAAAAAAATTTCCAGGGCTGCCAAAAAATGATAAATCTTCAAACTGAAGTAAATAACATATAGTACAAATGAGAATATCGGAAGTGCAAAACATAAACTAAAAAATAATTATAATTTTCTAGAATAACTATTTTGTTAACATACATAGACAAAAATTGACTTTTAGTCTTAAACAGCTTCGACCATTCTGGCCTATTTTTGCTTGCGTTGTGAGTCACAGTTTCCTCATTTTTGCCATCTGTTTGTTATTTTACCCATCATATTCTTTTTTGTAAAATGTGAAGGGGTCAAAGTACTAATTGTCCACTGACCTAACATAATTAATACCGACCCACCCCTTCGAATAAACTTAGGGAAGACACAATGTACTAGACTAACCACTGAAATGGTCAATGGGAGATCAAGATGATTATGAGGTGGTGATCATGAAGCTTGGTCGATTGACGTTTCTGATCATTTTGGTATTTTTTCATACTTAGTTTTGTTAATCAAAAACCTCAAACACCATTTTTTAACATACACATACAAAAATTGACTTTTAGTCTTTAACAACTTTGAACATACTTGATGGCTTTGTGAGACGAGGTTTTGCCATTTTCGCCACTTTCAGAGGTTGATAGGTTTGTTATTTCGCCTATCATGTCCTTATTTTGTAAAATGTGGAAGAGTGAAGAGGTAAAATTTTAATGTCAACCCACTTCGATGACTTAGGGAAAAAGCACAGACTAACCATTGAAATTGTCAAATTGGCAGGTCAAGATGATTGCAGGGTAATGAACCTGTAGCATGGTCATTTCTATCAATTTGGTAACGTTCACACACAATTCACTTTTAGTTGTTCACATCCTCGACCATTCTTGTAGGTTTTGTCATTTTTGCCACCTTCAGTGATTGAGTTAAAAGGTAAAAGTATTGATGGTCTTCTGACAGAACATAAATAATATTATTATTATTCTCCTTGATGTATGCTGGGTGAAGGATGTGTAGCAAGTTCATTTCTAATTATTTTAGTGTCTTTCTTCCTTAGCTTTGTTATTCAAAACTATTTGTTTTTTAACATACAGACAAAAATTAACTTTTAGCCTTAAACAACTTTTAAGGTTCTAATTTGACTACTCTTTCAGGCTTTGAGCTTTTGTCATTTATGCCATCTTCAGCGTTTGATCCGTATTTCATCAATCATATCTTTTGTTTGTAGGTGAAAAAAATGTAAGTATTGATGGACTTCTGACAGAATACAATTAATATCGACCTACACAATTACATCGGATAGAAAGACAAAATGTACAGGATAACAAAAGACCAACTAATGAAAATAGCAAAACAAGATTTCGAGTGATCATGGTACAAGATCATCTTGTCTTTTGGCTGATGAACCTGTAGCTTGGTCGTTTCTAATAACTTTAGTCTGTCTTTCTTCCTTACTTATATTAAATTTACCACTGATGATGGCTAACAGGCCTAAACGTGTCTGTCATGACCAACGTGATCAAATATTTTATTACAGATTTAACAAATAACTTAATTTTGTGTGAGTGTGATTAGCCCAAACTCTTGAATCGACAACATTAAAGCGACATAATTAAATTCAGGTGACTTATTTTTTCATTGACCGATTTTGTAAGTTGAATCAATTTGTTTGCAGGAAATTAATTTGTGTAACAGTCTTGAGGTGTACAAAAGGTACCTGTTCCTTGACCTATCAAACATGGTTTGGCCTTTCACCATCTTCAGTGGTTGGTCTGTTCCATTTTCCCTGTTGTCTGAAGGGGTGTCTGTAAAGTTCTAGCTACATAAATGTTCCACTTTTTAAATATAAAAAAAGATGTTTAATTTCAAGACTAACTTCATAACATAAAACTTCGTTTCTTGGCCTGCGAGAGAAAAAAGAAAATGAGAAGCAAGACTTGCTTATACAACCTCCCTATGCCATGACACCTGTGGAACTAAGCGGCCTTCCTTGGACCCCATCCACCTTAATATATATAATAAATAAANGTATGGGAAATTATTTTGATTAAAGAACATTGCTTTAAAGTAACTAGTTTCTTTTTTTTTGTTTAATACCAAAATCCTGCATTATTTTCCGGACAACCCAATAAATAGTAATAAAAATTGCTGGCATAAAAATTGTAATTAGGAAATAGGTTTGGTGATTACTGTGTGATCACTACAATTTTTTGTTTTAACAAATTAAATAATGTAGTTTGTCAATATTTCTTTCAAGTTTATTTCACTATCTTACATCCTTTATAAATATTTGTTGTTTTACTTTTCATTTTATCATATAAACTTTTTTTTAAACAGAGACAGGAGAGAAAAAAAAATGCTTACAATTTTAACAAAAAAAAAATTGAAACATTTATTTTTAAATATAACTAATACCAATTTGAAAAGAGAAAAAAACAAAAACAGTAATATTTAAACACTAGATTGATTTTTGTAAGTTGTAAACCATCCGTTCAATGAAATTCTGTCCTATTGGTCGACCAAATAAAAATTTCAAAACAGGCAGGGCTAAATTGAGCTTAAGTTTTGTTTAATTATTGTTTATTTTAAGCATAAAAACCATTTAACAAGTTGTATCTCTCTTTGGAAAATATACTTTCAATTTTCTTAGCTTTGATTTCAACATCCTTAAATAGTAATAAGACTTCGATCTTTTATAACTATACTAGTTTTTTTTTAATACTAAACATATTTTTATCTCATAATATTTGATGACTATAAAAAAATAAAATAAATATTACAACATTGCTATACTTAATTGTGAAACATTTTGTCATTTTTGACTTGGTGACTATTTACTATTTATTTTTATTTTTTAAAACACAAAATATAACATGTTAATAATTAAACAATAAAACGGGGAAAGGGGTTGTAATTTTCTTTTCTTTCAGTGTATTTAATTTTATAATTAGGTTAAGACTGATAATAGTAACTAAAGAGAGAAAACTCAGGGGTTTTAAGATGGCACTTTTTTTGCTTTAAAATAAATTACACACATACACTTTTTAGTTTTATTCAGTTTATTTTACCAGACAGAACGGACGGAGGTTTGACGGAAAAGCAATTAGGCACTAAATATATTATTATTTTTATCTCTTTTATTTTTCTTTACACCAACCGTCCGAACGTCCTTTAGTATAAATTATATTTTAAAAGTCCTTGGTTTCCAATTTAATTTCTTCATATCTGAGGGGCCTACGAATATATATTTATAAAGGCAGATTTGTTGTGAGTTGTATCTTCTTAAGTAATGGTTTCTCTTTGATTATGTTATTTGCGTTCCCGCTGGGATGAAAAAAGAAAGAAAGAAAAAACTTTTGTTTTGTATTGATTTTGTTTTTCTTTCACCAAAGCCTCTTCAAAAGCCTTGATTCAATTTCTTCTTCCAATCTCGACAGCGCTCTAAAACAAAAAGGGAAATGTTATTTAAACTAATGTTAACTTGGTGTTACATTTTTGTCAGGGAAGTGAGCAAACAAGTTTAACAATATAAAATAAATGTGAATGAACAATAAAACAATCAATACATGTAATCTCAATAATTGATCAAAATTACCTAAAATATAATTTTAATAATTAAAAAAATCTGATTTTACTTGTTGGAAAAGATTTGAGAATTTATGTTAATGCTTTAAATTTAATATTTAATTTTTTTCGGCACACTTGAAGAATTATACTGCGTTATCTGGGGCCTAGGACACATAGTCAATGGATTGAATCAGCAGAGATGCTCTCACAAATCAAGAATTTGGTTGATATGTGGCCCTAGGAGGATCTAAATCAAAGAGGGATCTCGCCACAATAGACCATGTGAGGTTGTCACACGAGCATTTACTTTTGGTCCAAAGCCCGCATGTAGAGAAACGTTGCTTGATGTGTTCCATATAATTGAAGGGGTTCCTTGATTCTATATAGAGAGTGAGTAAGAATGCAACCCATGCTTTAGCTTGCCAGCGAGACCCCAGATGATTTTTTTTTTCCAATGGATACATCCCCCTAAACACAACAGCTGTAAACTAGAGCTTATTGTACGTTATTCCTGGCTCCATTTTTTGGGAGCTCGCAATAAGCATGTGAATTGAGCCCCCGGTGTGCCAGTGTTCTTCCATCGAGATTCATTTTTAAAGGGTGTTAGGACCAAATTCAGGGTCGCTGAGATCCGATCCTGCCCCAGACCTTCCATTGATGAGTGCTGTGTCAATTTCTTTCAACTGTAGCCAGCGATCCACTTAAGTGTCAGAAAAAAAGTCCAGAGGCGACGGTGGGGATCGAACCCACGACTGGGGGATCTACTGGCCAAGAGTCTGACACCTTAACCACTCAGCTTCTGCGCCCCCCCCTTTATTGCACATAGTACTTGATAGATATATCATTATNTATATATATATATTTAGAGTGAATGTACTTATTAGCATGAATGTGTAGCTTGTGAAGGTCAATGGCTGAACATATAGTACCCCATAGACCCTCACTTAGATTTATCAGATAGTGTTTGTAAAGTGTGTCTAGGTTTAACGACTAGATGGATTGAGAGTTGAAATGACCTAGCTGTTGATAGTCCCAAACTGTCCTAACTGCAGCGGCAGGTTGGATAAGACCATGGTTGGATTCTTGCAACCATTATTTCTGCAAACATAATTAAGGTTTTTATTATGTATGTACATGCTTGACGGATTACCTATGTACCATTGTACCTTTGGTTAATAAATATAAATAAATAAAATAAATAAAAAATAAATTAATTAATTAATAAAAAGGTCTGACTACAGACTGCCAAAACTCAAAGGTTATTGTAGTAACATAATAAGTAATAATTTTGTATTATTATTTATTACCATCTGTACAAATATTAAGTAGTGTACGATTTGCAAATATCCTGAGGGGAGCCAGCCAGTAATGAAGTCCTAAGTTTGATTCAGTGTGTTTATACAGTTTATATATTGCAGATTTTAGCTTATATTATAGTAAAAGCTATAATAAGTAATAAGTATTATTGATTGATTACAACAATATTAATTCCAGCTGAAGATTATTTTACAACCTTTTCTCACTTTTTGTAAAACAGACTTTCACAATGAACATCATTATAAATATTGTACTAACTTTAGAATATTGTGCTGCTGAGGTATCACGGCCGGCTACAATTTGTCCTGAAATAGGAAGAGATTATTTGTTGCTGCCACTGCTATTATGTTCTCGCTCGGATGCCAAGCGGTATGGAGTATCTTTTTAGTGAAATCTAGACAATCGACTGAGATCTCGTCTTTTTTCCTTTTACCACCAGTACAAACCTGAAAGAAGGGAATATTTTAATATTTCGTATGTTACAAATAATAAATACTATTTATTTTGCGCACCTTCCTAGGTTTTAAAAGAGTTTTCGGTTTCGCTATATCCCTAGATGCTTCCAAGGTGGCGTCTCTCTTGCTTGTCCGGTCGAACATTCGGAAGAAATTGTTATACGAGCCTGTCATGATGTACTGGTCATTTCCAGCCCAACAACACTCGAATTTATCAAATATACAATCGTTTTCATACAGAGAGCAGAGCTTTGACCTCAGGTACTCATGAACCTTGAGAGAGAAGTTTTAATTAAGTTTTTTGTAAGTTTATAATAAACAGAATTAAACGACTTACAGGATAACTTTCAATAGGTCTAGATTCCATATGAAGATCCCACACTTTAACAGACAAATAATCTCTTGAAATCATGTATCTGCCAGAATTACTCAATTTAACATCAGATATACTAGATATTATTTCGGAAAAGAAACTTCTATTTGTCGGGTCTTCAGGTTCTTCAAAAACTAAATAGGACAAAAATAAAAATATCAATAATGAATATATCATAAAGGGAGAAAAAACATACTTTTTGAATGTCTATCACAAAGCGCAGCCTGCCTCATATCACATAAACGGATCGTGCCTTTACTAGACGAATACACAAAAAGATTACATTCTAACGGATGGAACTCAGCAGCAGTGATTACTTCGGTTAGCTCTTCCATGTTCGCCGGTTTGATATCAACAATATTGAAAGACTGATCAGTGATCTCAAGATGCCAAAGATTTATCCTGAGGTCATCTGCAGACAGGTACGTCTCTTGGTCTGAATTAACGCTTATTGAATTAATATGGTAGGTGTGAGCATTGGCAAATATCCGTCTAGGCGATGCTTCGACCATGAGTTCCATAGATTTAATGACTGGGACCTGAAAATAAGATTAGCTCAAAATATATGTATTTTAAACAATGCTGATATGTCAAAAACTTACCCTCAATTCCGTAATGCAAGAAGGGTCTCGCATCTGCCCATTTTCTTCCTTTGTGTTGTAACCCTCGACTCTTTTGTCTCTTTCGGATACTTTCCATAACTTTATTGTTTTATCTGAAAGGAAAAGCAGACGTTTAAACACAATACATATATTAAATTTTTGGAAATATATATGCACACCATTAGTTGAGAGTAAGAAATGGGACTGGTTTTTACGCCGGAGCCATCGTATTTTATTGATCTTTTCTTCAATTTCAAGAGATTTGAGGTAGTCGAATTCCGGTTCATGACTCTGGAATGTCGAATAAACGTTGAACTCGCCTCTCCGAGGTTGACAATTCTTGCTCTGTAAATTATTTCTCTATTAGTTATGTCTCTAAGTTTGTAGAAAAAATAAAATAAAAATAAAAAACAAGCTAAATAAATGTATGTATAATTTACTTAAAAAATAAACTATAAACCTTATAAATATAGTTTAATTTAGAAGATTGGACAATTTTATTCTGTTCTTTTAGATTTTTTTTTTTTAGTTGTTCTAAAAACATTTTGGCTACAAAGACACCACCAATAATTAATAGTTCAGGTAAATATAATAATTTAAAAAAATCCTAATTAAAAAGACTTGTGATTGTTTAAATTATAAATTTCGTTGACACATACATTCTCCTTGTAAAGATTTTCCATTGATAATTTCAGACAAAATTTCTTGTGATGGTTTAATTAAATTAAAAAAATGAGAGTTCTTTAAATTAGCTAAGGTCTAATTGAAAATTGTTTATATTGTTGTGTGCAGATCACTCATTTCTGGAAGAACAAAAATTTGACGGTTTTTTTGACTGATGAAAATACTTCAGGTTCATCATCAAGATCTCACGATGATTCTCACACACACAAAAAAATATATTGTCAAATTCTAGCTTTATTGGATGCTTAGAGTCGTTGAACTGTTAATTAGCCCATATTTACTTAATGTGGTATTAATTTTATTTATTTACAGTTAATTTTATGTCTTTACAAAATCAGGGATGTCCAATTTGTAAATTAAGATAAAATATACAAAAATAGAAATAAATAAAAAACACTCAGTTCCTTTGTCAAGCTTTTGACTTTTATAAGTAGATATTCATTAATTAATTGGGAATTATTGATAAGTTTTAAAGTCCTGATTAGATACATTGGAGTTAAAACAATAATCCATATTAATTAAAAATTGACTTTAAAATTTATTTTTATTTATTTACAGTTTTTAAAGTTTCAATTACAGTTAAAGTTATTTACAGCTTATTTTTGATGTTCTTAACGATTTTTCTGCATTCAGAAAATAGCATTAATTGAAACTTGATTGTACTATTATTCGATTCCCGAGCCAAACAGAAATACAAAGAAATTTTATTTTTATTCCAATTTATCCATTAGGAAATATTTTATTAAAAAAAAAAAATCAAGATTTCATTGAACAATTATGTAATCTTAACATAATATTAACACTTAAATCTTAACTTTATTAATAACGACCAATTTTCATCTAATCTATTATTTATTTTACACACAAAAAAAGCCAATTGTGCAACCTTTCAAGTAGCAGTAATTATTTTGTCCCTCGTTGAGCCAATCTGTTAATTTAAGATTAAAAACACGTTGGCTACAATCCCTTAATTGACCCAAATAATTATAAATATTTTTAATTTATAAAATTAATTTAGGAAATTAAAGCTCAGCAATGATTAACTAATGACCAAATGTAAAAATAGGTAATAAGTTATTGTTAATGTTCACGACTATTTAAAATTGTAATTAAACTAATGAAAAATGACCACAATTCTATTTGTGTGTTGTTTAAATCCTGTTTAGACATTATTTTTTTGTGTATTCACTACAAGATTTTGTAAACTGAAAATTTAATTAGATTAATAATAGCCAAAATAAAATATAAAAACATTGTTTTTAAATTGTGAAACAGTTTTTACAAGTTTGAAAAGTTATTATTTTCATCTTTGCTTTTATTTTTGCCTTATCACTTTATTAACTATTCCCTGTGTTTGACAATGCCAAAAGTAGCCACCTATAGGATAAATTACAGATAATTTTTTGATTACAGACATGAAACAGTTTGAACAATTTCAGTATGTTTATTCTAACAACTTTTCTAGGGAAAATTTGGAATCAGAAGCGTGTAAAAATATTAAAACTTTAAAATAACTTCTTTTTTTTTCAATTAAAGCTATTTTATTAAGCAAAAATTCCAGAATATCAACACCAGAGCAGTTTAAATTTGTTAATTTACAGAAAAAGCAGTTTGGTAAAAATAATTGTCACCAAAAGATGCCACCCATGGAGTTGTTTTTAGGTGTACACCAATGATCTCACGTTATCTAGTACTAGATCTGTTCTACTTTTTTTTTCTGTATGTCAGATGTATTTCAGTATTACAACATATTCCAACATTGGACTGTGCCAATTTGTCAATTATAAGTAGGGGAAAACAGGGTATCACACTAGTCACTTAACTTCCAAACATTGCCTGCATGTTGTGTTGAGATAAAAAGTTGTCATACTATGATTCAGTAAGAAAATGATTCTAGTTTCAGTTGCTACATACAGTTTTTTATTTATTTAATTGTGAACTACTCATAAAATTTGTAAAACATAAAACAAGTGGTTTGACCAGCATTACCCAGTATCCGACAATACCCCGTTCTTTCCTACATAAAATGAAAAATGGTAAATGGTGCGACTTGGTGGTCTTTGTTTTTTTGTGGGCTAGGCTGGGTTTTCTCTTTGTTTATGGAGTAGAAATTGATATATTCTCATCTATTTGTGTTCTAAGCTTTCTCATTTTGATTATTTCTATAAATCTTGACTTTTCAAGTATATATATTGTCTTTCTTTTCTGCCGTTTCTCCTTTAAATGCCTTTTTAACTGTACACACCCTGGGCTTTTCCAAAGAAAATTAATACATGATAATATTTGCTTTTTTCCTTCTTTTCATTATTATTTCCATTTAGAATTATTGTCATGTTTCTTTAGGTCTGCAGGGCAAAGAATGAAGCTTGGCAATTGTTGATTATTTTGACTGCTATTACTCCCTGTTTTGTCTGACCAATGCATTTTAGCATTTCACCTGTCATATTGTCATTTGTTGCAAATGTTTACTAAGAACATTCTACAAAAGAACATCAATGGAAAGATGACAAAATACCAAAAACTAATGGTAGATCAGGATAACTTTAGATGCAAAAGCTACAGATTTAAAATTTTCGAGCATCTTTATTTCTTGTGAGATTTCCTCTTCAGATTTGTGGGGTGATGCACTTACAGTTTTGTTGTTTACATTCATTTCGGTATGCCTAGTCTTGTTTTGTTAGATACCTTTCCCTATTAGCCATCTTCAGTAAGGTTTTAAGCAGGGAGAAGCACAGCTGAATCTTTCTGTGCAGACTTTGCCTGTCTTTTTTTAGCCTGCAATTTTATTGTGTCCAATCATTTTCCCACCTATCCTCGCTGGTTTAGTCTAACTTCTAGTATTTTGCTGTTTTCATGAGTGGGTTTCTGTTTTAATTTTTCTTTATATGTAATTAAAGCAAAATAAAGATTTATGCAAAAACACTATTAACAAAAATTGGACAAACCCATTAAAACAGCAGGGATAGTTGTTTAAAGTGTTAGATTTATCGACCAATGTTTTAGCTACAAATAGTCTACCTTGGTATGATCAATTGGATGAAAAAACAAACTTAATTGTTATCTGCCAAGCTTTTGACCTATTTTAAGGTCATCATCAGGGCAAAACAAATTTAACATCATTTCAGTTTCTAATAACTGGTTTCAAATTTCTTTGAACATAGACTCTGTCCCAACACTGCCAAGGACCAAACCACCCTTATTGGTATGAAATATTGTCAGCCGTAAACATTTCTTGTATTATGTCATCTTTTCACTGGTAGGTTTCTATTTTAATTTTGCTATTCGATTTCCAGGACTTTTTAACAAAGGTTTGAACCTAGAATACAACTGATGGAAAAAACACTAAGAGGACCAAGCTAGATTTCAATTTATGAGTTTATATTTCATGTGTGATTTCCCCTTTAGGGGTCTGCAGGATGATGAACTGTAGTTTGATCCTTTCCAATAATTTTTTTTTTGGTCTGTTAGATGCGTTCTGGCTTCTTGCCATTTCAGTGCTTCATCTGTACACTACAATGTAGCAAAAATGACAAAAATATACAAACCCAATATTATAAAATCTTATGAACTCACCAAAGATTGGCAGACAGAAATAACGTCAGTATAAAAATAATATTTACTACTAAATTTTACCGTATAAATAAAACAATTAAATATGTATTTTCTTCTTGTTTTATTCCTTTTTTTTTATTAAATGAAGATTCAGTATTGCCAAGTGGAGACGAAATGAGGGAAGCGTCTCACAAACCGAACACATACAATCCAGGCACAATCTGGAGAGAGAAATCCCGTCTCGCCTGTGTCCGTTTACAACAGGTCGTAAAGTAATATAGCAAATAATAACTTACGATCGGGTCTCGCTGGAATATCACAACTCTCCCGCCTTTGTCGCCAGTGGCGAGGAGATCACCGTCATGGTTGAACTCGACGCAGGAAATAATATCGGCTGTAAAGAATTAATTAAAGATTTTTTTTGTCGGGGGTTGAAAAAAAAAGTATATATTTATATAAAGAGTGGAAATAAGCGGCCCAAGGTGAAAATGAGGAATGAGATAAGATATCTTGTGTAAACTGTTAATTTGGATTGTTTTTCCTTTTTCTAAAATTAAATAATTGGTTTGATTTGCTAAGTCTAACCTAGAAACTGGGTTAGATGCTAGAAACGCCTTTTTTTTGTGTTAAAATTCGGCTTGGGGCGCTTTTCCTCGTAAAATAGTAATTTGTTTTATTTACCTTCGGTAACATCGTCGTCTAATGTACCTTTAACCTGGGAAAAACACCACTGGATGTCTCCATTCCCTGTAAATACCACACACATCTCGTATTACAAGGTGTTTAAAAAAAAAAACCAGATGAGGAGGAAGATGATAAATAAAAAAATAAAAAGTACCTTGCATTTTAAAAAGGGTCCTTTGCTAAAAAATGCAGTGCGTTTAATGCAAAACTTAATAAAATAATTCGAATATTTTCCAGAAGGGGTTTGAACCTCGGGGGTGCGAGCGATCATTTGTTCCTGATATCGTAAATTAACATGATCGAGAGCTGTAAACGAGTCGGAATGTGGAAATGTTTCTCTGGTTCAGCGCTGCCCTGGCTAACGGAGAACGGACGAAGAGTGGATCGGAGCGTTTTCAGACGGAAACGACTCTATCATTTCCAATCGGCTCTCGACCCAAGAACGCAGAACAGGTAACACACACGAACGAACCCCAATGGCGGCATAACACGAGTTCTAGTGCTAGAGAGTAGAGAGAGTTGCGATCCGGCTCGGGTCTCTCTCTCTCTCTCTCTCTCGTGCCTAGTGACGTCACGCCGGGCCCCCAAGCCATCCGCGGACGTGCCCTTCCTCTACCAAATCCCGGCCTGTTTCATCTCCCTCCAATGCCTAGTCCGCCAAACCGAGTTACAATTATAATAATTTACAAAACAGAACAAAAAATATTCAAGAAATTCACATCATCAGAACATAATCCGTATTTGAAACAATTTCAACAGTAGAAGGTCAGCCCACGTGTTGGCCATGAGGCCATCTTGAATCTCTATCAAGCCCCGATGTGATTATTCCATAAAGGAACAATCAAGGAATACCAGAATGCACTTAAAATCCTTACATTACGAAATGGTCAATTTTATTTAATCTAGTATACTGAAAGTGAAGACTGATCTCTTGGTAACGAACAATACGCCCCCAGTGATGGAAAATCTCAGTAGAAAAATAACGGTCGTCAGCCATCAGAAAGTCCAATCTGTCAAGTACCAACTAGAATATGCATTGACAAGCATAAACATATACCATTCATCATGGCCGCACTGGCAGTCAAAAATGTCCCGGGTTGGTTGAAACTCGGCAAACGTGAATTCTTTTCCACCCCTTCCGAAAATGGGTTTCTTCAGTGGAAGAACTAAAATGGACCTAGGTGCGTGGTACAGGCTGCAAGACCCAGGAGAAAAAATAGAAAGACGTATCAATTACTAACTTAACCAAACCGAAGAAATCCGTAGTCAGTGATAAAACAGAGTAAACTGGCTAAAAATATGATTACCCAAGATATTTGTAAATGCTAAACCTGCATTAAGCCCAAATTCTCTTTTAAACAAATTATATCATACAAACCCTTCACAACCAGTCCTAAAACGTCTAAACACAATAACATACACAATTTCATATCTTCATATGATACTGCAGTGATAGCGTGTCTTTGTCCTTCCTGTGATCATAAGGAACGCGTCAAAAACATTTGATCAAAATCTGACTAGTTCATTTCGAGATAACCTCTTACATCCAAACCAACTTTCTCTCCTTATAGTATTGGTACGGATATAGGTATCAAGGCTAAACCACTCCGAGAGTACTGCAGAGTGCAGCATTATACTCTATTCTCTCCTTTTTTTTGTATTGGTTCGAATGGTACACCTTCATTAAGGTAAAGGTATTAGGCTGAACAGTCAAAAGGAAAAATTTATTAATAAAATAGGGTTTTTTTCTCTCCAGAGGAAGTTTGTCAGACAATACCGCATCCATTAGGCACTAGGGTCGGGGCTGTCGGATGAATTTGTCGTTTCCTGTGGAGTGAAACAGAATAACAGAATACCCAGTGAGTTCTGCTTGCTCCTTTTATTATTGAAGTAAAGACCTGATGTTCGGTATAAAACGAGGCGAAATAAATATAAAGGTCGTAATAATATATGGGAAAGGCCCAGAGCAGCCACAGGCAAATATTAACCTACTTGCGCATTACTTTGAAAAATGTAGATTGGATGTTTTACTTCGGCCTACCAAGGCAGCAGAGTTTTGCCTTGGAGTGGCAAGGTGACCATATTCAGGGAGGTCAACCGAGCTATTTTATGCTATGCATCTCATGTGTGGGTTTTTGAGGAGTACATGGCACCGGAAAACTTTGCCACGCCAAATTGGCTAGTATTGGATCTCGAACAAGTACACCAATTACGCCTTGATCGGAATTCGTTGGATTCGATATACATTGGAGGAATGTTGAACAGAACCAATAACCTCAATGCAAGTACGGGATAATTAATCAAATAGTCGATGTCAATAAATTAATTGGAAATTGAGGTTACTATGTCCTTGCTTCTTGTATTATAAGAGAATGAAGTTGATTGAGAATTAGACTACTTCGGAACGAGTGAATTGTGAAAATTTTAGTTAATGTGGAACAGTTTAAGTTTTCGTCATTAGAGTTGTCTGCAACTTCTTCAGAATTTTGCGAAGTAACATCAGAGGGGGTTAACCAGATGCCTTCATAGCATCCACTGGGCTACTAGGCAAAACTTCCAGGTATGCCCGAAGTGCCTGTTTAATATATGCTGTTTTATTACTATCTCTTGATAGAGAGGTCTCTATATAAAATCAATTTTTGTTGCTGTCTTAGTTAATTTTCAACTGGTGTATAAAAAAGTGTGCATGTTTATTTTCAGCTCCCTATTTTAATTAAGACTCCGGTCGTAGTAGTTCAATAGCTGATCCTTGTTTAATAAGTTTATCTATCGGTTTATTACCATTGATGCCCTTGCAGCCAAGTAGGAAAGATTCGGTTGTTTGATTCATAGGATCTTTACTTGTCAAACCTTATTCAGATTGGTAGATTGGACTTTGGAGGGCTGACTGCTTTGATATGAGGTTTCTGTAAATCCCAGTGGATTTAGGTGCAGAGGCAGGTGGTGAAGAACTTCTTCTCGTTCTACTTACTAAAGGACGTACATTGTGAACTACACACGCATATTCGCATATACACAACTGCCACTTGTTGCCTCTGCTGCTGATGAAAAACCGCCTGAATGTGTGAACGTTCTTCACAGGCTTTAGCGACCGAGATTAATTAGCTGGCTAGACGTTTAATCATTCGTTTAGAATGTCAGCACCTATTGGACGTCTTCTAAACTAGTTTAGTATATTGTGAGATTTTACAGAGTAGTGAGGGGTGATGAACTTTTAATGTGGTCGTTACCGATCTACATGGAGGATAGGCAGAGAAAATGATCGTGGGTTCGATTCAATAAAACAAAAATCCTGCATAAAACAACCGAATTTTTCCGACTCGGATGCAAGGACATGGATAGAAATAAAACAGCGGATAAACTTATTAAACAAGGGCCATCTACTAAACTACTATGACCGGAGCCTTAATTAAAATGGGGGACTGAAAACAAACATGCACACTTTTTATATACGCCCGTTGATATGTATCTGAGATGCAAAGACAAAAATGGATTTTATATAAAGGTTTCTCAATTATATCGTTCCTAATCAAGTAGGCTAATTCTCAATCAACTTGATTCTTTTATAATATATGTAAATAAAGGTATATCATAGTAATCTTAAAATTCACATAATCAATGATCATCGATTAAATATCCCATAGTTGCATTGAGATCATTGGTTCTCTTTAACATTCCTCCAAATGGTTATTGAAACGCAACGAATCTCATCTTTGGCTTGTACCTTTCGAAACAGCACAAAAACATGACAAAATATGGTATATACTGCACTCTGCAGAAATCGCGGAGTGGTTTAGGCGTCAGACTCTTAATTAAGGCGGTTCTTCATCAGCGGCAGATGGAATGCAGGCAATTCTAGGAATCAAGCGGCATAGGCCTAGTTGTGGTTCCAGTCCAATGGATGAGAGAGCTGTATTTAGCTAGTTACTCAGCGGGTTCTTTTCCTTCTTTTTCATTTCCGGAACCCACCTCAAGGTAACTTTGTTGTGTTTTCCTGGGACCATTTAGCAATTTAGGAATTTCCAGATGCTAAAATCATTCGCATTTAATGCTACAACTACTCTTGTTCCAGCTTTGATCGATATGTGCCAACAACCGTATGATTAAGGTTAAAAGGAGTCGGCCATTTTCGACCTCACGCTCCGAGACCAATACTGGTTTATTGCACAATCTCCATTGTTATCTGGAGGTTTTCATTAAGCTTAATGCTTTTTATCAGTTCCAAAATTTGTCAAGGAGTCCCATGTGAATTCTTCAAATCTGTGCTTATCCTCTCCCAGGAGTAGGAATCGCTGCCTGCATAGGAATCCAGGAAATATCTGTACAGACTCGTTTCGGATGCTTTCTATGCATATGCCTCTAGAGTCTGCAATGTCCTGTCAGCAGTTCTATCACTGACACGTGTTAGGTTTAGTAGTTCTGCCGTTAGTTCCGCAAGGGTTTATTGATAAACTTTTTCACATGCCTCTGTCCTGAACCACAATTCCATTGAGCATAGGTCTTACTAACCCATTGTTTGGTCCTTAGGTTGCCTCTTCATCAGAATCCACTTCTGGGGATCTTCTTAAAGGGGGAGTCTGCCTCTTAACATCCTTGCACACCGTGACCAAAAGTCTATAGTGCAATCTGGAATGCAGGAAAATCTAGGGATCAGGCGGCATGGGTCTAGTTATGGTTCCGTCCAATTGGTGAGAGGGCTGCTTCATATATAGTTTCTCCGCTGTTCGTTTCCTTCTTTTTCATTTCTGGAACCTTTTTGTTCCGAAAATGAAAACAAATGAAACTGGAACGGTTCTGACAATTTTGTATGCCGCAAAAGGGTTCAGGGCCTATAGAAGTTCTTGTACTTTCCTTGACCAATTTATCGACCTCCTCGTTGCCCCTGTAATGCCAATAATGCAGACCATTCCGAACAAGAATCTGTCTGTCTTCACATATCGTTAAAACCTGAAACCGCAAATTGTAAGCGACTGTTTTCGAACAAAACCCAAATTGGATCAAACACGAGGAATCTAGAGTCTCGATAAACCTAATTGACTACTGCGTCGGAGCTTCAACCGAAAGACTAGAAGCACTTTATTAAACAAATAGCTCCACGAATTAGCTTGATGTTTAGATAATAAAAAACCCGTACACGTACAAAACTCATCAACATTCATAACAATACAATGCACAAATGAAGTTTTTTGTTTGAAATCGTAGCAAATATTTGTTTCAGGTTTCCAAACCCCAGGTCAATTTTAATTTTAGGCCTGTGCTTTGTTATACATAAAACTCGACGTATTTCAACTGAAACCGTTTGAAACCGCAGATCGAGCGTATTTGTCTAGTTGTATACATGAGGTTAATCAAAGGAGCCATTTGACAAAACGCCTTGCGATTATTTTTGGACAGACGCCTTATAGACGAACGTTGGACGCAAGTATCGTTAACTGCTAAGGTCAATTCTTCATGCCTCCCTAACGTACACTGCCAACGATTTTTTTTCTCCCAAATAAAATCGTGAAATTATCTAGCCAATTTCTTAATAGTAACTAATTCACGTTAACTCACGCTTGAACGACCTAATTTAAAAAAACAAAATCAGAAATATCTCCTTGTAGGAAAACACATCCAGAATATGTAACTATATTTGATATTTCACCATTTGTCTACTTGGTTATACATAATGTTAAATTATTTATAAAGAAAAAATTAATGTCATGTGCATTCATATAGAAGAAGACATGAAATGATTCCTTTTAAACAGCTAATAATTTTTTTTTTACTTTTTTAATCTTACATCATCGGCTTGTGTTAAAGATTCATCAAATATTTAATTTATTTCAAATAGTGGTCAATAAATATCAATACTAACGAAACTATATATAAAAAATATATAAATTATATATAAAGAATTGTTTATTGTGGTTTAGGTTTACTAAGGTTGTGGCTGTATCCATCCTCATTTTCCATAAAGAATTGAGAAATGTTGTGGTGAGTCCTGTAAAGCGGTGAACCTTTAACTTGACCATCTGCGATTGTCTTGAACTGCCTGATTTCTCAAATGCAAATGTTGAAATAGATGGCCAAATTCAAGCAAAAATAGGTAGATCAGGGTGATCAGAGTTGGCCATACTTCAAGGGAAATAATCCATAAATTTATAAATATTAGTTCTTTTTCTCACACCCTGCCAGTTCAAAAAGATCAAATGTTTAAAAACAGCCCTTACAAATTTCCAATGTAATATAATAAAAAGAGATTGTCATGTAGTTTTTTTTTATATCATTACTTTTCTTTCTTCTACATCACTAGGACTATTAACCACCAAATTTGGCCATCACCGCGCAGATCACATAGAAAAACGTTATAATTTATTACTACCAAAGCTTAAAATTGTTTATCTATAGAAGTTGTGGTCTTCAGAATGTTTAACTGTCATAACAGAAATGCCAAATTATCCTTCAGATTGCTTCGATGAACAAGCATGTTTTCTTTCAAATGTAATTTTTGCACAATAATATGTATCGTGAGATTTCCTCTTGTGGTCTGCGAAGCGATGAATTTGAAATTCGATCCTTACTGATCATCATAGCCTACCTATCTTTCCATTAGCTCTGGACGACACACTAAAGATGGTGAAGTACCAAAATTCATCTGACAGATCTTGGAAAACCCAAAAACCAAAAATAAAAAATTCCTCTTATTTAACTGATTTTCTTATATAAATATCCCAATATGACGAAATACACTAAAAAGATAAACCTTTGAAACTAAAATTCCAAGCCAAAAAGTTTGAAAATTTATTTATCAAACTGCCTATTCATAATCTGACAATACCAGCCATAATTTTTCACAATGAAGAAATTGTATTGGCCAAGTTTCTAAGTTTGTAAGCATGAAAGACCACTCAAGCATGAATGCGTACTAAAATATTATTTTTATTTGTTTGAATTAAAGCAATTTGGGCTTAATCTTCTAAACTCTGACAGTGTACATTAATAATATAAGTAATATAAAATTACATACTATAATCTTCCACCAATTATGCATATAATTTAACTTTTTGAACGAAATACTTGCCATAATTGCTGCTGGACTTCTTATTAACTATTGATGATAGTCTTTGAAGACTTGAGTGCCTCATCATTGAGGTCTTGGAAACCAGCTTTGAGGGAAGAGAAGAACATCTCGACAAGAGGATTTTACGCCCTTTCTCCTTTCTTCCCCCTCTATCCAAAACACTGTAACAAAATTTTAATCATTTTTTAGTGCTGTAATTGAAAAGATAAATAAATAAAATGATCTAAATGATCTTTAGAAATGAATAATAATACGATTATAAAAATAATCACCAATTTCTGATTTTCTAATGAATTTACAGAATTAATATTTGTTACATTTTAAGTCAGCTTTAAATGCTCTATTGTCGAACAGTGTAGATGAAAGCTTAAGGGTTTGAGGTGGAAAAAAGATGTTAATTGATGTTTAAATGAACCGAAAATTTACACTCGAGTGTTACATTTCTGTACATGTTGAACAACTAACTTTCACAGTCTGCAAATCATCCGTAAAAATCACAATTTGTCTCATTCAGTTTTCAAATGTATGAACTAATTTCTAACGATTACATTTCACAATTAACTGTAATATTAGGACATTTTGCATATTCGCTATATTAATTTAATTTTCAATATGAAAATATCATAAGTAATTTTTACAAATTTCAAAGAAACAGCGTATTATTAGAAATATTATAGTTTACAAATTATACACACATGTGGTGTGCAAGAAACCAGACATACTTTCTGAAAAATTGAGCATATTAACAAATTAAATATTTAAAATTAAATCATTTTTATTTTTGTTTAGATAAATGTTCATATCACACACCCACTCCCAACAACCTAACATATACAAATACTATACAATTTCTCTCCCACTTTTCTGGAGAAAAAGCATATTCACAAACTAAATAAAATTAAACAGTGAAATTAATGAGATGTATATTAATGAAGGTAATAAATACACACTCACAAATCAATAAACCAAATATGCACATATGATTTCAATCTCCTTCATCTTTCTGAAAAAAATGTTAGCATTCACAAATTAAAAATAATAAAATTTTGACGATATACAACACTCACAAGCCAACAATCAACGGGCAGAGTGGCATGCAACAGACACACATGCATAAATACAGTATCAATTTTAATCTTCGCTATAAAGGGTTTATGAATTGGTGGAGAAAATAACACACGTATACATTATAACTCTTTCTCCATCTTTTCCTGAAGTGGGAGTATTTATAACAATTAGAGACAAACAAGGAAATAAATGTATGTTTAATCTCTTCTTTCTTTTCTTTGAGAAAAGTTGGGGGAAGAAAAAATTTAGACAAAAAAACTTGCAAGAGGGGGTACATTTTATTATACACACTTTATACATATTGTACATATAATGTACACTATATTATACACACTATTATAAATATAATGTATATATGTATAAAAGTGTTGTGGGTGTTATGCTTCTTTAGTATGTTGGACACCTGAGCTGTTATCTAATCGTCGCTTTGGCCTTGTTCATATGGGCATATCATTTTTCAATTCCTAAAACTTACAAGCAATTATATGTTGGTCAGACTTGAAGAAATTTATTAGAGGCCACGTATTGTCCACCAGTTTGAGAAGGCCGATCCTTTCTGTCGCTAGTTGAAAGCAAGAGCTCTCAATGAGATCTAAAAATTCCGAACAGGTACGGAATTTGTTACCAGTTTTTGCTATTTAGCAAGAAAATTCCGACAAACTGCCCAAAAAAAAAGAAGAAATTGACAAAACACCTCAAAACTTGAAAAGTAGAGTGTGAAAGGCATACAAAAAATTTTTAAATATTATTTTTACATACGGTTTGTCCTCTATCGTCAAAGCAACTCTACCGTATAAAATTAAGATATGCAAATTAAAAGATTTCGACTATGACGTGCTACATTGTTGGCGTTTGTGAATCCTTCTGACCTTTGTTTGGTCCATACGAGTAATATTCTCACACTTCAATTGGAGTTCAACCGGATTGGATAAGATGAGCGAAAATAGGCGGACACAACTGATCAGGAATAATCAAATAGCTGGCAAATTAACTAGAACGAACGTAGAAAACCGAAAAACGTGCTATTCTTCTGGATTATTTGACAACAAACGAATAATTTGATTATTACATCAGAGTTGCAGGATAAATTTGAAGAAGAGACAAAAAGTTAACTAAATTTAAACTTCTACTTAAAAACATTCCAAAAAAAGCGAAAAAAATACAAGAAAAAAAATTTGAACGTATTCCTCGGTAAAATAAACAACTTTCAAAAAGGAAATGCAAACGCAATAATGTCTCTATTAACAAAAGCCTGGTTTAAATTGCGCAACCTGTTTAATTTTTATGAAATATCTACTGAGCTGAAGAAAGCCGATGGAGAAATCAGACTTAACTTAAAATAGACCACTTGTTGATTATGTAATAAATAATCTTTCTAGTCCTTGGGGACCATAAGGATCAGGCTCTCGTACCCCGTGACTTGACGTTTCGAAAAATCAAAACTCCAATTGGGTAATTTTGAGATATTTCTTGAATGAAACGGAATGTCTATTTGATATCATCACATCAACATTAGGTGAAAGGCGAACGGGTACGTCCAGCAGAAATAATCCTTTTCAAAATAGAATTTAAACCGGGGGGGGGATACATTGGGCAAAAGTTATATTTTTAACGGAAAGGCAACCCAACTCAAATTGCCTAAATTCAAAACTAGCCACGACAATAAACCGGCTCCTATGGCAAATAGAAAAACTACTAAAAAACAAAACTACTAAAAACCGTTTACGAGAGAGAGAGAGAGAGAGAGAGAGAGAGAGAGAGAGAGAGAGAGAGAGAGAGAGAGAGAGAGTGAGAGAGAAAGAGAAAGAGAGCTAATACAGAGTAGAAAGAGAAAATAATTAGTAAAAAAAGAGAACGAGAGAAGTAGGGACAGAATGAGAGAGATGGAGTGGAAAGGTGAGAGAAAGAAAGGGAGGAAACTGGAAGAGAGGGGGGAAAATGTGAGATAGAGAAATAGAGAGTAGGAATAAATAAAGAATGAGAGGAGGTAGGAAGAACTAGAGAGTAGTAATATAATAATGTACTAGGAATATTATATTTGCCAAAAAAAAGTGAAGTTATAAAAATAGGTAGGTTTGTAACTCATCAGAATAATAAAGGCTTGAAAACTTTATTAACCATAAAGGGAGTAGGGCACTCTCAACACGACACACAAGAATGACACATCTACACAGAAAACAAACACTTTGAGCCCTGAAGATGATCTCAATAAAGATCGAAACGTTGGCACGATAAAGAAAATGTTTTTCTAAAACCTACGTCACACCAGACCGCATCTCACGATCTCCAAATAATCATTAACTAACGTTCACTAAACACCACACATTAACCATTAATTATTCAGAAATCGTGAGATGCGGTCTGGTGTGATGTAGGTTTCAGAAAAACATTTTCTTTATGGTGCCAACGTTTCGATCTTTATTAAGATCATCTTCAGGGCCTGGGATTTACAAACATTTTTAAATTAAACAATGTTTGTAAATCCCAGGCCCTGAAGATGATCTCAATAAAGATCCATACGTTGGCAGGATAAAGAAAATGTTTTTCTGAAACCTACATCACACCAGACCGCATCTAACGATTTCTGAATAATTATGGACTAACGGTCACTAATCACCACACATTAACCATTAAGTTTTCTTCAAAGTTAATATGTACTTTCATGAAATGGTGTGTATAGTTATTTTGTAAGTAGTACTTTTTTCTTTTTGTGTCGAGTTGGTTGGAAAGTAATGTAGGGTTTTTCCACAACGTTTTGAACAAATAAGCCTGTTAGTTCATGTGTTACTAATTATCATTAATTATGTACAGTTTGTAATCTTTTTCACCGCATTATTTGTTCCAGTTAGGTTTTTCTTACCCATGTTGGCAAGATGGAATATAGTAAAGTCTATTTTCGAAGCTTGAAGCCGTTTTATTTTCGGAAATGGAAAATATATACGGCATATGGTGTTGAGGTGCTATTTGAAATAGGGTATGCCAATTTTAAAATAAGATTTTCCTTTCTGGAAACTAAAGTAACAATCAAAGAAATACCGTTACTGGAGACAGGGGAGATTTTAATCGTAACCATTAAGACGTTGAGAAAGAAGTGACAGCGATTAAAATGACATCCATTTCTTACGAAACCGGTAACGGCTGGAGAAAAGTGCATCCTGTACAACCTGGACCTTCTGCTTCGACCAGTAACTCCATTCGATGAGCTGATTTGAAGATCATTTTTGAGAGATTCTGTGAACTCGATTTAAATCTCCAGTAATTCTCATTATTGAATCAAAATGGAGCGTTGTACAATATAGTATTGCTAATATAATCAATTAATTTTGTGGTTTTACAATATCTTTTCAAAATCCATTATTGTAAGTAGATTACACAAAAACCACAAGTAGTTGAACAAATCTCTTCTTACGTTCTTTTAAAAGTGGTCAAGGACAATTTACAACCAAATGTTTTAACATAACGATCTAACACGACTTAACAGGGTTAGCACAAAGATCGTGAATACCCCTACAATATGAAACGTTTGGTGTACAGCTCTGTAAATCCAATATTCGGAAGCCAAGACAAAACACAAGCGCACATACATTCTGTACGTACGTACCGTCAGACATTGATGAAAATCGTGTAAATCCGCTTGTTGAATTCACCTCCTGAGTCTTTAAGCAATTTAAGATAACCAGTCGATCCCCAACACTCTTATTTTCCCTGGAATGAAAACGTCTTGTAGAAAATTCTTGGCGGCGCTTTTGCCAAGCGAGAGCGTCGTTAAAATCTTCCAAGCTTTTTGATAATATGCGCCAAGAGTATCTTCCAGGAAAACAGGCTAAAATTTAACGTATTTTTTAAAATCCTTTATTAAATGAAATATAAAACAATTAATTCGCAATGTAATGATAAGAGATTAAGTAATCTTTACAAATACAATTTACAGCCACCCGAATGTACAGGATGTTTGTCTTTCACTTGTCACTTGTGCAAACTGAATTGATAATTCGCTATTTTCTTTCCCCCTATTTTTTTTTCGTTTGCTGATTAATTTTTAAATTTGATTAGTTGTCATTGCGGTTTAATGGAAATGACCTCGTTTCAACAGCAAATTGAATACTTTAAGAAAATGACGTGGAAGGAATGAGTTCACGATTTTCCACTCGGACGGTCACAATGACCATGAGTACAGTTTGTCAGATTTATTAATATTTATTTATTTGAAAGGTACAAATAAAGCTTTAAGCCCCCTTACAGGTACATATATTAGAAATAAATTTAGTTTTATAAACATAGTAAAATAATAATAGTCACAGTAATAATAAAAAACATAATAAAATATACAAAACATTAATGACAATAATACATTTTTTTAAATGTTAATTAATTAAAAAATATTTCTAAAAATAAAAATTTCTTTAAAATGTTAATATGCAAAATTTATATAATTCGAAACATTTGTGTAAATACTTTAAATAAAAATATTATTACTACCACAAAAAAAGTTTTTGTTCAACGAAATACAAACTATATGCCTGTGAATTTTGTTTGTGCGTCAAGTGAAATTTATATTTTTGGTTTGCACATACATATTTTTTATTATACCAGTGCTAACACACGAAGAGAGATAGATAGATAGATAGATAGATAGATAGATAGATAGATAGATAGATAGATAGATAGATAGATAGATAGATAGAGAGAGAGAGAGAGAGAGAGAGAGAGAGAGAGAGAGAGAGAGAACGAGATGACGAGAGTGTTTTGTGGTTTGAGAGAAAAAAAATGAATAAAGACTGTTAGTAAGCCATAAATAAAGTAAAAGAGGAAGAGAAAGATTGAAAAAGAGATAGAGGAAGACAAAGAGAACTGCGATAAAGGCAACATGAGATGAAACAGGCAGAAAATGATACTTTGAAAAAAAAGCTATTACAGAAATAAATAAAAGAGAGTGGGTGTGGTAGAGAGAGAAAAAATTTGTTGGGTGTTGGTGGTTTGAGAGAGAAAAAAGAAAGAGATAAAGACAGTTAGTGAACAAGGGTTATATAGCAGATAAAAAAATAGCAAAAGTTACAGATCAAAATAAAGTAAGAAGGGAGGAAGAATAAGAAAGAGAGAGAGGGAGGCAAAGAGAACTTAAGTGGGTTTGACAAAGGAAAAAAAGAGATAATGACAGTTAGTGAAGAAGAGTTTGATAGCAGAGAAAAAATAGCAAAAGATACAGATCGAAATAAAGTAAGAAGGGAGGAAGAATGAGAAAGAGAGAGAGGAAGACAAAGAGAATTTAGGTGCGATAAAGATGACAAGGTGATATAGCAAACAGAAAGGAGGTGAATGGGAAAGAGAAAAAGTAAGAGACAGAGAGAGAGAGAGAGAGAGAGAGAGAGAGAGAGAGAGAGAGAGAGAGAGAAAAGAAAGAAATAAAGACAGTTAGTGCACAAGAGTTCTTGAGAAAAACAGAACAAAAGATAGGCCCGAAATAAATAAAAGAGAGAGAATGATTGAGAAAGAGAGAGAGAGAGAGAGAGAGAGAGAGAGAGAGAGAGAGAAAGAGAGAGCGAGAGAGAGAATGAGAAACATTGAGAAAAAGACAAAAAGCACTTAGGTGTAATAAAAACAACCAGAGACAGAGACATACAGATAGCGAAAGGGAGAGTTTGAATGAAAAAGAGTACAAAAATTAATTAAAAGTGGGAGAGAACGAGAACTTGGGTGTTGTGTGGGTTTGTGAGAGAAAAAGGAAAGAGATAAAGACGGACATATAATAAATGGGAGAGTTTCAATGAGAACGAGAAAAAGGAACTAAGGAACTAGCAATATTAGACAAATATAAAGTAAGTAAGAGCGCGCACGTGTCTGTGTGTGTGTGTGCGCGCGCGCACGCGTTTGCAAACACATGTCTTTTTAATTTAATATAAATGATTTGAAATGAGATTTTTAATCGATCAGTAAGGATTTTCAATCAGAACCTTCATTGAGAAATTTCCACTATAAAACTTCCGTTCAAAATTTTCTCATTCCCGTTCAGAAATACAATGCTCTCATTGAACTAAAGTAGTAAACAATCAGTCGGACAACATACAGGGGTCAACCTCGAATAAAACCGATATAGAAGCGGTGGCAAGGTGAGGGAGCTAAGTTGAAAATAAGTATTCACCCAACTTGGTTATATGGGACAAGGAGAGGAATTGTTTTTATTTACGGATCCTGGAGACTGCTTTCGGTCTCCATCTCCTTCCTACCTCCTTACTACCTTTTACATTTTTTTTATTGCTGACTGTTTATTTGAAAAATATCTTAGAGTAGAAATCTATTGACTTTAGATGCATTTTCCTAAATTCGAAACTGTTTATGGTCAAAATACACGGTATTATTATTTTTGATCAAAGAAGACTGCAAAAGTAGAAGAAAGTAAACAGAGTATTTTTAGAGTTTTAACACCCCAACGGCAGTTCTCCAAATCGCGTGCAATACCTGACTAAGCCAGCCTCCACTTTACTATTAGCATTTAGCAAGCCGTCACAGATGAGTTTCGGGCCGATTTATAATTATTATTGTTGGCTCGATTAAACAATTAACTCTCTTCTACTCGCCAAAGGTGTAATTGTCCCTGTATTACGATGGGTTTCGATTTAGCTAATTGATTATCATTTTGGTTTCGTGATACAACGAAATTAGCCTGAAAGATATTCCGTTCAAAAGAATAGGCTTTTATTAAACACTTTTTATAAGACAGAAATGTTGGTACACGATCAAGTTTTGACGTTCTATCCCAATTCTTTTGGATATAATTTTGAAAAATTAAAAAAATAATAAATAAATAAAAATACGGAAGAGTTTTTATAGTTTCTCAAATTAGAAAACAGCGATGGGGAAGTTTTAAAATGTCTAATGTTGATGTATAGATGTTAAATATATGACTAATTAATTAAATATTAAACATGTTTTGGTAATTTACACTTCAAACTTAGAGAAAAAGTTAAGGGTTTACTTCTCAATTGATTAACCTTTAAGTAAGGTATTGGTTGAGATAAAAAAGTCAGTGTCACGAGCGGGATTCGAACCCACGACCTTCGGCCCTCAAGTGGTAGAGCAGCGGCGTATAAGGACGTGGGTTCGAATCGCGCTCGTGACACTGACTTTTTATCTCAACCAATACCATGCTTAAAGATTAATTAATTGATACGAATTTGTTTGGTCAATCGGACCACGAAACCCAATGGATTTAAGGGTTTACGTTAAACACTTTGGGAAATTGAAAATCCCCTTGACTTGAAGTAAATCTTGTATTATATTGTTAAAAGATAAATTATTCATCACCAATGTGGTTAATTTATCTATTAATTCAATTAATTAATCTTTATGTAAGGTGTTGGCTGAAATGAAAAAGTTAGTGCCACGAGTGAGATTCGAACCCACAAGCCGAAGGATGTATTGAAATTTTAGAAATTTTTACTTTGAAATTTATATTGATATTTATTTTTTATAGAAATTTTCATTTTTTAATCTAAAATTTTCTAGCATTATATAGATTCATTTTTTTAATCTGAAATTTTTTAGCATTGTATAAATTCATTTTTTTTAATCTAAAATTTCTACTATTGGATAAATTCATTTTTTCACATCCTACATGTATTTGTAAAATTTAAACAATGTTTATAAATCCCAGGCCCTGAAGATGATCTCAATAAAGATCGAAACGTTGGCAAGATAAAGAAAATGTTTTTCTAAAACCTACGTCACACCAGACCGCATCTCACGATCTCCGAATAATTATTTTTGATATTTTAATTTTTTTTATACGTTAGTTATTATCAAGGGTTTATAAGCATTTACATATGTACCTGTTAATGAAATTGTAAACTAACTCAGCCCTGAAGATGTTCACAAATTAGTTTGGCATGAAATTAGGATTTTCTATGTTTCTGTGAACTAATGCCTGATTATCACACATACAAATCTTGTATCAACTTTGACCCTTGAGAACTGGGGCGCCTTTATATTTAAATTTTACTATAGGTTTTAACAAAAATTTTGACAGATTACAATGATTTTGTCCTAGGGGAGAAAAAAGTTGTTTTATATTACGAAGCGACATTTGTTCATTAAGTTCCATCTGGTTTAGAAGTGATACGGACGAAGTCCCTTAAAAGTCCGCACAGTTTAGAAAATATGTCGTGTTCGTTTAATCGAAATATCGTCTTGGTTGGAAAAGTCTATAATTAGGTAAAAACCTATTGAACATGTGCCAAATGGAACAACACGGAGTATCTCGCCTCACTCTACTCCGGTCTGACCGTCGGGCATATATTTCCAGATTTATTTATAATTTCTTCTGAAAATAATCGATCAATTTTTTTTTTAACTTTGTACGGACAAAAGGAATCCCAGGTTTATCCTTCGTCGGCATTGTATAATCGAATTGACCGACGAAACCTTTAATAACATTGCATAACTTTTCTTTTAGTGCCTACCTATTCGGCTATTCGTTTGTTATGCAACAAATATAGCACAATTTAAATTATTGATTAAAACTGATGAAGTCCCATTGGGCAATTTTTTTTAAAGTTCTGGAACGATTCGCATTTACCTGAAGAATTTTATCACTATCTAATAGCCGTGAATTTTTTTTTCTTTTTCAATTTCAGCCTTTTAATCCCTTCTAGGAAGGCGGAGAATTTATACAAGCAGATATGAGTCATTAGCACTTCGATTTTATCTTGAAATGTGATATCAATCCTGTGATAAGGAAAATGGCCGATATTATACTTAAATTGCTTATTTCACACAATTCACAAAGCCTACAAAAATCTTTTTATGATTTCAGAATTTTCATTCCTCCATTGCCAAATGTTTTGTCCTTAAAAATTAGGATTTTATGAAATGTGTTTATAGATTATCCGAAACCATTCTTACTCGCTAAAAAAATACAAATGCAATAATAAATTAAAATCTCTTACATATATTAAAATACAAGAAGTCAATATAAATTATATTAATGCTTGGTGATATTCTTTAACCAAAGGTATCAAACAAGTGTAGATAGCTTAAGGTAAAAAATAAGATAAAAGGTGCGACAATTCGATAATTATTTACGTCAAAATTTATCTCTGTTATATATTCATTTTAAATCAAAGATAAATGTTTTTTTAAAAACTTATAGGATTTTTGTCGTTTACGGTCTGTCGGATAACGGTACGTCCTTCGCCTGCCCAACCGTCCATGAATCAATGGAAAATTGCTTTTTCCGAAAGCAGGAAGAAATGTAAAATACACTTCAATTCTACGATAATTAAAAAATAACTATCAGATTTGACTACATAACAGTTCCTAATATTATTTGAGATATGGGGCGATTTTTTTCTCATCGGAATACTGCAGGATAGCTACAAAAATGGGTTTGTCATTTTGACATTTCTTGTCGCTGTGCTCAGTTCGAAAGATGATAATTTAATCATTACATCCTGTGGTTCAAAAACCCCGGAAACTTTAATTAAATAACTGATAGGGAATTTGAAAAATGTGCAATTTTAATTATTTTATTTTTATAATCATTCTGTACTGATAATTTACAACTTGAAGCAAAGCCACTTTCAGCTTCTTGCTGCCGTTTCTCTCCGATAAAACCAAAATTCTTGTCAACAATTCTAAATTATCTTATCTAATTTAGGTAAAAAATTGATTAATGTTGAATAAATTGTATGTACGCGTTTCTTCACTTGACACACGTTGGTACTCAATTCTCGGTTTTTTCTTACATTTAGCAAAACTAGTTTTTCTCACTTGACACGGTTTTGTCGTCCAAGTAAAAGTCGAACACGCTGTAAACAAGTTTCAGTTTAAAAGAGTTTAAAATGTAAAAACAGATCCGTAAATAAAATTGAATAAACTGAAGACTTTTATGATAATAAATGCACCAACAAACCAAAACTGGACGTTTCTTTGTATGTACAACTGAAATGTTTCATGCTGATCTTTTTATAAGACACCGCACATAAGTCAAAAGATAAATAGTTTTATGAATCAATCATAATCTCCAACTCGTTTTGAAAACAAAATATCTTAAAAATGCATACATCATCGCAGTTACGACTCCTTTCCGTTATTCTTTTCAACCGGATTAAAAGAGATTTCCTGCGTGGGTGAGAAGCTCTACACGAACCATGAGCCATATTTGAAACTGACAGCAGTGAGCATATATTTCAACAACAATTATATAAGACGAAAATTCATTTTGTCAAGGAGAAAAATTCGACTATTTCAGTTAAAAAATTTAAAATGATCAAATATCCCCGAGGAAAGCAAACATTAATCGTTTCCATACAAAATCTACAAAACATTTGTCCATGAAACCTCACTTTTCTGTGAAGTCACAGTTAATAATTTTAAACAAAACATTGTTTGTCCATAAACATGAGATAAATTACTTGTACTCTACATAAAACATTTGATATATTCTGTCTACCACCACATCTTTACGTGTGGTGAGAAGAACGATATATATTATACATTACCGTCGAATATAGTATTTCAATAAGCTAACATTTTTTTTTTTTTAATTTGATACATTTTTTCACACAAAGAGAAATCTTGATTGAAACAAAATGTTGCAGACTAGTGTAAACGCTAACAACGCGTGTTGAGTTGAATAGATATTTGATCACCCAAGATCAAGTTGGGTAAGTGAGAGAAAGAGTGAGAATCAGAGGGAAAGAGAAAGTTTGATAGAGAGAGACACAGACGAGTGATAGGGAGAAAAAAGAGGCAGACAGAGAAAAAGTAAAAGTGTGAATGAGTGAGAAAAAGAGAGAAAGAGAGGACGCGAGGACTTAGTATATAGAAAGAAAAAAATGGCATTCTGCGAAAAAATAAGAACGTGTGTGAACGAAAAAAAGAGAGTGAACGTAAGTTTGTATAGATAAAGGCTTGTACAGAGTTAGAAAAAATAGTCCTATTACAGAGAGAGAAGACGTAAGAGAATGAGTGAGTGAGAAAGGAAGAAAGAAAAAAGAAAGAGAGTGAGAGAACTAATAGAGAGTACAAAGAGAAAAAGAATGAGTTGAGATAGTAAGAAAGAGAACGAGAGAAGTAGGGACAGATTGAGAGACATGGAGTGCAAAGGTGAGAGAAAGAAAGATTCCAAGAGAGGGAGGAAAATGCGTGAGAAATAGAGAGTAGAAATAAATAAAGAATGATAGGGGTAGGAGTAACTAGAGATTACTAGTACAATAATGTAGGAATATTATATTTTTCTGTATTCGTACAGATTTATATATGGAAAAGAGAAAGAAGAGTGAAAAAAAGAGAGAAGACAAAACGACAGAAGATTATGGAACATAGAGAGGAACATAGAGAAGAATGTGAGTGAGTGAGAAAAAGAGAGAGGACGTGAGGACATAGTATATAGAGAGAAAAAAGTGACATGGTGTGAGAGAGAGAGAGAGAGGTGTTTGATTTGAAACAGTTTATTTATAAAATTTGTAGATTTAGATCTTACTACCAACGAGTTCGAGAGTTCGATTTTACAAAAATACAAAATAAACTAACAAAAAGATTATAGAACATAAAGCGAAAGATAAATCGTGAGGCATGATAGTGGAGAGACAAAAAGAAGCAGACAGAGAAAAAGTAAGAGCGAGTGAGAGAGAGAGAGAGAGAGAGAGAGAGAGAGTGAGAGTGTGGGTGTGTGAGGAAGAGAAATACCAGACACAGCAAAAGAAGCAGGACGAGAGGGCATGTAGAGAGGAAAAAAGGCAAATAGAGAAAATGTAAGATACACGCTTTTGTGTAAACTGAATCAAAACATACTCATTTTCTTACGTACTAGTTTATATCAGCATATAATATCTTAAAATATCTGGGTTTTTGACCTTCTAAATACATATTTACAAAAAGGGTTTTTCATTTCTCGTTTACAAGTTATGCTCAATTCGAATGCTATCTTTCATTTTTATCGTTACGTCCAATGCTTCAAAAAGTCTGGAAACATTCATTACAGAGAGATCGAGATTAACGGGCACATTGACGGCAGACAGATTCTCCTGTTTCCCGTCTGTTGCAACTTATTTCAAAGCTCGACAGTTGAGTAAAATGATGAATTTGCCATTTACAAACAACTTGGCTTATGACTTTTCTAAAAGTTTTTCTTGCAACTGTGAGAATAAATTTTTATTTTTTATGCGTTACTTTTTCTAATATGTTATTTATTATGAAAAATATAGAGCTTTTGGATATTGTCGTATTCTGTCATCGTTCATGAATAAAAGACTTTTAGGAATAAATTTCTCTGTGCAATTTATACAGAAGTGGGAGAACGAAAGATTTTGTAGGTTTATAAAATAAAATGTTTCGCGAGTGACAATGTTTACATAAACGAGGTACACTTGAAAAAAATATAATGTATATTGAGCAACCTGGATGAGTTTTTAATTATACAATCATTTGTCTTATTGAATGTTTTTTCACTAAAAAAAATACATGTTTTAACATAATCTGCATAGTTTTGGATCGTTAAGATGTGAAGAATGTCATTAGACCTATTTTGATCGTTTCTGATTTTCAAGAGTAGTTTCGTCGCTTAGAAATGTCTCAATCTATGTTTAAAAATATATTTTTTCTGTTTTGTATATTTTGTTTTCAGGAAAAATGCATGAAAGTAGAAGTGGTTTATGGCCTTTCTTGAAGGGTGAAGCTTTGTGAAAACTTTCCCTTTACTGTTGGAAAAATTTCTGGGTGTGTTTTATCTTTTATACCATTTATTATGAATATAATATATAATATTTTCATTAGTATATTTATTGTTTTAAACTTCTAGAACTCAGAAAAATATTCTCCTGTTCAAGATTAAATAACACTATTATAATTGAAATTATATTATTTTGAAACAATTTTAAATTACCTTTCGATTAATTGAGACACTGTTAATGATAGTTAATCACTTTTGCCAGAAAGAACATAAAATGGGCATTTTTGGTCGAACTCAAGCCCGAAGAAGTTGAGGTGGATCACATGGATTCGCAGGATGCGTCCACTTCACAAAATGGTGGAAGAAAGGGTCGAAGATCCCGTTGTCGTATTTTCCCTTCCGTCTCCTCTATTATTTTTTCTCTTTTTTTTTATCACGTGTGCTCGAAAAACGAGCACGAGCGTCCACAAAGGTCAAGTACAAAACAAGAACTTTAATTGTGAACTGAAACTCCAACCGAACGGTGACTGAGTGGAAGGAAGACCGCTACTGGGCGAGGTGGGAGGAAGGTGCGGGGTCCGGGGCTATCCTGGATAAAGTGGGGGGGGAGTCGGCCCATTTGCCAAGTCTTCTCGGCATCATCAAATTCCATTCACCCGGAAAAGAAAACCGTTTCTCGCCGCTGCACCCTCGCAACTTTCCAAAAAATGAAATTAATAAAATCCATTTTGAAAATTGACTTGAAAAGCTCATAATTGATCTTTAGTATCATATTCTTTTTTTTTTGTACAAACTAAAGCTAAAATAATATACATGTTGGGGATGTAAGGGTATTGTTTTGTATCAAAATGAATTGAACTTTAAAAAAAATCATCTTGAACAATTAATAGAATTTTTTTAACATACTTAATTTTTATCAATACTTGTCATTGCTGACAATTTTTAATTCAACATTTATCACATTGGTCTTTATAAAATATCTCGCTTAAAGTGTGCATTTCCCAAGAACCATTTTTATCTTATTTCTTATAATCCAATGAAAATTGTACTGTCAACTTTTTCACTTTTTTCTTAATAATTAAAGTTGTAATAGAAATAAGATAAGCTCCTTAACAGAAAATCATCGGACAGTGTGATGCAATTTCTCTTAAGAGAGGTCATATTTTTTTTTTAAATTTTATTATCAGGCATGATTTCATTTTCTCAATTCTTGGGACTATACTTTTGTCACAGGTAAAATAGACTCTTGCATTCATTTCACTATCTTTTTATCTAAAATGACAATTGTAAATTTGATTGCATTTGGTTAAAAAAAAGTTTACATACACATATATATATTTTTAGTGAACGTTTATCATTTTACACTCTTACCTAATATGCAGTAGTAGGTTGACAATTTCAGTCTTCATGGGTATGAAACAGTTAACTTAAACAGATTAGTTAAATATTAGTGTAAGGATGTGTGGTGATTAGTGACCGTTAATCGATAATTATTCAGAAATTGTGAGGTGCGGTCTGGTGTATAAAGAAAAACATTTTCTTTATTATGCCAACGTTTCGATCTTTATTGAGATCATCTTCAGGGCTCAAAATGTTTGTCTTCTGTGTAATTGTGCCATTCTTGCGTGTCGTGTTGAGAGTGCTCCAGTTGGCACGATAAAGAAAATGTTTTTCTGAAACTTACATCACACCAGACCGCAACTCACGATTTCTGAATAATTATTAGTGTAAGGGATCTACCAATTTCTGTTCAGGGTTCCATCACTGTTTGTAGTTTGTTCTTGGTGCTCCCTCCCCACAAATAAGTTATGATAAAAAAATTTTACTCAGAAACCTAAAAATAAAAACCGCAAAACACAATAATAATAATTTTGGTCTTCTTACAAATTTCTGAATGTTTTGAATCTCCTGAGTCCAAGGTGCAAGAATTAAGCTTGTGACAAACCCCAATATAAATAAGAAAAACATTTTTTAAAAAATTAAGAAAAGATGGGAAACAAATTAACAGTTATACAGTACAACAAACAGAAAACAGTTATGGCATAAATTTAAGAGAGGTAAAAGAAAAATTTATTGTAATTAGAAAAAAAACTTTTTTTTATTACAAACATAATCAATAAACATATATTTTTTTAACTTATTTAAATTTTGTTAGACCACACAGAGCATCTTATGTTTCTGGCTTCTTCCTGAGTATGACAAAGCCCTCCATGACTGGGGTTAGAGGCTGGTAATCTTCTGTAGCCAGTTCAGCTCGTTCCCCGACCGCTAGAAGCACCGGTGTCGTGTGGGTGTGTACACCAGCGATTGTCTTGGGAGTACCCGCTTTTCCAATGACATCAACCGCCTATGAAATACCGAATTGTATCTGTGTATTGCTGTTATTTATTTTTTATTTAATTCATACCTGGCCAACCCTGACGGAGACTGGGAGTGGTTCGAGTTGTTCGTCAAGAGTGACCAACCACCTTGGGTACATAGCAGTGGCGAGGGTATAAAGTAAGTAGTGAGACTTGCCCAACATAACTGGAACCATTAACCGGTACAATAAAATAATCTTATTTTATGAAAAATCAATGTGACAAACTTACTCGTTTTTGTGTCGAGGAATGAAACAAGGGTAATAAGTAGTCCAGCGACTGCAGAGTAATTCATGACTTGCCTGTCTGTGTGGAAAGGTGAGAGTGAAAGAGTACCTTTGCCAAGATGTGTCAAACCTTGGGCGATTCTCACCATAAAAAGGTGGCCTGTGTTTTTAGCGTGGTATTGTGCAAGCTGTCTCAACATCGTGGCCAACCTGTTTGAGAGAAAAATTCACATTTAATTTACAAAAATTTCGCTCACAAAGTTGCTAAATTTCGTACCTTGCGTTGTTTGTGCCAGCTCCGACCAAACCCATTGAAAATATAGCATTGTGTGCTACTTCCTCATCCAAATCGTGTGAATATTTGTTTAAGACATCAATTACAGCAAGCTATAAAAAATAATAAATAAATATAATGTCTACTAAAGATTGTATTTTGATTTTTCTACATAACTACAGTATAAATCATTTATAACGAACTTTACCATAAAATTTTGAACATTACAATCAGTATTCTCTATAAGCAATATATCATTTATAGTGAACAGTTCGTTATATCTGAACATTTCATCCAAGTGATAGCCATGTACGTTTATAGCAGAGCAGTTTTCATTAGATAAGTAATTATATCATTTATCTAGGTTTATGAGGAGGTACAAAGTACATTCTAACGTGCTAAAGTAATTTATTTACACAAATGTTTTTAAAACATTAAAACATATATGTACAAATGTGATCACTGCAGTATCATTGTAGTATGTAATTAATTGAATGTAAATATTTTTTTTACTGTATTTTTTAAATGTATGGCACTTATTAAATTGTTTGATTATTTTATTTTTATTTTTCACAATTCCTGAAGTTTTGGAAGGAGACGTCCCCATTTCATTTGCAAGACTGCTCGCACAACTTCCTGATTTGATCCAAGAATTTAGCATGAATTTTTCCTCAACCGAACAGACAAAGGTTTTGGTATTTATTATTGCTTTATTTATTTTGAGTTAGAGATTTTTTAAAGACATTTAGAGTTAAAAAAGGGGAGAAAATACCTGTCATAGATCTTATTTTTTTAGCTCTAAATAGATTTGCTCTCAAATTTTAAAATTTACAGGAAAGTTGTTAAATTAAACATTTTTTAAAGGCACTATTATCAATTTATAATATATTTTATTATCTGCTTAAGCCAACATCTCATGATTAACCTTTTCAGGACTTTTTCTTCTTTGTATACCCTATCTGTTCTTCGGTGTATGTGAAGTAGTAGTGGCAACAAGATGCAACCCTGTCTCACTCATATCTTGATTTCAATGTCACCCAACTTCTATCCTAACATTTTGGTACAAATAAAAGTTCGCAATAATGTGGATATATTTATCGTCATGGGGTAGTTCACATTTTTGGGACTAGTTATCACGTCCTAATGGTTTTTTGCCTTTAAGGAATAACCCTAGCTAGTCACTACGACATCTATTGGGCTGAGATTGTTACAAAGTGTAGCAGACACTTCAGTAGGGAATGGAGACCTCCAACCCTTCCTTTCCCATCCTGATCATCTTTTCTCCCCTTCAGTCCACAATTGTCTCTCAAATTTTTTTGCAAAATTGCAACATTCTTTCCTGGTAAACCATTCAGCCACAATATCAACTACTCATTGGAAATTTCTACCTTCCCTACCATCTACACCCATCTTTCTGAATTTTACCTCTTGTCTGACAAGTGATCTGTTTTAGATGTACATTGCTTATTTTTGCTCCTTGCATTTACTTACCTCCATTGTAAAGTATAATGTCTAACGAATGTATTGTCAGATTTTGAATGGAATTGATGCAACATAAAAGGAGTAAGAGCGATTCAAAACGAATACTTTGAATTTTGATACATATTAAAAAATAAATCAGGCTGGGGGGAGGGTCATGTAGCAGCCGAGGCTGTGGGCTATGTGCAGAGGACACATTTTAGCATCCGAAATTCAGCCCCAAAAAGCACAGTGATGTAGAAATTAGAAAAAAAATTAGGATTACATTAAGCAAGTATTAATTAACGAACTAACGAATTAACAAACCTGAGGGTTTGAGATTGAAGATAGAGCAATGGCTAGAGGAACAGCTCTCCTGACAGCAGGTTCACCATAACGACCCTAAAGATAAATAAATCATAATAATTAACTTTGCATTATATTTAATATAATTAAAAGTTTAAACTTACAAGTTGAGCGAATATTCTAGTTGCCATTTCTGACCCAGTCTCTTCTCCCATAGCAATAACCGCAACTGATAAGGCAGCTACAGCTTGCATGCAAGTCATATCCTTAACCTTGCTTTTTCCATCATCTTTATCCTTATTATCTTTATCTTTCTTGCTTTCGCTTTCCTTCTTTTCCTCCTGAAAATTTAAAGCAATAATTTAATTTTTTTTAAACGGTGTTTTAAAGATTGCATTTACCGGTGTTGGGAAATGTTCACTGCAGACTTGAAGCTGTTCCTGTATGATGAGAACGTCACCAGTTCCAGCGTAAACACACATTTTCAGCATGTGCTGAGATAGGGACCTTAGAGGTTCCGGGAGTGCGTCTAAAGCGGCCTTCGTCGCTTCGGTGCCCTCCTTTTGGCCCAAATAGCACAGGCCCAAGGCCAGCGGGAGGAACTTCGAGTAGTGGCCATCGGTCAGCTCAGCAACAGGCAGGTCCAAAAGGGTCTGAAGGATGGTCGAGACGACATCGGGATGTGGGGTGCCCAGTGTAACAAGAGCGCAGGCCAGGGCGGCCATTGCTACTACTTCTGGGGTAGATTTCGGATCAGAGAGTACAGGCAGAAGAAGGGTGATTGCATCCTGTCGCTTTGTTCCAACATATGCAAGACCCAGTCCTGAAGCATAAAATAATTCATGAATGCATTTTTTCTATTAAAAAATTAAATAAATTAAAATTACCAAGAACGGCACCAATTCGAAGAATAACACTTTCATGAAGTACATAATCAGATAGCAAAGCCAAGGCAGGATCACAGTCATTCCTCACACCACAGTTAACAATTCCAAGTGCTAAAAGTGCTCCACTCTAAAAAATAGTAAAAAAAATTTTTCTTGAATTGCAATATAAATATTCAATAAATAAATAACATTGTCTAAACACAATCAATTTATATTCAAACATTGTAAATAATTACCTTAATGTAATCTTCTGAAGTATATAAATATTTATCGATGGGAGTTAAGCCACCGTCGACATCCCAAAGGTGAATAAGACCTAATGAAGCTGCTGCGCTTAACATTCCTAAATATAAAATTACAGTGAGACATTGTTTAAAAAAAAATTTTTTTTTTTTGCAAAGTACCATGCTGTTTGTTCTTATACATCCACTTATTTCCATCATCGGCAGAAACAAGTTTATCCCTTGAAAAACCAGCGTTTACGAATGCATTGACAAATGTCGAAGCAAGATTGTGTCTCGCTGAATCGACTGGAACGTCCAAGTTGTACGTGGGCCTTAGGACAAGTCCTTCTAGCCAAGTCTTGTAAACTTCTTCTGGCGTCTTCGGCTCCATTATGTCCAACTGGAAAACAAAAGTTTATTGGTGATAATTTCGTATGTCCTTCTTTAATTTTTCAACTTACCTCTCTGGCAAGGCTGTGGAAATGATCGTTGACGTGAGCATTTGACATAATGTTTGTAAGGTCGGATTTGTCGGGGAGGTCATTGCTCAACTCGAGACTTAATTGTTGTCTGCCCACCATGAAAGCAAGCTGTTTTCGAACAAGCCTATAAATAAAAAAATTTAAAAAATTCAATAGCTCTTAGTTGGAAAACTTAAATTAGAAAAAATACACTTACGGGTCTTCACATTTGTTAAATATTTCAATCATGAGGTCTGGTTTATTGAGTTGCATAGCAAGGCAAAGAGCACGTGGGTATTCTTTAAATCTTAAATAATGTTTCATAACTCCACTTACAATATTACCCCTCTCAGGCTCCTCAACATAAACCGCACAACTGAAAAAAAAATGTGCATAGATTAGCATAAAGACTTTCGAAAATGTTACATCTATTAAAACATACTTTACAAGATATAAACAGACTCGGGAATAGTTTCCAGCATCCATGTGTGCATCAAGCATGTCGAGGCGGTCTATCTCCATAAGAAGATCGCAAGCTTGGATTTCTGCATTGTGTTCCATATCGAATTTGATGATACTCTCGACCAGACCCAATAAACTTTTCTTGTCTTCAGTCGTCGACCATTCATCGGCAATTTCACCTTCTAATTGCCTATTGGAAAAATGAATGTAAAAAATTGTACAAAAGGCATATTGTTTAATATACCTACCGTACGTATTCGTGGCCCCAATCACCGACGTCTTTCTGCTTGGCCAATAAGCAGTACTTCAGACACTCTCGTGCACCAGGTAAGTCCTGTCCCATCGCAAGAACAGAGACTATGCTTGCACAAAGCTCTTTTGCCCTGGCGTCTTTCATGTTATTCTGGGCTTCTTTCAATGAGTTGTAATGAGCGCGGAGGAACTTCAGTGGCATTGGGACTGAAGTCATACTTGTTGTCGAACTACGGATAAGCTCTCGCATAGTTTCCAAAGCTTGGGAATGTAACATGACTTCAGGGCCCTTTTAAAATTAATAAAAAGTAAGTACACGGAAGAATCAAGTTAATAAAAGACAATATAATAATAATAAAAAAGAGGATATCAATAAATGAAGTTATCAAATACAATAGAACTGATTTCCTTTATGTTACTCATAAATAAAGACCAGATTCCCGTGCAACTGCATCTTCTTATTGCTCACTCCTATTTACAATGAAATCAAGAGAGAAATTTTAAACATGAAGAGGACATCTTTTGACACTATTCTTATTTTACACGAAATTGTACGTTTTTACGGTTTACTGCACAAAATTGCATTTTTTTTTAATTTATGTAAAAACCACATGAAAATACATAATTTTTATGGGTTTACATTTGTGGCTAACCACTTTTCAACCGGGTGTTAATATATTTTCCCTTTTTTTTTTCTATTTCGTGTAGGCAGCCGCCACTTTGTCAATATTCACACCTATTTTAATTCTTTGTTTTGTTGAAGCAGTTGTACATTGCAATGGCTCTTGTTCCAATTTGTACTCCTTTTACTGTAACTTTATAGTTCAATGTCAACTTTTTTTTTTTTAATGAGGGTACTTTAAATAACTACTAGGTTATTTATACCCTTGGGGGTACCAGTGTTTAAAAAAAAGCACATTTGTAAATATGTCGGGTTTGAATGGAGTGCCACTGGATGCCACTTTACCGTGATGAGTCCAACCTGTAGGATCTTTGTACCATCACATTTTAGAACTTTTTCTTGTTTCCCAGGATTCCCATCTTTGTGCATCGTTCTTCCTCTTTCTCTATTTCTATTGGCAGCTCGTTCACAAGGCTGTGTCTGATTTTACCTTTGTTGAAAAGTGAATAGCATATCGAGAAAGTGGATGAATTGGGAAAAAGGGTTATGCTTTTTGATCTTTGTAATATTTCTCTCTCGCTCTCGCTCTCTTTTCCACCATATTGACAATGTAAGTAAATTTTTGCAAAAGCCTCTCAACTTCATTACTGTGGGAACAATATCGAAAAGAAAAAAGAAAGATAAAATAGATAAGATCTAACACCCTCCAGTTAATCCACGTATCAAAGAACCGCCACATCGCTGAATGTTTCATCTAATTTTATCTAATTTGCTGCAATCTTTGTAATCTTAATTTTTCATCCTCTTGCCACAAAAGAAGATACAACTTAAAATGTATCCCTAATGAGTTAAAAGTTTGGTGGAATAAAACCCAGGCATGAGACATGCGAAGATATTCATAGAAGGGCCATCTGCCACACTTACAAAGGAATTACTGGATCGCAACCACAACCGAACCAGCATTCTGGTTGGACTCCTGACAGGACACTGCCACCTAAGAAGGTGCATGCACTGGAAAGGAGTACAGACAGAAGAATCACAGTGCTGATACTGCCAGAAAGAGGAGGGGACTGCAGAACACGTTTTTGTGAAGGTTTATGAAGGTGCAGGTTCTTGCAAATAGGAGAAGAAAAGCAACAAGCAAGAACCTACACTATGGAGCCTCTGGGCAAAGCTATGGAGGCTGATTAACAATTTGAAGCTGACCAGTGAGTTATAAAAACAGAGGAGCACAATAGATCTACACAAGTGAAGGTGCAGAAGGCCTTGTGGCCACCTCTTTTATCCCTATTCCTAACTTCATACTGAAGAAGGTGTGTCTATCATTATGAACACTAAATCTAACATTAATATGATAATTTGTAGTAGAACTAAGTGTCGACAAGTGTCAAACATCCTAAAAATCAAGTTGGTATTTTTACTCATTTTTAGCATGATACGAATCATGTTACGCAAAATCAAGCAATAATAAATAACGATTTTTTTTAAATAAATATACTCACTGTTATCTTCTCCACAAGAAGATTTAACTCTTCCTGAAGCCTCTTGTCTTCTTCAGACTGCACAGACAAAACAAAAATGATTGAAACATTACTAAAATAAACTTTTATCCCTTTTAACTATGTAAATCCTGAAAGTATTTATTAAGGGAAAAAATATATTCTCAGGTCCCTTGTGGTGTGCATTAAAAAAAAATAAAACTGTACCATCTCCTCGGGCTGAGGTTCAGGCGCCTTGGCTGCAACGGTCATCTTGAGCTAATCCTAGAAATCTTTCCGGTATTCAAAAAAAACCAATTCTTCCGAAGTTATACAAAGTTATACAAAACTTTCTGCAACCAAGATGACTGTGCTGTGCAGAAACGCCAAGCGAGAGGTTGCAACCTTTGGACAAAAGCTCTGGTGGTCTATCCACCAACTTGGACAATTGTGAAGAAACCGAATTGCACCTACTAGCATTCATTTGACATGAAATATTTAATTTTTTTTATTTAAACATATAAGGACATATATCTATTAACTAATGTATAAATAACTATTAAATGTAATCCACATAAAATAATAACATTGCAAAAATGTACTATTTAAAAAAAAATGAGATCGACATTTTATCGACCCAACAACCTCACCACATCACTAATTCAACTATTAACTATCAACTTTAACTACAATTACATTTAATTTTAAGGGGAGCAGGACGTCAGTCGTTTTACTCTATAAAACTACACATTTTCTTATATAAATATTTTGGGTTTTGTTCATATCAACATTTAAAATATACCCTACTGATTGGTGGTTTAGTGGACAAAGACGTTACAGCTAAGGATGGTCAAGATTGTCAGTACTGCTCAGACGTGTGAGGACACTGGGCAATGAGAACGACCCCCAAATCTGTCCTAGAAGTCTTTCTGAATCTACCATCACTTTATCCAGGGAGAGGCCAGAATCACAATTCATGGACTTATACAGAGACAAGCTCCAATAGCTTACCCACATTACAAGGCACAACAGGGTTCTGGGGGCATCTATTGATGCTATCACTCCTAAATTCAGATTTGACAAAAAATTTCAAATCAAAATACCTGGTAGAGTAGACTGATGAAAAGGATCCCAGTTAATGCAGACTATATCTGGCATACAGATCAAATATTAGCCAGGAGCTGGTACTTGGTATTTACGGAAATGTTAAACACTTTGAATTAACCAAGAATGTTATTTTAATAAACCTCATTAGACTACAATTAACGGCTGGAAAACTCCAAAAAATACATTATATTATAGCTAATTAAACCAGCTAAAAATAAAAACTTTAAGAACTCCTAGTTCTATTTCTGGGCTTACTTCCATGACCGATCACTAAATATTTTATAATAAAATAGTATTAGATGTTCAGTTTTGGAGAATGAAATAACTGAACATCAATTTATACTATTTTGAAGATTAATGGCATTTATTTTAGCAAATATTTTTGCATCGACAAATCAGTGTGTAGCCTGCAGGGTGAAGAACCTGAATTGGTCGTTATTGATCATCCTGGTGAGTCTATCCTCTTTGCGTTGGTCTTTCAGACATGTTTTGGCGTATTGCCATCTTCAGTGCCGAGTGTTTTTAAACCTACACACTCTGCAACATTAAAATGTCCAATTAATCTCGAAATCGATGTATTTACCTCTGCATACAGAATATTTTCTTTGTGCCTGAATCCTTGCATAATATGCAAATTCAAACCTTTACTTACTTCTTAGAAAAGGAAGGAAAACATGCAACAGTGATGACCTCAGCTGTCTGTCACCCATAAACTCCCTATTTTATATATNTATATATATTTCATTAGCGTCAAAAAACAAAGGCAAAAAAATGTTTATGATAGATCATTTTTATAAAAAATTGTGTTAAATGTAAAACAAAATTTATTTCCTCATATTATAAACATAGTTATTTTATTAAATTAAATTACAAAACTGTAAACTTTGGAATTCCCTCACACACAAAAATATATCCATATAAAGCATACACATAACAATTTTAATTGTACATATACTTGTATAAACTATTGACATGAGATCATCATAACAGGTTTGAATTAACTATTATAAAGTTGTTAAAATCTATTAACAGTATGGTACAATAAAGTTATTAAAATAAATAAAAATAATACTTTCACAAACATGCTTTCCTGTCTTGGGAAAAGGGATTGGAAAAAGAAGTAAAAAAACATATAACTTGAGTTAAAATAAAATGAAACTCCCTCTTGCATGAATAAATTAAATGGTAACTGAATTAGATCACTCAATAACCAAGTAGGTACTTAAAACTAAATGTAAGAAATCCACAGACAAGGATTTCTTCAATAAATTAAGTACTTTATGGAAGTCTTTACTAGTCAGCAGTCTTTACTAGCCTCATCTCCACTTTCTTACAGCGAGGTATAATAAAAAATATCTTATGCTTTTTAAGCATGTAAAATGTAGAAAATTTAAATTTATACATGTTCAATAAAAATATTTATTAAAAAAGTATAAATTAAATTAATTTAAATTGATCACAATTTTTTTTAATACATCTCAGTTATCTAAATTATCAAAACTCAAAACATTTAATAACAGTAACAATTATCAAAACTAAATTTGTTATACCGGTGTATTAACTTTAAAATATTATTTTAGTTATTTACAAATGCTCATTTTTTACATAAAATCAATTTCACACAGAACTTTCTTACAATAACAATTGTTACAATAAAAATTAAGAAAATAGTGGCTGAGGCATATTTAAATTTGTTACATCTGTACATTAATTTTTACAATTACTATTTTTAATTTACAAGTGTTCATTTTGAACTTAAAGATGATTACACACAGAACTTTCTCACTCTATATCATCTTACCAAAAAACCTTTAAATTTTCCAATGGCGGGCCCCCTATGAATTATTGCTGTTGAGAGCAATCCTACGCAATAACCTCAATGTTCTTAGCACTTTAATAATTTGTACTTTGTTATCTTTACAATTGTTTCTATTTTTGTTTTTTATATTATTTATATTGTTCAAAGACTTTAGAACAGTTCTGGACAAACCACCGTTTTTTAGTTCATTTTTTGCCTTGAGGATACTCAAAAAACCAGCTGGAATGTCTTTATTATTTAATACATTTTTAATTTCCTTTTCGGTCAGTTTTGAAATATTGACTTTTTTTAATGGTGCATTTATAAATTCTGCTTCTTTCTTTTTTGGCATATCAAGGGATGTCTTTTGTAATGGTACAGTGCCTTTTAATTTGCTACTATTTTTAGCTTTTAATTCTAGTCTTTTTGCAGATCGTGTTATTCGTATATCTTGTAATTTTGTAGAGCTTTTGACTTGCAATTTGTCTATTTTTGTATGACTGGTTTTGTTTTTAGATTTTTCAGCTTCTGAATCCTGTTTTTCCTTTATTGAGCAGGCTGTTCGAAATCCATTAGTATTTTTTCTTGAACAAGAACTTTTTGGCGTACTTTTTTCCTTTCTCAATTTAACATTTAAATTTGTATTAGTTTTAGTAGTGAGCATTTGTAATTTCTTAATTTCCCTGAATCTATTTGATGTTTTAAGTTTATTTTTATACACATTGTTTTCTGAGATCTTCATTTTTGTACTCCTTTTATCACAGGTTTGTTTTCTTTTTATAGCATTGCAATCTTGTGAATGGTTTCTTTTTGCTTGTCTAGTTGTAACCATGGATGGAGGTTCTTTCGATTTTGAGCATAGTTTTATGTTTGCACCACTTGAACAAGCAAGTTCTGTCAACGGGATTCTTGTCAGTCTAACAATAGCACGCCTGTTGATGGCATGCTGAATCAATCGTCGCAACCTATCTTTCTCTTCAAACGCCTTATTTTTTGAATAATTTTTGTGCTGTCCTTCTGAGTATATTTTTAATGTGTTGAAATCTTGTTGGTTTTGTTTAGACTTCAATTTTGTCAAAGAGATTTGCATAGGTTTCAAATCAGATTTATTTACAGGTTTTCTTTCTGTCGAATCTCTAGATATATTTTCCAAACGGTTCATGAGATTTGTTGAACTTCTTAGACTAAGAATGGATTTATTCATCAAATTGCTATCTTTCAACTTCTTCCTGATAGATGCATGTCCAATTTGTTTCAAAAGGCTTGTACTTTTTACACTTTCTTTTTTCTTATTTTTGCCAATTGATTCTTTTACAACAAACTTCGCCCTGACAAGCTTCGTTGTTGGAATGGTTTTGTTAGCCAATAGTTGTGTTTTTAATATATTATCAGTTTTAAATAAATTGTTTGCTTTGGTATTTTTGATCTTCAATTTTTCTTTGTTTTTAATATTACACATGAAACAATCTTTTGTTAATCTTTTGGCTTGGTCTAATTTCTTTTGCTGTAAACTATTATCTTCATTTCTGTAAACAGTGAACTTATTTTGTTTTGATAAATTATCAACACTTCTGTTTTTCTTCTTAATAATCTTTTTAACATCCTCATTATTTTCATCTTTCAATCTTGTTTTTCTTATCTTAGTTGGTACTACAGGTTTCTGTTTTCCTTTTTCTAAAACTTTGTCTTTGGTTACATTATTGACTTCACAGTTATTTTTAGATGTTTTCAAAATTTTATTTACATCATCTTTTTGCATTCTCTGTTGGTTTGAATTGATATTTTGTTGGTTCTCTTGATTTTCTATGTTTTCAATTTGCAAGCCCTTGCTATCACTCGATGTTTCTGGTGTCGCTTTAGATACAGTTTTCGCTTGGGAGGAATCCTCCATTTTGTCCTGGTTAGATTTATTCAACAAATTAACCTCTTTGGATTGCGATTTGACTTTTAATCGTGAAATCTTGTGAAATTTAAAGTCTCCAACTTTGGGGCGTTTTGAAGATTGGTTGAGTGTTTTAAGTAAACAGTTTAAGGCTATGTTGCTCGACGTGCTCCTGCTGAATTTGCTTTTTGCACTTATCGATTCGGGAGAGGTCCAGGAAGACAGTGACTGCAAGATTCCGTTTGAAGCGTAACTGAAAAAAGCCTTATTTCCTTTTGATGTAGAGTTAAAAGATAGAGGTAATAGCATTTTTCTCGTGGGGTTTGAATCCACCATAGAACTAGATGTACCTCGAGGACTCCCCATGGAAGACATCGGTGATAACGACATCACGGTATACAAGTTATCCTTTTCATCTGGAAATTTCTCGATATGCCTGAAATTTAAAACATAAACTTAATTAAAAATAAATGATTTGCTTGGGCATGTTAGACTTCTCCCCCTAGCTATCCTCATAGCCAAATGAGAGCTATGTGCCAGTAGTGTTTAGTTGAACTTGGTAGCAAAACATTTGAAAGCAAGCTAACATTATATATTTTTTACAGTCCATCAAAAAGCAGCTAGGAACATTTAAACAAAATCCTTTTTAACATTTTATAAAAATTTTACATTTAAAAAAAATGTTTTGTCAGATTGATTGTCTCTAATCATAGCTTGTTTACCCAGCACACAGTACCATTTTAGCATTTTTCCAACCCTTAGAATGTATTCTAAGTCTAAAAACAGACATTATGATAAGTTTGACAGCAAAACTTATAAAGTTTAGGATTTAAATTATTCATCAATCAAGTTTATTGCAAAATTTTAACATTACGATCCACAGGGCAAAGAACTGTTTATTTATAGAGTTAATCCCAATCTGGTCATTATTATGAAAACAGAAGTGTGGCCGAACCTTATCAAGGCACTGCATCACAGAATCCACGAAAAAAGCAGTTTATTGATTTTTAAGACTTCCTATCTTGTAAATGATAAAGAATATTATTGGAAGATATGTTAAATCGTAAGAATGGAGAGAAAAAAAAGCAATGAGGGTCACATGACAATTTTTGTAAGTATTCATTAATTTGTCTATTGTTTTTTTTAATGTGATAATTAGCCTTAACTGGCCCTTGTGATATACCTACAAAAATTGTTAGCCCTAATTTGTTTTTTTGTTTTTTTTAAATCTCATTGTTGGATAGTCATCTAAGGAGATGAAGCATATCTATTTTTGTAACTTTTGCGTAAGTCTTAATTTATTTAATTATTCATATGTCTAGATTTTCATAGTAACTGTTTTTCTCTCTCTCCTCTCTCTCGTTTTTAGAGATAGAAAACATTCTAAGGATTAGAAAAATGCTAAAATGGTATGTGTAATTAGGTAAACAAGCGATGATTAAGGCAATCAAACTGATAAAACATTTGTTAAAAATTTAAAACATTTTTAAAATCCGAGGGGATCGAAGTTACAATAGTTCAAGTGGTTAGACCGCGGTGTATTGAGCCAAAGGTTATGGGTTCGAATCCCGCTCGTGACACTAATTTTTCATCTCCATCCAAAACCTTAGACAAAAATATTAATTCACATAAGTAATATGGTCGATTATGACCACTAAACAAATATGATTAATTTAATAATTAAAAGAAGTAATTACTTCACTAAAAGCTCTCTGTGGCCACATCATAAGTTGCTGAGAATCGAAACCTGATTACATGACATTTGGAAGTATGGCAAAAAAAGGAAAAATTTGAACAGTTATAGGTTGAGATGGAGAGTTGGTGTCTGAGGGGATTGAAGTCACGATGGCTCAAGTGGATAAAACAGTGGCGCATTGAGCTGAAGGTCGTTGGTTCAAATCCCACTCGAAACACTAATTTTCTTCTCAATCAAAAACCTTAGATAAAAAGATTAATAAATTGGCATTTATAAAATGTTAAGAAGGATTTTGTTTAATTATTCCTAGCTGCTTATTGATGGATTATAAAAAATATATAATGTTAGAATTGAGTTTCACCTTGACCTGGACCTGTTTAGTGGACAGAATACAACGACCTTATGCTGTACTGTCAATCATTATGTGCACGATTTGGTCTGCAGTTTGATAGTTTTAATTGGTTTAATTTTATAATATGCAATATTTACAATAAATATCAAGTTTACCTAAAATCTCTTATCCTGTAATAGATGACATCTAGAAAATATTCCGGGCTGTCTTCTACGTCTTTGTAGTACAAGTAGTCGGTAAGATTCAATAGTTCATTTTTGCTAATGCAGTCATTTATGTACTGGTGTTTGAAGGCTATCCTGTTGAAGTCGTTCCTGTTCTCGTATGTCTGCTGATCGACGAGTAGGACAGTTTTGGGCTGCATCTGACAATATTCCTGTTCGACGCGTCCGCCGCTGTTCCATATCACCTCCGCAAGCGCGTTCTTCTCCTCTTCTTCAGTGAGGATCAAATGGAAAGAAATGGCAAAGCCCTCGTCAGAAAGGAACAAAGCCGGGTTCACCGGCTCCTCTGCGTTCTGGTCCATCCCGTTTCACGTTTCGACCGACTACATTTGTCAAGACGTATGGTTAAACGGAACGAGCTGAATTCAGAAGTACGAACAACGTGGACGAAAATAAACAAACCGTTTACCCTACAAATAAAAATTAGGAGGGCATCATCAACATTTACCTCAGAACCTAGCAAATGCTATTATTGCAGTACATAGTGCTTCCAGCGGAACTGCTTGTAATCAAAGAATTGGTGGGGTACTAAGCAGTCTGTGGTCTTGATCAGCTCATGCTATTGTTGTGCATAATGTTCATGATGATGCCTGTTGACAACTACAGTTGATGCAAACTGATCAATATTACAAAATCATAATTAAAAAAACAATTTGTCAGCTCGATCACCTAGCGTATGTTATCGCTGTGTTACTCCTACACGAGGGAAGACTTCTTTCATTTTTTGACTGATTGTCCCATTCTCACAGAGTTTCGAGTTCTCTTTTTAGGAGAGTTTTGAGATTGCGTCTGATTGCAAAACTTAATTCCCTGGATTGCTCTAGCGTATCACAGAGAGCTCATGGAGAAGTTTAATTTTTAATTTTATGTTGAGAAGCACTAACAATTTTAATCTAATTTAATTTTGGTTGGGCACTAAACCCCCTAACCAGTCTGTGGTCTTGAACAGTTTGTGCTCAAATAAAAAATGCATATTGCTCATAACAATGCTTGTAACTATAGAAGGTGAAAACTGATCAATATCCACTGGAAATGTTACAAAATCATTAGAAAAATCAACTTGGTACGGTTGATCATCTAGCCCAAATTGCTTGCAAAGTTCCCATGGTGAACTTGCTTGTGACTACAGTTGGTTGGGCACTAAACCCACTAACCAGTCTGTGGTCTTGAACAGCTCATGCTCAAATAAAAAATGCATAATGCTCATAACAATTCTTGTAACTACAGAAGGTGCAAACTGATCAAAGCCACTGGAAATGTTACAAAATCATTAGAAAAATTAACCTGGTTCGGTTGATCATCTAGCCCAAATTGCTGTGCATAGTTCTCATGGTGGATCTGCTAATAAGTACACAATTGTTGCAAACTGTTCACATTTTAATTTTACTTATTTTCATTGATTATAACTATTATACCCATGTTTGCAACTGTTAAAAAGAAAAGCAAGAAATGATGGATCTGCTTGTAACTCTCAGTTGGTAGGGTACTAACAAGTCTGTGGCCTAGATCAGCTTATGCTAAAATTCAAATTGCGTAAAACTTATATATGTAATTACAGTTGGTGCAAATTTCCACTAGAAAAGCTACTAATCATTAAAAAAAAAAAATTGGTTCAGCTTGATCATTTAGCTCAAAATTGCTGTGCATAGTTCTCATGGTTGATCTGCTAATAAGTACATGGTAGACACAAATTGATTGCTTTACAAAGGTTGATTATTATAGTACATTATTACTATTAAAAATATCACCTAGAAACTGTTTAGATTGCTGTACGTAGTTTTCATGATCCAGTGTTTCGCAGGGAGTTCTTTTGTTGACAGTGACACTTCGAGGAGACAACGAACGTGAAAATCTTTAGATGTTATGTGTTTGTGTCTTGTTCTTTTACTAGTGATTTGACAACCTGAGGTAACAAAGAAATGATAGCAAGTTAAGAAAATAGAAGAAAAAATATGAATCAGTAAAAAAGATGTGGAAAAAAAAGCAGAATTTTCCATTTTATGCATAGAATACTGGTGATGACCAGTAGATGTTTGTTACCCTGTAACTAATATGTATGTACTACTACTGCCATAGGTCGTATTTTGCTTCAATTTAGTAGTAATTCAATATGCTGAAAATAAAATATATAACGCACCAAGTGTGAATGCTGAAGAAACCTAATTAATAAAAAATTGTCTCTAGTTAGAAGTAGTTTAAGTAAAAAATTTGGCAAATAATGTTGTCACCTTTGCTCAAGCTTATAACTCTCCATACAGTAGTTCTAATGATCAGGATGCCTGATTTTGTTTGTATATTTTTTCAAGAATCTATTTTACATCAGAAAATAATAACTGATCAATATGTTTATGACTTTATTTAAATGAATTAGTGCCCTATAAACAAAACTCCTGATGTTTAATCTGAGCGCATGACAGTACATTGACCCAGTTCCAGCAAGCTGTCGTGTGAATCTTTACTCGAACCAATTCACCCAGTTTTTCTCACCCTCATAGCTCTGCTTCCTCTTAAGTGGACTTTTGAACTTTGAAATATAAATTAAGCTTAGGTCGCTTAGGAAATTGTAAAAATTTGAGCACTCAATATTAAGCCTTTTCAAAAAGGGAGAATTTTAAAATTTGTATTTTTGTTACTGACTGACTCCCTGATAATCAAAATTCAAAGGAATCCCTGATTACCTGGAAATGTGAAATTCAATAGAAAGATATACAGCAAGTAAAGGAAAAAGTCAGAAAATTGCAATTTTCTCAAAATTAGTGCTGCTTTAGGGGTGGAGGGTGTAATTGCATCATCAAAATTATAAGGCCCTGCCCGTTCAGGTGAGAAACATGAAATTTGATACAAAGATAGGTCTTATATTGTAAAAAAGATAAAAATCTGAAAATGCCAAGTTGGATGTAATTAGAGAAAAATATGTTGTGTTAAATATAGGTTTAACTGAAATATAACAAAACAACTTTAATTTATTAAATTTAACAAACATCAATTAATCTGATGTCAATCTTATTTGACAAACACCAAGCTCTTGGCCAATTTTTATGTGGCACCATAAGCCTTAATTAGGCACATTTAAGGGCTCTGTTTCAAACAAGAACCATGATGACAAAATTGAAATAACACATTTATTAAAGATTTTATCACAGAAAACTATTTACACTTATACAACTGCCCATATTTATTAATAGCCAGCGTTTAGGCTTTAATATTTTTTTAAACAATATTTTATTCATTTTTCCATACAAAAATTTAACAATTTTCAGTTAGAAACTTGTAAAAATTTACATCAACCCAATCATGATGAACTTTTTATTTATTGCTGGAATTTAACGTTTCTTAGTTGCAATGTCCATTTTTTAATGGTAAAATTAATAACTTATCAATCAACATCATTAGGTGTATGATGTATTTTAAAAATACTTTCTAAAAGTAAATTTATTGCTTATTGAAAAAATATAATTTAAAAAATTAAAATAACATAATATACCTTTTGGTATTTTCTTCCTTAAAAAACTGAAGAGTGTTGAAATATTGCATTAATTTAAAATGAAAGTGGTCAATCGGTACTTTCGGTTGCTTGAACAATTTCATAAGAGTGGAAAAAATATGTTAATTTTGCCTTAATTGCATCCCACGATGAGATTTCCTCTTGAGGTCTGTCGAGCAAGCAAAAAATATTTTCTTTGTAAAATGCTTTCACAGGTTGTCTTGATCGGTTTCTATGGTCATCTGTTTATAAAATTGTAAAGGCTAATTAGGAGCCTAACATGAATTGTCGCTTTGTAAGTAGTTGATAAAATAAAGGCAATCCAGTACAAAAACAAACAAAACGTTGTGTACGATGGATTTCAGGTTGTTTAAGACATAAATGTTTGAAATATTTTTGTTGCAATATTTCAAGTCCTCTAGAATTAATGAAAAATAAAACAACATTCTTTTTTAATGTTTGCATGATAATCCAGTCTTATTAAACATTTATCGCAGTTGTACTTATTTAATAAACGGTTAAGAGAAAAAAAATACGAGCTTTGACAGATAATTTTTTAATCTGTGACTAGAGAAGAAAAAGAAGAAAAAAATAATAATAAAAAAGAACTTTCATAGAAAATTCCTGACTGTTAAAAAAATAAAATAAAATCATAAAATAAAAATTTTTTACAACTCATCATTTTTCCTTGTCATCAGTTGACTAAGTTTGATGAACAGTGCATGGATCCACATGTAGTCTTGATCCTCCTGGCCTATAAGGTTTTTCAACTTTTCCGCCATGCTAACTAAAAATGGCCCATGCTGATAGAATGTCGGGGCACACGGCTTAGCGATATTTATCATACTGGTGGCCACCAGCTCAACAAGCTCAAAGTCATCTGGGTGGCGTAACAGCACATTTATCAGCGCTTCGCACCAGCCTTCCTCTATCAGGCGTTCTTTGAGCCGCAGTGATTTCTGCTGTCGCTCAAGCTCTTTGGCCTGAGCCTGCTCGAAGCTCGACTTCTGTGACATGTCTTCTTTCTGAGACTCGGAGTGTTGAATTTCAACTATGAGGTCGTTTATAAGATTCAGTGCTTTGACCTGAAACAGAGTAAAGAAACGGAATAGCTAAAATGTGGAAATAATTTTGTATTAATATTATTTAAAATCTGTAGTATGGTCGTTGCAGAACATTTTGGCTTGCAAGACACATTTCAACTTCTCGCCATCTTCAGTGTGATCTGTGTGGTTTCTGTTAAATCAAGTCCTTTTTTATAAATTCACGTAAGGTGGGTGACTTAAGTGTTACCTTCGTCTGTCGGTGTCTTTAAAGCAATTTGGATCACAAGGCAAAATCAATTTGACAAAAAGACTATGGTCTTGATTTTCTTAAATTTTGAAGGGGTTATCCACTGTTTGTATCAGTTGGAGGCTCTATTTCCAACTTTTTTATGAAGTTATAATAAGAAGAAAGAGATTTTCCAGATGAGCACGTCTTCATACAAACAAAAAACAAAGTGGAAAGAATCAACTTCTACCTACTACACCTGACCTTGCTCCTTCAACCCACTACCTCTTTGGGGCAATTGCTCTCTTTCTCAAGTAAACAATTTTTCATCCGAGCAGCTATCATCTAGATAAGAATTTTATTTATAACAAAAAATATTGGAAATGTAAAATAAATTTAGTTTTGATTCTGGAAACTATTTTTTTTACTACTAATATAATATAGCAAAATTTCTCTACATTTTGTGTATAAGTAAAAGTAGATAAACTTAATAAGAATTTCACGTTTAATAAATTTTACCTGAATTTTAAGCTGATCACTTGTATCAGAGTCAAACTGCTTGACTAAAGCCTTCAAGCCCCCGTTGTCTAAAAACTGCCCCTGTGCCAATGGAAACCATCTGATGAGGCAAGAGAGACCATAAAGGGCTCCTGATTTAACCTTTGATCAAGATAAAATTTAATATATAGACTGTTTTTTGCCTTAAAAAATAAAACAGCATACTTTAGGGTGAGAATCTAACACTAAAGTCCTTAATAGCACGGGTATCGCTCCATTTTCCAGCGCACCTATTTGTACTTTAGGATTGCTTTGGACAGCAGAGCCGAAAAGCTTTGCTGCTTCATATCTGACTCGCCATGATGTCGAATTGAGAGAAGTAAAAACGACCTCCTTGATCCTAAAATTATCAGGATTTAGAGGACAAACTCACATTGAATGCCTTGCATACTAACCCGTTGGATTTCATAAAATAATTAGCATTGTCCGTCTGATGCAAAAGATACTCGAGATGGCTTAACAGGCCTTCTTCGTGTTCGAGTTCCTTCTTGTCGACATGTCCTTCATGCCTGCGCCCAGTCAAATCCTTGTATTCTTCAATCAATTGGCCTATCACTTCTATTTCTGTTTTCATGTCCATGTTGACATCACCGAGTTCTTTTTTTAACTCAAAGTAAGATCGGAACTTTTTCTTCACCCTGTCTATATCCTGTGTATACATAAAACCAACAATTAATAAACAGACATAACAATTTCTGATATAAATTTGAACAATACTTTACCTCTTGGTTGTCCGGCAAAGGCGGGATATTCTTTTCTTCCATCTTGTACAAAACGTCTTTCAAATCCTCCCAGGAGAGATTGATATTGTCTGGTTGGCTGACATGTGACAGACCTTTGTTTTTGTCCACTTGCTCATTCGGGTCGATGAGTTTCGCCTCTCTCTCACCCGTGTTGAGATTCATGCGGACATGTAAGCCTCTCGGAATAGCTTGATCTGAAAAGAGGCAAAAACAATTAAATAACAGCAACTACATTGGCGATCAGTATGGGAATTGCATAAACTAAGCATATTGTTAAATTACATTTATCAACCACCACTGTTTTTATGCACATAATTTAAATTTTAATGTAATAAATAAAATTCCTCGATGCTCTAGTCAATGAGTCCAATGAAACTACCCATACAGGCCTAAATATGTTTGCCTTTTGTTCAAAATTTAATCCGCTAACATTACCAGTTCCATAAAACCATCCAAACACCATAAATTGTCCAATCCAAAAATTTTCTTCCCGATAAATTCCCTCAAACCCTCTTTGCAGACTAAAGAGGTGATGGACTGCAGGATCTCCCATCCATTGACAGTGATAGTGACATTAGTCCTAATTAAATGGACATCGTTGTAGTACATTGCTGATGAGTAATTTCTCCACTCGTGTGTCAGAATGTGTCCAATATATCGTTTATTATTCTGTACATATATTTCTTTCTCAATGATACTTGTTACTAATTGAAGCTAGTTATATTGCACTTAAATACAAAATAAAAATAAATAAATATTTTCTCCAGACACTTTATTAAAGAAAATGCAATAAAACTACCTATTTCCAGTTTATTAGAGTATTATAACTGTAGATCGGAGGAAACTGTAGAACTTATCAATAGGATCTCTTCCAGGTTTGAGAACAAGGTAACCCCTTATTTGGATACCAGCACATAAAGGATACCATGGCAATGCAAAGGCGGATGGCCTGGCCAAAGAAGGTTCTAATACTGCGTTTGTGAGGCCACAACAGGTATAACCTCACTCTATGAGCACAGCGAAAGAGAGTATTAATAACTGGGGCATAAAACAATTCCTCACGGAGTGGAATTTATCCCCTGGACACAGGTAATCGAAAGAGTTTGTTAAGGCAATCAAACCAGCAGAATCGAAATGGCTATTCTCTATCTCAAGGAGGGGAATTAGGAGACTGATAGATATCCTAACAGGCCACTGCCCACTGAGAAGACACCTCTTCGTAATGGGTATTCTACCAGATCCCTTTTGCTGTTTTTGCGAAATAAAAGAAGAAACGGCAAGGCACTACCTCGCAGAGTGTGACAGGTATGCTAGGTCTAGATTTGAAATCTTTGAAGTAGAGGACATCACCAAATCACTCCCCAAGATTAAATGGTCCAAAATCTTGGGGTTTGTGAACAGGTTCAAGAGATTTATGCAGGACATGTGAGCCGACCAAGTCCTGGATCTTTTAGGGATGGGGTACGAGGCATTTAACCCCTCGAGTCTTGGTCACCCACCCTGCATAATATATACATATAGAGTATTATAATTTAAGTTTATAGTTCTCACATAATTTTTATTCAAATAAATGAAACTGTATTAATAAAGTCTATAATGCCAGCAGTTCATATTTCTTAAAAATATCGACTAATTACTGTAATGCATCGACAATCAATATTGAAGACTAAGACAAGATTTTACGGCCCAGAATTTGATAGTGCCTAATTATCAGAGACCGTTAAATTCTGGTTAATTGTTCACAAAGCACAGAAACCAATTAATAAAATCTCAACTATTTATTTTGAGTATTTTCACAACTGACTGTTTCATGCAGTTTTATGATCCCTCAAATTTGTATTTGTAAATATAGTTCAAATGACTCATTAGAAAATAAATCATTTGGCATCAAAATCTTATTGACCTTTAGGCTATTTAACTTTTGTTTGATAGATAAAACCGGTTTGAATCAGCCAACAAGGATGATCAGAGATGAATAACTTAAACATATTTAATGAATATTAAAGCATTTCTTTTTATAAAAAATCATATTTTTATTAATATTTTAATATCTATGTATGCCAGTAAAACATAAAAATGTCTTTTTCTTGAGATTCTCTTCAGTGTTTTAGTGTTATTCGTGATTAAAATAATTTTCACAGGAATTTTAATGCATAATCAAGGATAATTAATTAACTTGTAACACTGGTTCATCTAGGAAACAAATGAACTTTTTATAAAAACCAAAAGGCCGAGAAGCGATCGATGATATTCTAACTGAAAAGCGACAAGACTGCATCTCATGATCTCCAAATAATCATTAATTAACGGTCACTAAATATTAAACATTTTTCTAAAAATTAACTGTATTGGCAAATTTCACGAAATCCATGAGGCTCGAGGCCAATGTCACAACAGAGTGGATCAAACACTGAGTAAAGTTAAAGAATGGTCCACTAAAATTTATTTTAACCATGTAAAACACTGTATTTACACTCTACTTGCCTGATCCATTGGGCAATATCGGGATCAGGGTACTATACATTATGGCATGGACCAGTATTGGTTATTCATTATCTAAACAAGTCTTATATACAGTTAAATTCACACCGTTATGGATTATGAAGGAAAAAATATCTTGATGTCATTTTCCCCGTTAAATTTACTTGTCCATGTTCGTTAATTGTTTTCACAAGCTCTGTTCAGCGACTTAATGTACTATGAGATTATAACTTGTCTCTAGTTTGGAATGACTGCATACATTACACCTTTGACCTGATTTCATCAGATATAACTGACTTAATAGCTAATAACTTGAATTAGTTGAAAATACTGAGTGGGTCTTACTTGTGCAAATTCATTATTTGTTTTTACAAAAAACTTTGTTTTGACAAAAATTCAGTTCAGCATTAAGTTCAATATATTATAACAACTTGTTGCTAGTCTGGAATGAATTTCAGCTTAGACCTTTGGTTTTCATCAGCTATAACTAGCATAATAGTACAAAAGTTTCAGTCTTGATCTCATATTCAATGTTAAAAGTGCTGAATGGTTCTTACTTGTTCATGTTCATAAATTGTTAAAATTTCAGTTCTGCAACTCAATATATTATGATTTGTCTCTAGTCTTGTGTGAATTTTTACTTATGTTCATAAATTGTAATCACAAAAGTTATGGTCAGCGACTCAATATATGATGATGACTTGTTGCTAGTCTGGTTTCTGTACATACATTACACCTTACAACTGTTTTTCATCATTAACATAACAGTCAAACCAACATAGCTTATACAGCTGCCAATTATGAAGAATCAAAGACTGTAATTTAGACTTGATCTAATGTTTCATGTTAAAAGTGCTGAATGGGTTTGTAATTGTACATGTTAATTGCTATCAGAAAATGCTTTGTTATCACAAAAACTTTGTTGACAAAAGGTGTGGTGATAAGAAGTGAAAGACTTGAGACTCTGTAGCCAGACGTTTTTTAATGCTTCGGCAAATTCTTTGGACTGTATTTACTTTTCTAGATCGAGCTGTCAGATTTTTTCCGTTATACCTTTCTTAATCGGTTTCCATTCGTTGGTGGCAACGAAGAATTCGCTCTCCGATTCGTTGTCCTTGTCGGATTTTTCGCATCGGAGGATCGAGACGGTCGAGCAGAAGGCCGTGAAGAGCAAAATCGTCTTGACGTTCCTCATCTCTCATTCGCAGAAGAAATTTCGGGCTGATCGTCTCGTCGTGTTCCACCTACGGAGTTCGGACTTGAGTTGAGTGAATGTGAAACCTATCGCGGCGAGAATGCCGATAGCCTGGGTGGGGAGAAAATTCAACTCTGTTGCCCTGGCGACGGCCAATCTCTTTTGATCAAAAGCTCCAATCAAGTCTAGAAACGTAGTTCTTCAAAATGATCAGCAACTTGCACTACTCTACTATCAAAAAAGCCACGTGTTTTTAGTTGCTTCTTCCATTAGTTGTTTCTTCTTTTGCAAGAAGAAGAATGTCATATTTTCCCCCAAAAAAATTATACATTAATAAGCTATTAGCAGATGCAATCGAGAGATGTAGTCAGTTAAATTTGAACAAAGGGTACAAAAATAAGAATATAGCTATTGTGTCAGATAGCCGAACAACCATCAAAGCATTAAGTTCCAACATCATTAGCTCAAAGATGGTGTCCAATCGCAAACCTAAACTAAACAGATTAGGTAGATCACCCTCTGTTGGGTCCCAGGACATGTGGGAGTAGAGAGCAACTAGAAAGCAAATGTCCTTGCGAGGAAAAAGGCTGCTACACCGCTGATATGTCCTAAGCTCTTCTGGCATGGGATTCACACTGTCAATAAGTACCTCAAACAAAAGGACAAAATGAAAATGAAACAGTGGAATTCACTCATTGGAAATAACCAATCAAAGAACCTTCAGGCAAATTTTGGTAGGAAAAAAACAACAGAATACATCAAAGGAAGCAGGAGAAAAACTAAAAATCCTAACAAAATTCTTAACAGGACTTTTTGGGCATATCCCCTTAGTGGTTGATGGCGAACAAGGACACTGAAGACTGAATGGGCAAGATTGGCATAACACATGCCTAAAGATCCAGATTCTGACAAGAAGCAGAAGAGACATCAACACACCTACTAACAAACTGTGGTGCCACACTTTCAAATACCTTGATAAACTAGGATGTATCGGTGTGCTGTAAGAACAAAAGGGGGGGATACATTAACTTTTAAAGGGCTCACTATTCATATTTTGTACCATAGTCATGGGAGGATTTTTTAAAATTCTTTTGAGTTGTATTCACTCATGACCCATAAATAATGACTGAAAATACATTAATATGAAAATAAAGTAGGAAAGGTGGACATGAAAAATAAGTCAGTTTATTCTAGTTTATTAATTAATTAAAACTATATTTTTGAATCTTTTGATTAGCATTATTCTGTAGATGAACTCACAGACTTCTCAATGCTATCTATAAATTCTGTGCCTCTTCAGGTGTTCCTCAAGGCTAACATATAGGTCCGCTATTATTTCTTCTTTTTATTAATGACATTTCAACAGCTTTCTCTGATACTAGTTTTTTAACTCTTTGCTGATGATTGAAACTGTTTGAGACAATTAAGTCAAGGTTCAACCAAATCATACTCCAAACCAACCACAATGCTGTAAGGTCTGAATACTATTCTTTCCTTAATATTTGCAAATACAGCCAAATCTCATTTTTTAGATCTACAAGTTTTAAGTTGATGCAATTATTGATTTAGGAATTCACTATTACTAAAGAGTCGAGTGTTTTTAATAATATTGTTACTTTTTATGCAAGAAAATTTTTATTTTGTTTAACAGTTTTAATTTTTTGTTTTAGAAAATAGTGGGGGGTGAAAAGTTTGGCAGTTGCTGAAACTTCCACGACTGCGCTGCATAGTTCAGTTTCAGTAGTTCACGTGTAGTGCACTGCAAAATGAGTGGTCTCGTTTACTAACTACTACAGCGTCGAAGGTAGGTTATGTTTACGACTGTTTCTTGCTGCCGGTCCTTGTTTCTTGTGTTTCCTTTCTGCAGTTTTTTTGTAAATCGTTTGAAGATGGCTGCGGTCCAGCTTCCGCCGAAAGTGAAGCCCGTCGTCCTCACGGTGGACGAGATAAAAGTCGACCGCATAACTGAATTGGCTTTGCAGTACTGGGCCCCGCACACCAAGGCAGACCATAAGGCCTACGACCCGTCTATTATAGACGTGATCTACAAGCAGGAGATCAAAGGGTCGACGTTCAATGTTAGGCGGATAATGATGCTCGAGGTGAGCCAGTACCTGGAGAACTACCTCTGGCCGAATTACCGTCCCGATCAATCCACGTATGACCACATGATTTCCGTTGTCATCATGATGAACGAAAAGTTCAGGGAGAGGGTGTCCGCTTGGACGGCCATCAAGAAGAACCCCCTTCATGTCAGAGGGTTTTTGAAGCAAGTTTTCCACGCCTGTCTCGAACTTAACAGCTGCTACATTGAGAAGACTTCTCTCATAGTTTTTCTCACCAACACTTTCAACAGCATAGAGGTCGATATCATAAGGGAGCAGGTGAAGCCGCTGTTGTCCCTCTCGACTTGGGTCTGCTTGCACCAACACAGAAGAGAGCACGAGTTCAGGAATGCTCCAAAGTGGAAGAAGTACTGGGGGAAGATACTCAGGAAGGAGAATGAAAGGGGCGAAGAGGCTGATTGGGAGAGGAGGTTTTTATACAGGCTAATGCTGAATTTCTTAGATCATTTGGACAAAATTCCAGTCGAGAGTAAAATTGATGAATCGACAGTTCAATACTGTGAACGCTTTCTTGAGTTAATGATTGACTTGGAGGCATCCCTTCCGACCAGGCGGTTCTTTAACGTTCTTCTTGACGACTGTCAACTCGTGCTTCGTTGCCAGCTCTCTAATCTGGCAAAACGTTCTGAGGGTAAGCTCTTCCTCCAACTCCTCGACATATTGAAGTTCTACGCTCGTTTTGAAATCAACGACGTGACCGGCGATTGTCTGACAGACTCCCAAATGTCCCAGATACATTACGAATGCGTGACTTCACTTCAGAAAGCGGTATTTGCAAAATATCCGGCCCTGCAGAAATTTGCATTGGCTAATGTGGCCAGCGTTGATACGAGGGAGGCTATAATGAAACACTTTGAAGAGCTCGATACTGGCAGCCTGAGGGACATAATTGTCCAGCTCAACTTGGTTCCACCTGTTGAAAGAGAAAAAGAAGAAAACTGGTACAAAACTGACCGTAAGTTTCTTCTTGAATTACTAGCGTTCCGCCATGAAAAAAGGATTTCTCAATTGATGGAGATAAACGGCACTCCTTTGTACCCAATAGAAGATATAATTTGGGATGAAAATATAGTGCCTTCTGAGTATTATTCTGGTGAAGGATGCTTGGCTCTTCCAAAACTCAACCTTCAGTTTCTAACTCTCCATGATTATCTTCTTAGAAATCTAAATCTTTTCAGATTAGAATCAACATACGAAATCAAACAAGACATAGAAGATGGAATAAGTAGGCTGAGCCCTTGGAAGTCAGAAACGGGCGAGACTTATTTTGGCGGATGGGCAAGAATGGCCCAACCAATTGTCAGTTTCGTAGTTGTTGAAGTTACAAAGCCTGATATTGGTGAAATTGTGCCTTCTAGAGTACGTGCGGATGTCACAGTAAATCTAAACGTCAAAGAAGAAGTGAAAGCCGAATGGGAGAACTTGAGAAAACATGATGTTTGCTTTTTGATTGCTGTTAAGCCGACTCTTCCAATTGGTACCAGATACAATTTCAAGTTGCCGTTTTTAGAACAGAGTGGTGTCAAGTACGTAAGGGGCTGTGAGGTGGAAGGGATGCTCGACAACACCGGTAAAATAATTGAAGATTTGCCTGATGTCAAACCTGAACTTGCTGGCGACACCAGGACTTTTAGAGTCCTCCTAGACTCAAATCAGTACAAGCTTGATATGGAGTTGATCAACGAAGGAGAGGATGATTTCTATGAAAACTTTAATGTTATCCTAAGAAGGAAGCCAAAGGAGAATAACTTCAAAGCAGTTCTTCAGACTATCCGTGAGCTGATGAATACGGATTGCATTGTGCCAGAATGGCTTCATGACATACTTTTAGGCTATGGCGACCCTTGCTTGGCCCATTATTCTAAAATGCCTAATGAAATTTCCACTATTGATTTTAATGATACTTTTTTAAATATCGATCACTTAAGAGCAAGTTTTCCTGAGCATGAAATCAAAGTGAAAGTCGATAAGCCTACTGATTTGGTCCCACCATTTAAACTGACCTTTGAAGAAGTCATTAACAAAAAAGAGGACTTAAAAACTGATAAGAAATCGATAATCGTTGAGCCTCATATTATACCTAATCGTGGGCCTTACCCTTCAAACATTCTGAGGAAAAACACTGTTTGGTTTACCCCCACACAAGTCGAAGCTATTCGGTCAGGGATGCAGCCCGGTCTGACTATGGTAGTCGGACCTCCAGGTACAGGAAAGACTGATGTTGCAGTACAGATTATCTCCAACTTATATCACAATTTTCCAAATCAGAGAACGTTGATTGTCACCCATTCAAATCAAGCTCTGAATCAGCTCTTTGAAAAAATTATTATGCTTGATGTCGAAGATAGACATTTGCTACGTCTTGGTCACGGTGAAGGTGAATTGGAAACGGAAAAGGACTTCAGCCGGTATGGTAGGGTTAATTATGTTTTAGCCAAAAGGCTGGAGCTTCTTGAAGATGTAGAAAGATTGCAGAAGTGCTTGGGTGTAGAAGGAGACATGGCCTATACTTGTGAGACAGCTCGTTATTTCTATCTAAGTCATGTGTTCGCCAAATGGGAAGAGTTTAAAGAGGTGATTTCTAAAAAGAAAAATCGAAAAGATATCCCAGTCGAATTGATTTCTCAGCAGTTCCCATTCCATTCATTTTTCAGCGATGCTCCTCAGCCCCTTTTCAAAGGAAATTCATATGATGAAGATTATGCTATCGCCTTGGGTTGTTTTAGGCATATTGAGAAAATCTTTACTCAGTTAGAAGAATTTAGGGCGTTTGAACTTTTACGGAGTGGCCCTGATAGATCAAAGTACTTACTAGTCAAAGAAGCAAAAATAATCGCTATGACTTGTACACATGCAGCTCTAAAACGGGCAGAACTCGTTGAAATGGGATTCAAATATGATAATATACTAATGGAAGAAGCAGCACAGATTTTGGAAATTGAAACTTTCATCCCTCTACTTGTTCAGACAGTGCAGGACGGCTACAACAGATTAAAAAGATGGATAATGATCGGAGATCACAACCAGCTGCCGCCTGTCATTAAAAACATGGCGTTCCAAAAATATTCTAACATGGAGCAGTCCCTTTTTACAAGACTCGTGAGGCTTGGCGTTCCAACAGTTGATCTCGACGCTCAAGGCAGAGCTAGGCCTTCAATTTGCGATTTGTACAAATGGAGGTATAAAAATCTTGGTAATCTTCCTCATGTCATACAACGTAGTGAATATCAACTGGCTAATGCTGGTTTTCGACATGAATTTCAGTTTATAAATGTCGAAGACTTCAACGGGGTGGGTGAATCCGAACCCAGCCCTTACTTTTATCAGAATTTAGCTGAAGCTGAGTTTTGCGTAGCTGTTTTTATGTTCATGAGGCTTTTGGGCTACCCAGGGTATAAAATTACTATTCTCACTACTTATAATGGGCAGAAACATTTGATAAGAGATGTAATAAATGCAAGGTGTGCATCGAACCCATTAATAGGAAAACCTCACAAAGTAACCACTGTGGATAAATACCAAGGTCAGCAGAACGACTACGTCCTTTTATCGTTAGTAAGGACAAAAGCAGTTGGACATATAAGAGATGTGAGGCGTTTGATTGTAGCTCTATCTCGAGCGAGGCTTGGATTATACATTTTTGGCAGGGCTTCGTTATTTTTTAACTGCTTTGACTTGAGACTTGCAATGGATCAACTTGCTCAGAAACCTCTCCTCTTAGAAATCTACCCTGCGGAGCCTTACCCATCACAAAGAGCAACAGATACCCCCATGGCTGAGCCGCCAGATGTCATCCCGTCTATGTCAGAGATGGCAACGTTTGTATACAACTATTATCAAGACAGGCTGGAAAAACTCAAAGAGGTATATTATGCTAATAAAAAGGAATGGACTAAGCCAGGGGAAGAGCTTGTTAAAGCTCCAGAAACTTTAGTGTCAGCACATCCTGGGGCAGGAAGCGATACTGAAGATGAGGACTATTACAATAGCTGGGTGGAAGAAGGAAATCAAGATGAACCTATGTCAGACTAAGTTTATATAAATTTTATAATAATGTATATTTTGTTTTTTAAAAAATGTAAATATGTTGTAAAAATAGTTTTAGCATTAATTATAGGTTTTCTTTAATATTTTTACCAGTTTTGTCACTACTTTCATATCATCCTAAACCACGTATAGTTCCGTAAATAGTCATACAGTATTAGATAAATAAATAATTGTTTTTGCCAAGCTAAGAATAATATTTTCGAGTCATAGGGGGACCGCAATAGTCGAGTGGTTAAGGTGTCAAACTCTCAACTAGTAGATCCCCCGGTTGTGCGGTGTGGGTTCGATTCTCACCATCACTTCTGGACGTTTTATGATGCCTAAGGGGACTGGTGGCCGCAATTGAGAAAAATTGACACAGCACTCATCAATTGAAGGTCTGGGGGTGGGATTGGATTTCAGCGGCCCTGAATTTGGTCCCAACCCCCTTCAAAAGTGAGTTTCTTTGATGAAAGAACATCGGCACACTGGGGCTCAAAATTCATGTGCATGTTGTTCCCCAAAAAATGAAGCCAGGAATACAGTACAATAAGCTGTAGTATACAGCTGCAGTGCTCAGGGGGAACTCCTCCAGTTCATGGTATCCATTATAAAAAAAGTCGAAAAATCTTATACATTAGATGTATTTTATTAACTATATGTTATATCTACATATATTGACAATATATAGCGTATGATTTTAATACATAGAAGTAATCAGTTTGAAAGAAGAAGAAAAATGTAATATAAGATTGGACCCATGAATTTTAAATCTGACAGATTTTTCACATTAAAATTATTTTCTTTTTCTTAACAGTTTAATATTTATTTTGAATGTAAACTACACCTTTAAAAGTTCAAGAGCATAGTTTTTCATAACTTTATTTACCATTTAATTCAAATTTTGTTAGAAACCTTCTTCGACAGGCCTTGTGAGTATGACGGTGTGCTGATTGTCCTCTTTCTGTCCCCGGAGGCCATAAAGGAAGTTTTGTAGTTTGGGAGTATTGGTGTAGTTATCTGTCATGGTCTGAACTTCGACTGCTTTCGGCAAGTTGACCTGTGTGCCGATATCATAAGCAAAATGTGACAGGTCTGTCTGCATGGAGTGTGTTCGCATTTTCAATATGTTCGCCTGTTTGAGAGGAAAAGAAATTGATTAAAATTTGAAGGACATATGGGGAATTTTAATCATTTTACAAGTTGGCATGCGTCCTCCTTCAGCTGCCAGGTGCTCGACCGGTGCTTAGGGTCTATGATGCTTGGCATTGGGTGTATGTCGGTCTGCACTGATTTATCACTCGATGTTAATACTTTCGTGTTAAATGGTATTCCCCTAGATTATCGCATTTAAATACATTTTTCTTATTTTTGGAATAAAGTTGTTATTTGTTTTATTGTTTGTATGTTATTAAGCAAAAGTATCAATTTAAAAAATACAATTTTAGTAGTTTCTTATGACAGTAATAAAGATTGTGACATTTCATAAGATCATCTGCAATATAACCTTTGCCCACCATAATAATATCGCATAATTAATAAAGCAAAGCTCAAGAATAGTCAGACCAGGATTAACAAACTACTTAGAAATACCAAAGAAAAATTAATTCTTTAATGAAAAGTAAATAAATAAGAAATAACAACCTGAAAACGTATTCTTTAAGCATTTTGGCTTGATATACAGATTGGGAAATGCAAATTGAACATATTTCATTTATTATCATTATGGCATAATTATTAAAGTATAATTAAAAAACATTGTGACTGGATCTAGAATGCAAGAAGGTATGGGGGCAGGAGTGTTTGGCTCTGGAACCAAATACTCAGAACCTATGCGTAAGTACACAAGTATCTTCCAAGCTGAAGTCCATTCAAAGATATGTACACAGCACAACTGAGCAAAGGATCCATGAACTATTATGTCAGAGAGCCAGTCAGCCGAAAGAGTACTAAGCTCAAATATTATTATCTCAAAGATGGTACTGAATTGCAACAATGAATAAGGTATACAAAATCAATTTCTGCCGGGTCCCAACATGTAAAGAAACAAGACCGTGCAAAGAAAGGGGCTGTTATATAAAAAACAGTAGAATTCACTCACTGGATGCAGACAATCCAAGAACCTCCTGGTGAGTTTCAGCAGGAAAGAAACAACAGAATGCACCAAAGGGTGCAGGAAAAATTTTGAATCCTAACAGGGTGCTTAACAGGACACTGTGGATTGAATGGGAACTTGGAGGAAGATTTGTATAATCCAACACGGTACATGTGGATCCTGCAAGGAAACACCCACAGGAGAAAGTGCTTTGGGATGTACAACATAACTATAAAAGAAATTCAACCACTGAGATCGGGCCAACTAATCAAACTTTATGAACTTAGAAATCACCAGTGTGCTGTAGGTACAGGGATTCTGTAGTTTTCAAAGAGTGCAGAACATTACAAATTGAATATTACATTTAACGTAGTTGAACTCAAATTTTTGAAAAGCACAGAATTTGTCCATATATATTCAAACAAGGTTTAAAAAATGAATGTACAAAATGCTTTACTTACGCTGCAAATGGATAAGTGAACTGGTTTATTGCCGTCCGTAGTTGAAGGAGTTCAATGTATTCGGGTTTCGTTCTCACCATATCCACAATTTGCTTTATAACCCTGGAGCAATAGAATTAGTTTATTCCTCTGTCAACTGTTAATACATTACATTTGAGCTTACAGATCTGGATTCTTGCAGAAAAAGTACGCCGCCTTTACATTCCTAAAGCCATAGTATTTCCCAGCGAACTTCACAATACCAATCTGGGGTCTGGCTTTTAAAACCACGCCTTCTGCGAGTAGAGCGTAAGTTGGACAAAATCCACCCATCTGAAGCCATAAAATTGTTGAAAAGGTGATTACTATTTATATTTGAGTGAAGTTTCAAAAAACGACTAATTCTATTTTAATTATACTTCTCAATTGTGAAACAGAATAATTTACTCAACTTTGATAAAATCTGACTCTGGGTTTACCACTAATTGAGTTAGTACATAAATAAAAATATAGCTCTATATATAACCATTCAATACAGAAGTGTTATGAAGTACTCAATAGTCTTCTATTCGTTTTTAATTTATTGTTTTCTTGTGGATAATGGTACTGATACTGGGAACTGGAGTTCCCCTGAGCATTGTAGCTTTACACAGCTTATTGCTGTATTTTTGGGAGCTTGCAACACATGTGAATTGAACCCTCAGTGTGCTGGTGTTCTTCCACCAAAGAAACTTATTTTCCTAAGGGGTTGGGACCCAATTCAGGGTTGCTGAGATCTGATACCACCCAGTGATGAGTGCCATGTCAACTTTCATTGCCACTGCTCCCCTTATGTGTGTAATGCTCCCATTTAATTGGCCATAGCAAATATGAAAATATAAATAAAAAATACAAACATAACATTAATACAAAATTCTGGCATAACACAGAAAGAGGTTTCAATTATCTCTCAACTTCAGCTAGTGTACCCCAAGGCTCTATTCTTGGACCTTTACTCTTTTCCATATTTCTAAATGATCTCCATTAGTTCTTAATTTCAATTCAGTGTCCTACAAACAATATCTCTAAAGCTATCTCTCTGCTCAACTATGATCTTCATTCCCTCAATCAAGAAATAACGGCATTCATTTAACCCTAACAAGTCCCAGTCCATATTAATTTCCAATAAACGCATTAATGAAGATTTCCTATCCCTCCTCATATCATCGGCTCCTCCATTAATTTTTGTCCTAAAGTTAAAAATATTGGTGTTATTTTAAACTCCAAGCTTACACAGCATGACAATGTGAGCTCTATTATTACAAAGGTCTACTCAAGCCTTCATTCTTTTCGAAGCTTTTTCATACCACAGAAAACTAGTTCTCCTTATTAAATTTTTAATAATTCCTTTATTCTCTTACTGTAGTTCTATTTTTCCACTTTTCTTTCCTTTTTCACTTATTTTTCCTTAGACTCTCAATCTGCTCATCGCCTTCAAATTGCTTATCACTCCTGTGTTAAATACTATTGTGATCTTAAGCCAAGAGATCATATTTCTTCCTATATTAATGTTTTCAGCAATCTTAACATTCTAAGCACTTATAAACTTAGATTTTTAATATACATATTTAAAATTAAATTAAATTAATTTCTTCAATATCTATAAACTTTTTCCCCACATTCCTTATCTAAATGCCATAATAATATCTCATGCTTTTAACACTCCTCTAAAACTGTAGCCTTATCCTTCAGAATTTCAGAGACAACACTGGAATTTGCTTCCCCAGAATTCTGCTTCCTCGCTTGCTTGTTTCAGATCCAATGCATCTGAGTCTTTAAAAACGACATGAATCACCTTTTCTTCCCTCTTCCTTTTCTGTTTCCCTTTTCTTTTTTTTTCTTTCACTTTTCTTTCAAAATATGGTTTCATTATTCGATTATAAATAATTAATATTTAAAAAAATATATATTTTGATGTGTTATTAGTAGTATGTTCAAGAGAAAACAAAAACAAAATTCCATATTTGCCTAGCATTCAACCCGAGCTTTAGGTCATCATAAGGGCCTATACATTATTGTCATTATTGTTTTGGATATTTTATTACATGTTTATTAACTGAGGCCATTCAGCATGAAAAACTTCAAAGCTCAATTTCTCGAAACTATGAAAACAGCATTTCTTCTTAGCAGAGTCAAATACATTCATTCATGTAAAGCAATTCACCATAGTAACAAAATATTGAATGCCAATATTTTGTTTAAAAAGTAGAACAGGTGGTTGAGAAACTCACGAACAACCGTAATTACAATTTTGTGGCTTGTCTACCACTTCTTTGTTTGGAGCCAAGGTACCTTAATGTGAGCAACACCGTGCTTTGGACCATCCATCTACAACGTATTCAAAGTCAATTGAAAATTCCTTGTTGCTCAAAAACTTGCTTTTTGCCAAAAATAAATCTATTAATTAATAATTATAAGAAATTGTTATTAGTCATTTCTGGTCCTCTAATATTTCTGAAGAGGAAACCTGTAAGGCTTCAAAAATGGATTAAATTGAATAAATGATCTTGCTTTTGTTGAAATTAAAACCATACATACAACAAATTTAAACTATCTTTATACTAAAACAACTGATAAATTCACTACCTCTAAGGTATAAACTTCATTGTTTTCAGGATAAATAACATCCTGCAAAACCAACTGCTGAGAGATGACTTCTCCAATTGTTTCTTCTTCAAAAAAGTCAAGAGGTCTATTTACAATTTTCAGAACCCATTTTGGAATAGTCTTGACCTGGCAAACCGCGTTGAAAATTATTCATATATAGCCAAAAACATTTATCATTAAAATTATCTTTTCAATATCATCTATATAATTAATAAAACGCTACCTTAGCGTATTGCATCATCGTTTTCAGCAATTTATTGTAAACACTATACAGAATCAGCATTTCTTGAAATGTCTTCCAGTACTTGAAAACTTTTCTGAATTGAGGCTGAAAAAAAAAACATATACAATTAAATTACAATCTATTTGCTTTCATTGCTTACCTAGATAAAAAAGGAATAAAATTCGTACATATATCACAGAAGTCTCAATAGCAACTTTGCATTTAGTGTGTTCAATTAATGAAGTCAGTCTTTTATTTAGTGCCTCTTTAACATTTTCAAGTTCAGTAAGATGTGTTTTGATGTTTTGTTTTATCACACTGAAATAAAAATGAAATGATTTGTAGGATAATTTGATTTAAATTGTGTAAGATGTGTTTGGCTTAAGAAATTCATCTGAGGATATGAGCATACTATGTTTCATATATATATACAATATTAAAATCTTACTTCAAATAAAATGAAATCTGTTGCCAAAGGCATAAAAGTTCTTTTGCCAATTTTACATCGTTACTACCAAATGGACTACGTTTTGATCGCAGTAGGAAATTCTTATTTTTTGAATCCCATTCGTACTCCATCTCGAATGCCTTTTCTAACGGGGTTAATTTGCACTCAATTCTCCCAATGGATTCATTCAATATGGTTTCCATCGAAAATGCTGCCTTTGTTAAAAGTTGTGGCACTAAAGAAAAATATATTAATATCGTTCTCAGGTAAAAAAAAATTTTAAACTGACTATCATCGATTCCGGCTCCTCCCAGCCTCCTCATATTGTTGAATAAACGAATGCCAACAAGCAATTTGTTCATTTCTTCAAGTTCTAATGATTTTTTATAGCGGGTGAGCTTTATGAATTTCAATAAATCTTCTTGAGACAGTACACTTGCCAGAGCACCTTAAAAAAACAAAAACTTTTAATTAAGCGAGGATTAAGCTTATCTCTAGTATCTACATTCTGCTTCATTATAGACATCTGGTTGGCTTGGGTCACCCATCCCTGATGAAAGTACAAGATAAAGTATTATTTGTCTGAACAAAACCTTTGTGGAATTTTGGATGGGATCATTCGGCATAACATTTATAATCTGTTTCTTAAGTGGTTGGATGTATAAGTCATAAAGTTTTGCATGTTCTTCGAGTACCTGTTCTGTAAAAAATTTATTTTTTATTTTTGAACAATAGAATATAATTATTCTGTGTATGTAAGGTATTGGTTGAAATGAAAAACTTAGTGTCATGAGCAGAATTCGAATCCACGACCTTCAGCTCAATACGCTGCTGCTTTAACCACTTGAGCTATTGTGATGTGCAGAGCAGTGGTGTATTGAGCTGAAGGTCGTGGGTTCGAATCCCGCTCACAACACTAAGTTTTTCATTTCAACCAAGACATTACATACACAGAATAATTAATTGAAAGAAGTAATTTGGTCAATCAGACCACTAAACATAATGGATTTAACAGAGCTTATACCTTGTCCTCCAAAATCGAGTGAAAAATATGCTTGAGCTTTCATCATCTGTAGCTTGATCCCCGATTTTGACATGATATCTTTAATAGCTAAATTTGTTATCCTGATTATGTCTTGATAGGGATCCCTTGAGTTGTCATAGAACTTGTGCTTAGGAATCACGAGCATGTTGGCTACCTGACAGGAAAACAGGATGAATAAACTAAAAAGCGAAAAAATGGCATCTACTTACTGTGAACTTTGCCATCGCCTCTGTGATGTTTTTCCCCTTCGCCTGACATGTTGCACGGATTTCATTGAGTATTAAACCATGGCTTTTCTGTTGTTGGCTCCAAAAGTGGAACATTTTTCTTGCAGTTCTTAGCTACAATTTACTAAGGTTACCAGGACTACGAGCAACCCGGAGCAGTTTTCAAAATCAATATGCAATGCAGGTCATATTAATACAGATCAAAATCAAATGGATAAATTTGAGGAAAAATTAAATAAAGTACATTACTTTTTTATAACAATAAATCAATTGTTGAAATTCTGATTTCTACTAACAGAGTTCTCTTCAATTATTTTATTCTATTTATAATATAAGCAATTAAAAACATTTTTTAATACAAATATTTCATTTTATTGTTTGATTCAAATATTAGATTCTCTCATAAGCAAAACTGTTATCCTATGTACAAAATATGTCTGTTCAGTTTTGTAGTCAACCAAACACAGATGAGTCTGGCACGGCAAACTTTTTTCTTGATGCCTACAGGATGATAATCCTCTAGCTAGTAATTTCAGATCATTTAGGTCTTCCTATTCCCCATGTCTTGGTATGTCAGACAAAGAAATTTGAAACGGCCGAGATACAAAAATTATTATTGTTAAAAATGTTGTTGCTTATATATATGAAATATTTCAAAAGTTACAATATGAAGTAAAATATAGAAAACTAAGCATTTACTCCATCAGAGAAGGATCTGCTTGTATACCAATGTATCTAGAATTTAAGCAAGAATGCTGCATTACACCAGTACAGAATTCCAAATAAAATTTTAGGGCAGTGGCAATAAGAATGAGGATACACGACTGCAAGTGTACAGTTGCGATGTTCAGTTAACGGTGAAACATATTTTAACTATGTTCACTATAAGCACTGAGGACACAATGCCATTTGTAGAGCGACCTTGCTGATTTATTGGAAGATAATGCTGGTAATATAGATTTTTAATTTTTTACAATCAGCAAATTTATTAAATAAAATATGAATAGTTTCAATTTTTTTCTTGAAAAATGAGTCGGTTGTGCAGGGGGTCATGAACATGAAGACGGGGACAGCTCTCTGGGTTAAATGGATCCTAGACTCATAATGCCCAGAGTATGTGCATGCCTCATTGTCAAGTACTATGTAGCTTTATCTAAAAAATTATTTAATTAGTGCCAAAGAAGTTACTGCTGTGTCAGGGTAGTCCCACTAAGGGTTGCGCTCACCCCTGTTGGTGGTTGCCCCTCAATCATACTATCTGTGTATGAAAAAGAAAGGGTTGATGCCCATGAAAATATGACCTAAATGGGCATCCTTTAATTTAATAAAAAAGTTTTTTTTTGTTTGTTGCAAGCAATAAAACCAATATTGTTTGGTACTATTTTAATGCTTTTGTTTAGGGCCGTTGGTGGCCGAAACAGGCACATTGACACAGCGTTAATCTGTAAGGTAAATGGCCTGGGTTCAAATCCAGCAGCCCTGCATTTGAACCTGACATTTACAAATGGGCTTAAACAATTTTTTTTTTTTTTTGTAAATGTTTTATCTAAACAACTAATGTTGAAATTTTCTTGTAAGATTTACATGTACTCTGTTTTCGATAAAAATCAAAACCAAATTGTTTTTGTTACTATTGTTTCCCATTTTTCAATAAATATGTGTTGTAAATGTTTTGGAAACTATTAATGTACAAAATAACCCATGTTTCAGGATATTCTTAAATCCAAAAATGTGATTTTTTTAAAAATTAATTAACTTATTTTATTTATTTATTTTTTTGAGAGAGGGGTACCAGTACACTGTGGGATATGGGGAATGATACTACTGTGAAACATTCCAACGATGAAGGGTTCCAGTATTTTAGCTACCACATACTGATGGACATGATGTAGCAATGGCAGAAAGAATTAGCCATGATAAATAGCATCATGCTACGAGAAATAAAGCTGAATGTTGCACATTGGAGCTCTTCTTACTAGTTGACGAGCAAGAGGAAGAGATAATCTTGACTCCTCTGAGAATAGGTAATTTAGGCCCTCCCATGGATATCTAATGACTAGAGAATCGCTTCCTCTTAGCAAAACTTGTAGAGAATTAGTACAGTAAAACATAATCAAATAGTGTGGATATGACAGGGCAAAAAGACAACACCTCTGGCTAGTCAATTGTCAGAGATTCTTGGGGAAAATTCCCCGAATATGAACAATTTGTTTGCCTTCTTATGATCCATTCAATGATCTTTAAAAATTTAGATCACTCTAGCCAACTGGGTATAAGGTGAATTGGGCATCAGGTTGCTTTGTTTGGGAACCTCGGGTCCAGATTTGGAAGTGTGTGGACATGGGCAGTGGCATGCACAGCCATCAGATGATCTTTGCAACAACGATTAATTATAGTTGGATTAAATTTTAGAGCTAAGGTGAATGCCCGATTGTATTGTGTCATCTGGGCTCGTCTCCTAGTCTGCCCAAAGGAACTGTTCATATGAAGTTATAAGGATTTAAGCAGATCATAACCAACAGAGATGTATTACCTTTTCATTATTAAAAAATTTCAATTATTCTTTTTATGTAAGGTCTTGGTTGAGATGAAAAAGTTAGTCTCACAACTCTCAAATCAAGACCTTAAATAAAAAGATTAATTAATTGAAATAATTAATATGGTCAATTAGACCACTAAACATAAATGGATTAATTATTAAAAAATTGGAAATTTTTCTAATAAGTTTTAAATTTTTGTTTTTGTTTCAAATAATAAAACCAAATTGTTTGGTACTCTTTTAATACCAGTAACGCAATTTTTGTTTCCAATTTTTTAATAAATTTTCGTTGTATTTGTTTTTTTCCTAAACAATTAATGGTGAAGTTTGTGTCATAATAAATGTTTTATTTAAAAAAAAAAACTTTATTCTTTTTATAAGATTAAACTGTACATGCAACAAAATTGCAGGTACTATGTGTAATATTTAGTGGCAGTTAATTAATGATTATTTAAAGAACGTGAGATACGGTCTGGTGTGATGTAGATTAGAAAAACATTTTCTTTACGGTCCCAACGTTCGATCTTTATCGAGATCATCTTCAGGACTCAAAGTGTGTGTTTTCTGGGTTGTCGTGTCACTGTTGTGAGACGTGTTGAGAGCGTTGCGACTCAAGATCTTTAGATAATCATTGTAAGCACTGTTTTTGAGCCAATGTGCATTTTGAATAAAAGCGGGAAAAGAGGAAAAAGGGAAATTTGTCTGCGTTGGGTGGCAGAACAGGTTTTTCAAGGTTTCACCCGTGAAGGGTTTCCTCCTGCAGTCATAACAATGTGTTCTCGCGTGGCAGTGTCGTCTTTATCCGCGCTGGTGTCTCGGACTGCATCGGTGTAATCTTCAGGCCTTTAGGGCCGTTTTAAGATGAAGACGATCACCTCGGGAAAAGAGCACGATGTCAAGTACACGGCGATATCCAACGGGCCGAGCCAGCCCCAGCCTCAGCCGCGGACTGAGCCATGTCAGGAAGAATGCGATAACTTGATAAAGTGCGATTCCCAGTTGGCGTCAAGCTTTAGAGACGGAAAGCTGCACAAGAGGCTCCGGCCGGGGTACTACCTCCAACGCGTCTTTCTGCCTAAAGCGAAGAGCCAGAGCGTCGTCCTCGGCAAAGGGACGGACGCCGTCCAGGACAAGGAACCATCTGACTCTGAAGAGACGGAAAACTGGTTCAGGACGTGGCCGGACTGTCTTGAGAAGAAGAATGACGACAAAGAAAAACAGTCGGAGACCAAGAATCCGCCGGTCTCGCTCGACAGCGTCCTCCATGATCTGCCGATCGCCTACAGCCCCGTCACCAAGCAGATCCACCTCATCGACGATTGCGTGAAGAAGAACGAGCGGCTGCCGAGGACAGACACCGGGGCGAGTTCCTTCTCAAGCACCGTCTCCAGCCTCAGCGACGCTTCGCCTTCGACCAACGGCGACCAGCAGCAACAGGCCGACGTCGCTTTCGACGTCTCCGACAACTGCTCGCTCATCTCCATCGGCAACTGCAGTATCGTCTCAGAAGACTCGGATGGCGACAAGCCAAAGAGGAGAGGACTCTCGGGGTTTTTCAGCAGGTAAGGCCGTTTTACTTTCTCTCACGTTAAACCCGTCGATTCTGTCGAATTTGTTGTTTTACAACTCATGTGTTTGATTATGTCAGGCAAACACCTTCTACATTAATGAACCAATAAATTTCTCAATTGCGTTTAACACAAATGACACCTTGCCCTTCAGGCATTTATTGCCTCCGTTTTCCTTTATCTGCCTATCATCGCTGTTTTGGTCTGTGGAAAGTGTTCACTGACACAAACTCACCACTGATGATGGCAAAAGGCCAAACGCGTCTGACAGCAGTGATGATAGTCCAAAAATGATCGGAACGACCAAGCTAAACGTTTATTACCCCACAGAGATCACAAGGAGAAATTTCATGGAATTTTGTATTTTATTCTATTATTATTTGTTTACAAATGAATTATTTAAAAAAACGTTCAAAATATCAACAAGAGTGAAAATGTAAAATCATGCAGGCCATAGGTTTAGGAAATAGACAGTAAAGTTTTGAAATTATGTTGCTGCTGACCTAAGCAACATACAGACACTGCTGCAAATCAGCTCTTGCCTGGTACCAAGAGGTGCAGAAGCATACCTCATGAATTGTCACCCAAGGTATATTTAAAAAAAAACCTTCCAGGTCAATTTGCATAAAAGACCGTGTGCTTGGTGGAGTGAGCCTAAATTAAGAAAATAAACTAGAGAGGTGGAACGTTTTAAATAACTCAAGGCCTAACAATTCAAATTTTACCACAGACCTAATTAATAAACTGTAAGATCATCTTCTTCCTCACCAGACCTTGCTCCTTAAAATGTTCAATTCAGATAAGTTTCTTTTTGCTATGCCAAACTGTTTTCGGCTTTTAGGTACGGGTACCGGATAATAAATTTTTATACCATATTCATATGTTGCATTGTATGGAGATAGTGGATTGTTAGTGCATCTTTTATACTGATATGTCGTTAGTATCTGGTTATATCCAATTGGGTCAGATGAAAACGAAGACTCAAATGGTCCAATCTGAGATCCAGACACAAAACGACTGTTGAACACCTGAAAGGTGCTGAATTTAATTTGCGCGTTACTTTCAACCAGTAGAAACAGTCAGACAACAATTAACAGACCTTCTGATGCGCCAGAAAACACATGGATACATTAATGATCTACAAGAACTTGTTTGTACTCTGTGGAGAAAAACATTTCAACTGAATTCACAACTAGATGTAAGGCCAATTTGTTTTATAAACCAAACATAACCGGAACTGTTAGACAACATTGTCTACCAATCAGAACCTATTAGACCTTTCCTAATTATCTAGGAGTGGCACTTTGAACGCAGGGAACCTGCAACTGGAGGCACGATCCTTCATAAAGTTAGTTTCTTAATCTTGCAAAAAGCACAATTGAAAAAAATCATCAAACTTAGCTGTCATATTGCCTTCAACGAATTTTCTGTCTTATGAAAATTATAAACCAAAAGATTATATTAAGTGAGCTTAAAATAGGAAACTTCCTCGTTGAATCATTATTTATTTATTTTTTATGTATAAAGGAGATCAACCGAAAACATGAATCTCCTCCCCTCCGGCAGCGGATTATTGCATAATATAACTATTCATTTTGTATTAAATAATTTTTTAAATTATATTTCAGAAATTAGTTTAGTTTTTTTTTAAGATAGTAATTTGCCTATTTGGTCAGGGTCATCATTAAGTGAGTCTTTGATGGGGGTTGGAATTTCCAACTATAAAATGTGCTTAACTGTTATCCTTTCTCTACAACATCTCAAAGCGGAGTATCTTTTTTTTTGCCAAGATATAAGAATGAGCAATGATGATTTCTTCGTGCTTGTAACCCCTAAGAGATGAGGCCGAAGATTTTACGCAGTCTTTTACCTCCCTAAGTTCATATTAAAATTAGTTCGTGAATGCACCCAAAATCTCCAAAACCTGATGATATCTTGGTGCCAGGGCAAATTTTGGGTAACGAAAAAGCAACACACACTGGCTAGAGGAGGATCTGCAAGTCCGTACATAGGCCCCGAACCTATACTTGGGTTGACAAAATCAAATACAGAATCGTCCATGGCATAATGGATCCAAATAAAACAAAAGGAGAAGTGGATAAACTCTAGCGGGCGCTAGACACGGTGAACTTATAACGTATAAGTATAACCTCACCTAGACTGGGCAAATCACTGCTGCAGTAGGAGAGGGCTACACTCAGAGGAGTGATATGACTATTAACCGGTCACTGGCATCAGAGAAAACATGTACACAACATGGGCATATATAATGATGATCCCATCTGCAGATTATGCAATGAGGAGGAGGAAATAGCCAACCATATCATCTTCGAATGCGAAGCAACGGCTCAATGGAGCTTTAACCTTGCATACAGAAAAAAACCCAGGGAATGAAATGGTAGCAGCAACAGTCAATGAGCTAATACTTCTGAGAAAAAGGATCGAGTCGATTGCACTGAACTAGGAAGGTACAATAAAACAGAAGGCAGCAGTGTCTGGGGACCACAAACCCCGCTTCCTAATTTCCTCATCACCATTTCCGTCACCTCTCTAACTTTGACGTTAGAAGTCGCATCCCATTCTTCCTGCCATAGTTGCCAAGATCTTTTATGCCAAGTTTTCACAATTTTGGTGTTTTTGTAACTTTGTCTCCATCAAAGACCGCCTGCTTTAACAAACGCTTCACCTTCTTATTACCCAATATTCCACAGTGTCCAGGAATCCACATGAGTGCTACCCTATTTCCCTGATTTTGCAATGATTCAAAGGCAAATAATTTTTTTTTTTTATTAATGGATGAACAGAAAAGTTGTTATGGAGTGACAGTAGCGCTGACTGAGAATCAGTACAGATAATTATCGTTTTACTGGATGGGACTAATGTAGTTACTTAGCTATTGCTGTAAGCTCAGCAGGGAAGCTGCTACATACAGGTGGTAGGGTAAACATACTGTGATTTATTATTACATATGAAGTTAAAGCGAACAACAAATTATTTCCTGTGTCTATCCACCCAGGACGTCACGAATATAAAGAACGATAAAACGGCTGGCTCATTTATCTCGACTGAGGTGGAAATTTATGATACATTGACAGTGACGTGTTGAATTTTCAATGATGTTTGAACCCGAACGTCGACCCCTTTCAATTATTAACGACATAAAGAAAACCAAAGATAAGTCTAAGAAACGACAGTAATGCCCAGCCTTACGCTAGCCCTGAAGTCGATTGTGTCCTTTCCATTTTAATATTTATTGTCGGACATTTGTCACATCAGAATTTTTCTCTAAAACCGTAAACTTCGTTGGATACTCTACGAAAACCTGAACTTCAGAAGTGTATTTTTGCATTTTGACTTGACACAACTTGTCCGTTATTATACTAAAACGATTAGAAAGTTTTTCAGTCGAATTGAATTTAATTGGGCCTGCAAGCTGTTGGTACATAAATATCTCAGATGCCAAGCGTTTCTGGCAGGATTAAGACAAATTAGACGATTCGAACTTACTTTGAATTAGTTTCTATGAGGTTTGAAGTAGTTGCAACCATTGTTTTTTTTTCGCATTGTTTATCTATTTTTAAAATATTTATAGGCATGGCATGCCTTTTTAGAAAAAAACGTTGAATACTGCCAGTACATTTAATAGTTACATAATTGCTAAACTTTTCGAAAACGACCAGCCCCTCTTTTTTTATCTGCACGTCGAACTCGTAACCTCGTTATATGAAAGGTGGGAAAACGAGTGACATTGGTGTTTTTTTAGTCGTCAAATCGCGCTGGAAATGGATCTGCCTAGCTGTTTACTTATATATCGTGGGTAATGTTTAAATTTTTGTAATTCTTGAGTATTATTAGTTTTAGATAAACGCAATTCTTTCCGGTTGCCTGGATATTGCAAAACTATGAATTCTGCGATTGCTGAAAAATTAAGACGTGCCATCGCCTAAACGACGTGCACAGCGAAATTTCATCATTACAAACAACACCCGAGTGTACATTACTTAATGTAATGGCTATAATTTTTTTATAGCACCAATAAAGGAACGACTGAATCCCATTGCCTTGTACGGAAACGGAACAGAGATAACTTTTACATAAATCCTATTATAAAACAATCTACTTTAATTTAAGTGGTTTAGATTAAATTTAACCGGTTTAAACAAACACTCAGCCTGTTTGTTGTTGTGTTGGAAACAGAAGAGAGTCGAGAAAAAAAAATTGAGCAATGTTTCTACGGTGTTTTATAGATAATCGTTGCTAAGCTTTTTTCTTCTATCTGTATATATTTTTGGATTTTGACTTGACACAACTTGTCCTTTTTATACTAATACGATTAGAAAGTTTTTCAGCCGAATTGAATTTAATTGGGCCTGCATTGCTGTTGTTACATACATATCTCAGATGCCAAGTGTTTCTGGCAGGATTAACACAAATTAGGCGATTGGAACTTATTTTGAACTAATTTATACCTGAGATTTGAAGTAGTTGCAACCATTGTTTTTCGAATTGTTTATCTATATTTATGATCATTCGGAATGCAACGAGGGTATTTCATCTTCGAGGTTATTTGAACTCTGGGAGTGCCGATGTTCTTGGAAAAAAAGCCCAGCTGTAAGTACGTCAGGTTCGAATGCAGGGCCGCTGGATTCGAACCCGGGACCTTTACCTTACAGTGATGAGCGCCGTGACAACATAGTTTTGTAGAAATGTGTGGTGATTAGTGACCGTTAGTTGATGATTATTCGGAAATCGTGAGATGCGGTCTGGTGTGATGTAGGTTTCAGAAATACATTTTCTTTATCGTGCTACGTTTCGATCTTTATTGACATCATCTTCAGGGCCTGGGATTTACAAACATTGTTTAAATTTAACAAATACATGTAGGATGTGGAAAAAATGTATATAATGCAAAAAATATTATTTATATTCAATCAAAGTATTTCTACTTTGTAAATCCCAGGCCCTGAAGATCATCTCAATAAAGATCGAAACGT